CTTTCACACGGCTGAATGGAAAACTGGGGCAATAGAAGTGCAACAAGTAAATGGTATGCAAAGAGGTCTGCTGTAGCACACAGAAAGCAAACACACGCATGTTGTTTAACACAACAGAAATGGAGCACATGAAAAGACATTACTGTAAGTGAAGGCAGCCACAGCAGTGGTGTTAGTCTACACATGTGAGATAAGCATGAGGGGTCTATGAATGAAAGAGTTTGTGTTTGCAAAAGGGTGGAAATGTATGCATGTTTTAAAGATGGCCAAAGATAGTGGCTCGGAGGAGAGGGAAAGAAAGCAGGGGAGCAGAAGAAAAAAGGTAGGGAAGCCTAATTTAAGTACACAAACTCTCCTAATGCAAAAGATCTTATCTCCCTTCATAAGGTAACATTTCCCATGGCAAGCCTGAGTGGATCGCCAGCAAACAGTGGTAGAACCACTAAGCAAAACCCCATGAGTAATGAGGAGGGGTTAAGAGAACTGAACCCATTTAAGTCACCCAAATAAGGGCTGTGCAGGACTGTGATGGATGCTTCAGAGTTCCTGAGGGAAAAAGAGCACTGGCAGTGGGAAGGGTGATGTGGGGGAATGAGCTGAGGTCCTGTGATCGCCACTTAATGAAAACAAATTGATTTGATAAATGACACAAGCCTAATGTCTAAAAAGAAATAGGTCTATAACCTCTAAAGTCTCATAAGCCACTCCAACCTCTTTTGGTTCATACAAATGATTTACAACCCTAAAACGATGCAAACTATGAATCAGAGCTACCAGTATGGCACTGGTTTTCTATCAGATTTACATTTTTGGTTCATAAAACAGTCAGAAATAACAAAATGCAGATGGAATTGTATCATTTTAATTATAGACAAAAATTCAACCCTGTGTTTAAAGAGACAAAGCTAAGCATTCTCCCATTACCCATGTGTTTCCTAACATGTCATCAGTGTGTTGTTTTACTCATGTATGTGTTTCTGTGGGATCATGTATGTGTGCAATGTGCATAAACAATTGTGTCCACAGACGTGTGTTCTTAATAAAAAATGTCATCGGCTTCCCCTCTAAATCTGTACAAGTGGTGTCATTATTTAACACGAGACTGTGGCCAGCATGTAGAGGGCAAAGGTGTGCAGCATACTTGTGCTTAACAAGCACACTTAACCCCAACCGGCCATGCAACGCCAAAGAAAGAAAAGACTGTTCCCCGGCAGTGGCATGGCACACGGGAGCAGACAGATCAATGTAAGGAGAGGAGGGGACAGCATCATTAATGAGTCTAGTGGCTCAAAAACCAACCAGAGTAAAGAAGACAGGCTTTGTCTAGACTACACTGTAAACCAGAGGGAGGTCTTTAAATTCAAGCTCAATGTCTTCTATAAGCCAGAGGAAAATGGGGATGTAGCATCTGTATTTTCAATGTGCATAAAATATCACACGACAATGATGCAAGCATCTCAAAGCACTTCAAAAAATACTTTTAGATACTTGTGTACATGGTAGTGCTCTAATGAGGCACTCCTGTAAGTAAAACCTTCAGCATTAACCTTATCTCTCTGGAGAATGTTTGAATGAAGAAACATCCCAATCCCCCCTAATTCAAGCCTTCACAGGCATAAATCTGCACTGCTTTTGTAAGCTCCATGTTATGTCTGGACTTCTATTTCAGTTGTCTCAAATATGTTGCCTCTCTTAGTGCAATATCACGGGAACAATCTGAAATCTAAACTTTAAAAAGTATGCTGACAAGTCCTTTGCTCAGTTCTTGTAAAAGTGTGCCAAGTGCTGAATTTAGAAAAGAAAAAATATTCAACACTTCACTAAGGATTGGAAGAACAAAACCTCAATGACAGAAAAGTTAAATTAAGAATTTACTTTTCAGGACAGGCTTATAAACTAGTTTACTTTGAGAATATATTAATGTAGCCAATATGACACAATTCAACAGTTTGTCAGTTGTTGTTTTGAAGCATATTGTCCAGACTTGGGCTAGCAGTAGCTCAGGAGGTAGGGTGGGTTGTCCTGTAGGTTGCAGGTTCAATTCCGGCTCCCACCAGAGAATGCTGCTTTTGTGTCCTTGGGCAAGACATTTAACCCACCTTGCCTGCTGGTGGTGGTCGGCGGGACTGGTGGAACGAGTGTTTGGCAGGCCTCGCCTCTCGGTGTGCTCCACAGCAGCTGTGGCTACATCATAGCCAGCCCCACCAGCGTGTGAATGTGTGTGTGAATGGCTGTTTTGTGAGGCGCCTTGGGGGGTTGTAGAACCCTAAGAAGGCATTATACAAGTACAGGCCGTTTATCATTTTTTAATCAAATGTAACAATTTTTTGACAGCATAGTGGAGTTGTAAAGTGATACCTGAAACACTTCCAACTATGTCCAGTAAGACTAAGTCTTACACTAAGTCTAAACACTTTAACCGGTTCTGAGCCTAGCCTGTGAATCTTGATAAGGACTTTATTAGAAAATTTGGTGTTTTAGGAGATGAGCTGCCACCTATGGCATTAGACTTTGAGAAACTTTCATATTTACATTTTTTTTAAATCAGCACTTGACTGTCATTCTCTATATACAATCTCAAGCTTAAAGACCAAGTTCACTCATTTTTTAATACATTTGCAGTGGTCTCATTAATCATACCTACAAACTCAGAACTTACTGAACCCGACCAACCCCCACCCCACAAAACTAAAGTTCTTCGGATCTGTACAATGATACTTTCCGGCAAAAAGCAACACGTCTGCAGGTAGGATTAATGCCTTGTGAGTCAGTGACAAAAAAGCTCTTGTACTCCACTTTCAAGAAGCAGAAGTTAGTCGGAGGAGAGGTGACCAGAATTCAGCAGGATATGGAGTCTTTTATTTGCTGATATTTGGACATCTCTTGTATTTGCTGATATTTGGACATCTCTTGTATTTGATAGAAGAAGAAGAAGAAGAAGAAGAAGAAGAAGAAGAAGAAGAAGAAGAAGAAGAAGAAGAAGAAGAAGAAGAAGAAGAAGAAGAAGAAGAAGAAGAAGAAGAAGAAGAAGAAGAAGAAGAAGAAGAAGAAGAAGAAGAAGAAGAAGAAGAAGAAGAAGAAGAAGAAGAAGAAGAAGAAAAAAACACACTCACACACACACGTAAAAGTGTTAACATGTTTTTACAGATAGTCAGCCAGAATATTTAACTGAGGATGTTTTTTCTACTCAGCATCAGTCTCCTTAAACTCAAACCAGGTCTGATTAACCAATGTTATCATGTCTTCTTTATGAGCACGTCTCCATCCACCTGCTGCGTTCAGAGAAACGGGGATCCATGCTGCAAACCCTAAATGAATTTGCATGTTTCCAGTACAGACATGAACATGTTTGTCTAATGATTTGTGCAATAATCAGATTTTTATTTTACTTCCACAAAATGCAAGTTCTGGATTAGATATTACAGAAACGGGGACGGCTTGCCATCATATTTAAAAGTGCTCATTAATTATGCCGTCATTTTTTAAGTCAGGCAGTCTAAATGACAACGGGGAGGCTCGCTAGCTGTTGCACACATGCGCAGTGGGCATTATTTTACTCCAACAATCCGAATGGCTGTGTACATGCACGTCAATCGGAACGATGATCGGACAAAACCACCTCTCTCAATCTGATTGAAATTTCATTCCGATTGGGCCGAATCGGATCAGAACATTCCGATTGGCATGTTTACATGCAGAATTATTGATCTAATTGGGCATTCAATCCGATTAATTGTGCGCATGTAAACGTGGCTAGTGTGAAGTAGAGCTTTGTGGCTTTTTCTGGCCTGTGCATTCCCCCGTCTATTTTCCATCAGCGGCTAATGCAGGAAATAGGGGTAGGATATTAGTTTCACATTTAGCCTGCATGTGAAACTCAGAGTGACCAATCGTATTTTAACAATAACAAGTAAAAATCAGTGAACCTCGTCTTTACAGCACTGAAAATTTGAGAAATCAGTTGAATGTTTCAAGTATTAATGACAAATTTATCCTAGTGGGGCAGCTTGTGTGTGTGGCTTTATTTATTTGTTTTATAGTCTGTGAAAATGGGGAAAACACACACTGACCATGATCACAAATTTAGTAATTTGATGGAAGGTGCAAGTGGAGCTGAGAGACTGAGGAAAGTGCTGAGCCTGACAGCGGGATGACCACTGCTTAAATATTACAAAACTCACCCACACAGCTAAGACCTAGCCTAAATACAGAGGCGCCCGGTGTGTAAGCCGGTGCATCAGATGTTACAACAGATGTGAGGACAAGAGAATCTGCTTTAGACAGCCGTATTAAAGCATGACCTATGGTCCCCATTGAGTAACATTAGTGGGAGCTTCCTGTGTGCAGGCACCATTCTGTTGACCGTTCATCACAGCTCGGGAAGGTGGACTGTCACCATTGCACACACACACCAGCATCTTCCTTTACAATAACACTGCATCAGCCATGACTCCACATCTGTCAGGGAGATGTTTAAAAAGAGTTCTCATTATTGGTTATTTGGAAGATGAGGGGGTGGGCGCAGACTGATAGGAGGAGAACTGTCTGGTTAACGTCGAGTTCCTCATCCTAGCCAACTATGTGGGCCAGGAGAGCAGGCTCAGAGATGAGGGGGGTTGAGGTCGAGCAGACGGGTACTAACTGGGAGGGAAAGGGCTGTAGATAAGCAGTAACCTGGGTCCGCTGGCCCGAGGATATTAAATCACCGTCAGTCACTCCCATGAGTTCACAAACATCAGCATTCCCACTGCTTTCAAACTCTCTTATCACAACAATCAGTTATCTGGTGCTCTAACAAACATGTCTGCAACCATCAAACACTCACTCCTTCCCTTGCAATCACACATGTGAAAAAATGCATCAGATAGACATTCATCCAGAAATTCATAGTCCAATAAAACCTGATTAAAGTGTTTATCAGGAAGTTAAATTAAAGCAATCTATGCAAGGTGCATGTAGTTTTTTAGACCTTCTCAAAGCAAAAGAGGAAACATACTTACTTTTGTTGCCTACCAAGAAGACAGCAGGCTGAATGTCAGAATCTTCATTGGCCTTTTTGACCATGTTGAACCAGTCCTCTAGATTCTCAAAGCTCTGGTAGTTTGTTATGTCATAAACAAGGAGAACGCCCTGGAAAACAATCAATTAAGTTTTTAATCTTTCATTGAAGCACTTATAACAAACATGTGTATGCTGATAGATAAGGACTGGCGAGTTATTGTTTTTAACTTATATGAGTCACATTTAGCATCAATAATAAATGAAAAAGAAACAGTAGGTGGCACTGCTTCTCTTCTGACATTCAGGAAAAGACTCTCACTCAAAGGTTAACTTTGGCCACTCTGACAAGATTATAATTCCAACATGAGTATGTAGACTCAAGCATATTCATTTCAACCGACTGTCATATCTATAATCCAGATCCACTGCAGAGCAGAGGTCGGATTTGGTTATCTACTGTCTGAGCTAATAAATGAAGGCTGGCTTTAGTAATCAATAACCCTGCCATGCAACAATACCAAAGCTACGTCTGAGCAAACAGAAGTCTGAAGGAGTTGTTAAAATGAACACATAAAAGAATCAAAAAGCAAACAGAGACGAGAGCTGCTGGCTTACATCAAGCAACCACCTTTATTAGTGCTGAAACTTTTACTTGTTCTGAAGCACTGAAATGAATGAGAGCCAAAGAAAACACCTCTTCTTTAACTACATGATGCAACATGACTGAAACGCCTTCTGTTGCTTTTTGTTCAACCGACACACGCTGTCACAACATGCAAGGTTGGTGACGACAGCCAACGTCTCTAACAATTACTCTGATCCGCTCTGAGCAGCAATGATTGATTACAGGACGCCTGCTGCCAAACAATCAGTGTTAAAGTTTTATGCAGAGTCGATGATAAAACTCATTAAGTGAAGTGTCGTAATTTAGCATCCATGTATAAAATACAATTAAATAAGTACATTATATGGATTCAATGCAGAATGACTTAAAACATGGTGGACAATACATTACTATAGATGGACAGGAAACTAAGATCTATTGTTCTTATTTTGAATTGTAGACTGAGATGAGTAAACTTGAGTGTGTGTGGTGTAGCGGTAGGTCTTACATGAGCTCCGTAGACATATTTATCCAACATCTTCCCCCCTAATGTTTGGCCTCCAATATCCCACACTTGCAGAGTTACATTCAAGTTGCCTGTGTTGACAAAAATGAGAAACAGAGATATTAAAGTATCAAAAGAAATTACATTTTAATGGCAAAAAAAGAGAAAATGCAATGTGATTTTCATATTTATTTAAATAAATCACAAAAATATAATGCAGCAAGTTCTGAGTTTCCATTCTTGATTTTTTTTCCTAACACTAACACATTCTTTATACTCCCGTGTCAACAACAAACACAGAGTAACCAGAGCCTGTGCTTTGGGTGACCAGTTTTTTGTTATAATAAAACCTAAATTGTCAATCCATGTAATGAAAATAATAAATCAGTAAACAATCTGTAATGCAGTAGGAGTATAAACTGTTAGATTTAATACATTGAGCTCACATCCAAGAATATCCTGCTGAGATGGAGGGGGATGAATATGTATGCCTACCCTCTAATTTTAACCTTCTCAATACACTGGCTGTCCGAAAATGACTTCATATTAAGCGGGGAAACACTGTTTGCAATGTGTCATGTGCTGCCAAGTACGTAAAGTTGGGAGAATTATGTGCTGTTAGGGAAAATAGCAATAATTAAATTGAAAATGAGAGAAAAAAGAAGAGTGTTGTCCTTAAGCTTGTGGAAGGAGAAAGAAAAGGTTAAATTAGAGAGAAAGACTGGCACAAAAACCAAATCCAAATAAATATTTTCTTCCTTTGGAAAATAAAAAACGTAGTTAAAAACGATTATGGAATGGAGAAGGAGGGAGGACCAGACAGCGAAGCCCTGCCTCAGACTGCAGCTCTGATTGGGATCAGAGAGAAAGACGTGGACATGGCTGTAGCATCGTCCAAGACTTCCCGTTTTAAAGCCCGACTTAAACGCAGGGGTTCACAGTCACTTCATCTAGACTATACAATGTCAAGGTAAACTAGGGAAGGCCATGAATTATGGCCTTTGGTGTCATAAAGACACCCTCGACCCATTACCCTTAGTTTTATTAGTGTTTAAAAAAACATGTTGACTCCAAGTTTCAGTACATTTAAATTCACAAATTGCTTAAATAAATAAACAAAGGAATGAGAATCTTTTCAGCTAAGTTGAAAAACACAAAATCCCAAGTTTAACCAGAATCAATATCAAGTAGATTTCACCTCCCGTTACAAATCTCCTCTGCTGATGTGCATCACTGGTTTGGCAGGGACATCTAGACGAAGTATTGTTATAAAAAGCACACACAGAGGAGTTTGTTGTGTGCCAGTCGGCCACTCCTCACCTCTGCCTGCATTGGAAAAAGTACATTAAGTTTGACAAGCTGGGCCTTCATGGTGAGAGGGGCCAGCTCTGGCTATAAGCTACTCTCCCCCCCGCTGCACAAAAACCCTTACAGCCCCATAGAGACCCACACAAACCTCTCCAATACAAGGCAGAGCGGAGGTCCTAACAAAGTTCGGGACCACCCAGGTCGAAGAGCCACCCTCCTCTTCATCAGCTCATCAACACCCAATTCCCCAGAAAATGGGCTATTTAACAACCGGGGTATTGAATCCAGCTTTGTTGCTGCCCCACTGATACAGAGACATGTAAACTAGATTCAAACATAAGCTACCACTGAAGAGGTCGCAGGTTATTTCAAGGGTGAAAGTTACTGGAAAGAGAAGTCAAACGATTAGCAGCATTTATTCAGGTTCGGAAGTTAGCCCAGCCTGTGCTTATAGTTGGCTCTTTTCATCCCGACTCCACCACAACATTTTTGGGGGTTTATTTCTCCTAAGTCTCATGAGCTGAAATGGACACAAAATCAAAATAGAATCCCTTAGCCAACTCACAAATCAGCATAACTTTTACTTTTAGCACTCAATTTGCCCTTGCCTAATGTTGTTTTATTAGTAATGAAAGAATGGAGCCACTTTTCAGATTTCTGGAGAGTAGGCTTTGGCTCAGCTTGAAAAATGCCTCTTAAAAAGCTACAAAAATCCCCATTTCAGACAGTATGAAGTTTTAAAAAAAGAGCATTTTTGTCTAAATATAGCATACAGCAATAAACATTCATTTCATAGCTTTAAGAGGGGTGCCTGTTTTTCCTTTTCTTTGTGGGTTCAGTACAAACAAGCAGGTTTTAAATGGCTCAGAACAAAGATCAGATGAACTCACAGGTAGGCGTTGTGGAAATAAAAATGTTAATGTATTGTTCTCTGAACAGTTCAGCAAGACTCATCAGGCTTAACTTGACCATCGTCACTAAACAGTCAAAAAAAAGGCACTGTTTGCTCAGGAGAGTAGAACCTTCAGAGTGAATAAGCCTGAGATGTGGCAGACACTATGATGAGGAGCAAAAGTCACATTCAGCTCCTGCATCAAGGGAAAAACTAACTTTAAGAGAAAACACTCACAAAAAATGCATTTATGACAGAAGCCGATGCCGTTCAGGTCTTTGTTAAAAAGATATTTAACATTCTGTTGAACACAAAATCCACACTCAAGTTTATTATGACCACTAACAGTTAAGCCAGTTGGTCTAAAAGCTTTTTAAAGATGTGGTTCACTCATTTAATCAATACATCTGCTCTGGTCTCAAGTAGGAATGAATGCCTTGTAAGTCGTAATCTGGGTAAACAAAGCTCCGGTACACCAGTTTCAAGGAGTAAAATTGAGCCACAATGGAGTTGAGCTGTAAACGGTAGTAAGGCTGCTGAATTAATAGAATTTTAATCCCAATTACGATCTGAGTTTTGAACGTTTACAAAAACAAAACAAGCCGATTATTTGCTCCTCCCACTTGCGCTGCCCTGAGTTGCAAATGAAGCGCTCCTCCCAGAGTGTTGCCAATTTAGTGACTTTGACGCTATTTCTAACAGCTTTTCAGACTAGGAAAGGGAATGATGTAGTGACGTGTCGGTCACTAAAGAAACAGCTCTCGGAGTCGGCTCCCTGTTGGGTTAACCAGGGTGAGTGACACACACCGTACCCCAGGGCTCCTGATTCGTTAAAAAAAGCTAAATGTGCACGTGTGGCGCGCAAAACGCACGTGCAGCTTGCCCCTGATTGCTGTGAGACCGGGTGAGGAGGGGGGTGCAGCTGTGGTTGCGACAATTATTACATTAACTGATGGACTTGTAAATAAATAGCTCATAAATAAGGGAGAAATAACTTCCTCACACTGAAAAATAATAACTAATCTCTCTGAGACTGAGAACACGGTGCTAGTGCACTCTCCTACAGCACCTTGACATGACTAAATACATATAATGCAAAATTTTGTGATCATCAATTTATTTGTTATAAATGCCACTGTATAATTCTTGCTGTCAGTATTTGCAAGATATTGGTATTTGGGTCTGTACTGGTTAGACTTAAATGAGTTAAACCAAGGTCTATAGCCCTTGGGTCATAAACTATGAGCTGTAAGTATATTGGTCTTTTTACACTGGGAATCAGGAGTTATTTTAGTGATCATCTTGTTTCTTTTTTTTTTTGTCCTGATTGTTCCCCGAGCAATTTTATGACTGAATAAAAACAAATAAAATCAAAATTAATTGAAAAATTGTCTTAAATAATCGAGATCTCAATTTCAGAAATAAAAATCGTTATTATTTTTGCCATAATCGTGCAGCCCTAAACGGTAGGATTTGGAGTATTTTTTCCTGATATTTGGACATCTCTCCTTGGAATGGATAACAGCAATGTGACTCTACCACTGAGTCTGTTTGCTCTGTAATGTTGATGTTTCATCTCCCCAAATAACACAAATCTGGAGGTTTTCTGCTGTGTGGTGGAGCTGCTAATACTAATGGTTAGCTTCTACTAGCGGGATTGTTCTATGATGTTCTCTGGATGCTAAACCAACAACAGTCTTCCCTGTTGCCTTGCCAAGATGGGTGAGTCTGTGAATGTTAAGTGACACTGTGATGTAGATCTGTCAGCATTTTCAAATCCTAGAGTTTCACCATCTAGTTTCTATCAGAAGCTATCGCAGGAGATAGGTGTAGGAGACCAGTTTCATGCTCAGCCTGCATGAAAATCTCAGAGTGACCGATTATAATCAGAAATAAGATTTTAAAATGGATTTTCAGTTAACTACAACTTAAAAAAACGCTAATTCTCATACTTCCTTTGCAGAGACGGAGACTGCTGCTCTGTGCTTGTGCAATACACTTCTGTACAGCATCTCAGAACAAGCAAGTGCTCCCTACAGATTATAAAGGTGTCTCACCTGGAAGGCTTATTCTCTTCAGAAAGAAATCCAGGCCGATGGTTTGTTTGTACTGCTTCCCAAAAGCCTCCTGAGCAAATCTGGTGGCGAGTGATGTCTGAAAAAAAGAATGACAAAAGGACAGATGTGGAAAATGAGTACCAGACACCACTGCTCCATTAAGAGGACTACAAATATGCCCTTCATAGTAAAGCATTAGGAAGAAATGTTTTATAATAGAAGAGAAGCTTTCGTAGTATTTATATTGAATATCTACACGGCACAGCATGAGCCGCGGTGAATTCTGGATGCTGAGAAACTACTTCCAGGAAAAATATACAGACTATCAAAGGACTTCCTGAGAAGGTGATATTTTGGTGAGGCAGAAGTTTCAAAAAATAACAGCCAAGATGTACTAAAAATGAGCCAAACTGGGCTTTTATTACTGCATTTCCTAAAAAAATATGGTGTCATTAATATAACCAAAACAGTTCAGTGCAAGTTTTCAACCAGGCATGTGTATAGGAAAAGGTAACCTTGGACTTTGTCCTGCAGATCATTAGGCTTCATCATTCAAATCCTTCTAAAACTCGGGGTCTCTGATGTAATGGTCTGTCTCCTTTGCTGTCTCACTGCTCAGCTATGAGAGTGACAGTGCAAATCAATGTGAATTACAAAAACAGGTGACGGGAGATGTGTCATGTCTCAGACCTAATAATCACCACAAATTAGAAAACCTCTATCACTGTCACTGCTGTTTTTAAGGAGGGAAAATGGAGTGTTGGGGCTCCTCTAAAATCTGTGGGAATTCACAGAGCAGTCAGTACATGCCAACTTTAATTCATTTTGATGGATGAGTTTGAAAAAGAAAAAAAAAAGAAGTGCCGAATGTCTATTAGCTATCTTTAGAGTAGCGTGCTTCCACAAACACAACAGAGGAGCAGAGTAATGGAATCCCCTCAGTGTCAGACCGTGTCAGTAAGTAAATTCTAATGTGGTGTTAGACAGTCATTGTGGTTTTAAGGATTTAAAACTAGATTTTCTCTTTCAATCTATTGAGATTTCACTTGAGCATGGGGTTTTCTCCCCATAATTCATTCCCAAAGGATGTAGATTAAGTCAAACAGTGCTTCAAATTTTACAGGATTTTCTTCAAATTACTCAGGACTGATATAATCTATAATAGGATAAATAGGATACCCCTTATTACAACTAGGGATGCATTGTATATAGGCAGTAACATCGGTATCGGCTCATGTTAGTCATTTTATAACAGATCGGTTCGATAAGTAACATGGGGCCAATATTAATAACTGATGTGTATTTCCATAGGCCCGTTTCCACCATCTGAATTTCCAGGTAATTTTACCAGGCCTTCGCAGCATGCACATCTCCATATCAGCGGGTCAGTTTGAAAGGACCACTTTCCAGAATGTTTCAGGAGCGAACCAGGTACCTGCCTTGGGGTATTTACCTGGAAGTGGTCCGGTAGAATCACTGGGTGGGAATTGTGATTACTCCATGTTGATTATATCAGCAAACGTCACCAAGCAACTGGCATTTGTAAAGTTGGAAGAGTTGCTGATGAAGACGAACAGAACCCAAGATTCAGAACTCAAGAAGCTTCTTGGATGAGAGGTGAAACCTCTTAGAGGAAAACAAAATGCCAGTTGTTTCCAGCTGAACTGTCCAGATTACCATGTCCTTGACAACTGAGAGTCTAGGAAATGAAAGTAAGCAGAGTTGACGCTGCTTAAAGATCGCCATTTCCAATTCCCAATGATGACAAGTGTGGCAGATAACCCTACACAACTCCACAATTTACACTGCTTTGGGGTATCTGACAGAGTGCCATAGAAACTTTTTGTCTGGTCACTGAACACCATTTTTTACCTAACATAACAGCTCTCCTAACCTATCCCCTCAATGGTGTGAAATACAGCATACTTGGACAGAATAAAACAGGGGTGGGGAACCCTGGTCCGGTCCATCGAGTGCCACTATCCAGCATATTTTAGTTTCAACACTGCTTCAACACACCTGATTTCAATCAGCAGGTGATTAACAGGCTCCTGCAGAGCTTGATGAGCTGCTGAACAGGTGAATCAACCACTGAATCAGAAGTGTTGGAGCAAAGACATGCAGAATACGGGCCCTCGAGGACCAGGATTCCCCACTCCTGGAAAAAAAAAGTAGGGCTGCAGCTATCAAATATTTTTGTAATCGGGTACTCTATCGAATCTTTTATCGATTAATAGAGTACTCTAATAAATTACCCTTTTGTGTTTGTAAACCATTTTATCAAATAGCATGTTATGAAATATGAAAGACCTCTTAAAATGAGCAAGCAAGTGCCAGTGATTCTTAAAGTTTTATTCAAAATTAGTTTTCAAAACTTCAGCAATTCAACTTTACTTCACAGTAAACAAATGTCTGTGCAAAAAATAAGTACACAACCTGAGCCGATTTTTCCCTCGTGTGAGAATCTGGCAAGCCAAACAAAAAGGATAAATGTTGAAGTAGCGCTGCGAGCGGCTGCGGTCCAAACTGCACCAGAATCGCTCATGGCTCACGCGCAAACATGGCTCGCCAGTTATTTCCCTATTAACACACACGTCCGTTAAAATTTCTACACGTTTTTTTCTCACACAATAACAAGGATTGTCGAGAAAACATGTTTGCCGTGGTTATGGCAAATTATACTGATCACAAAACATTTATTTACTTTCTTTCTTTTTCCTCCGCCACTCTCATAAATACCTGTGTCCTCCTGCAGCATTCCCGAGGGACAACAGACATCAATAACAACACAACAAAAAGTCAGACGTGTTGTGTAAAAACTGCTATTTTTAGCACATGTGTAGGTCCGGCGTGTTACTACAAGACGCATAGTGTGAGCTGAAACTGAGTGCTACAAATGAAAATGTTGCACAGTGTCCGCAGAATATATAGCAGACCTCCGAGTCCACTCGCAGGAGTGACATTTACATGTGGATGTTACCTGGTCAGGTTGCAGCATGGAGGATGTGGTGTTGTGGTAGGCTAAATCCATTTTACAGCATTTACACGTTTTCTGCCTCACAATGTGAAAAATGGTCCCACACCTTTGACATTTTCGGTCTTTTTCGCACTCCAACGGGGTCCAAGTTGTCCGCCATGGCTTAAGAGAAAGTTAAGTTATATATGCTACTCGCGTGTGTGTGCATTCAGTGCAGTGTGTATGTGCATCACTTATTTCGGTACGGGTGAAGCATGACCCCGAGCGATTGCAAAGCCATGAATTAATTAAACATGAATTAAACGAAGCCTCGAGGCAAAGAATTTGACTCGAGGCTTTTTTGTACTCCAATTATTCGAGGTACTCGAGGAATCGTTTCAGCCTTAATAAAAAGTCTTTAATGTTATTAATGTCCGTGACTGTGGGCACCTTTTGTCACTGATCAGTTATGTCACTTTCCACCGAAATGGCTACTGTTTGTTAACGTCTTAGCAAAGGGCCATTTTTCGTTTAGAGACGCAACAACTGAGAAGACTGATCCAGTGCACTTTCCCTGTCACCTCATTTGGTTATGTGACAGCAATCGTCTTAGAAACTGAAATAAGTGTGCGTATATAAAATTCTAATATCGGTAAATATTGGTATTTGGCCATGACCACAATATTAATATCAGATATTGATATTGGCCCAAATTCTCATATTGAAGCATCCATAGTTAGAACTCTTGGCATGCACTGTTTTATTAGGAAAAGGTCCTAATATCTAGGATTTCTTTGCGTTTCAAATGTATTATTCAATTTTTCTGTAAATGAGGTTTTTTCTGTGACACAACAGATTGTTTTTCTTTGGGTATAAAGTTTGTTTTGTTGCCTGACAACTAAAAATATCAGTGATCTATAGAGCTTTTTTCCTCATCCTGTAAAACTAGTCACAGCCTTGTGAGTGACTGAGAAATTACTAGAGGTGACTGATGCAACAAGGAGAAAATCGGCCATTTAAGTAGCCCAAACAATCAATAACAACATAAGGCTAACTTGTTGGGACAGCAAAAATGTATTCCACATGCTCTCACTGGCCCGGTCGGCCATTTCTTTTGGCATTCTAGTAGTTTGGCTCTCCTTTCTTTCCCACAGCACAACAAGAACTAACCAGTGAAATGTAATTGCTGGCATAATCTTGACACTCCAACACAGAACAGCACAGGGTCACCACTGATACCAGTGCCGGGAAATGAGGGAAGGGCTAATGAAACAAGAAACTTGCTAAGACCATGCGATGCTACTTAGAGGAGAAGCATTTTTACAGTTCTGTAACAAAACGTTTAATCTTTAAAAAGTTCTGATAGACATAAATGTTGTCTGATTAGGAGTTTAGCAATAATTAAGGTTCAGGACCTGCACCTAAAGCTCCTTCTTGTCCTATGGGTCACAGAGAAGCAAATATTGGAAAACTGAGAGGCTTCTAACTCAGGTTGTAAAATAGACCAGTGTGTACACTCAGCTCCCCATCTTAAGAGCCTGGCTAAATGCAAGAGTCCATATTTTAAAAACATCTTGCTCAGGTGGACAAGCCTTCCCACATCTGCCTATATTCTAAATGGACAACCAACCGCAAGCAAAAAATACCACTGAAAAGGCTGTCCAAGAAAAACTGATACGATTGCAATTTGCTCAGCAAATTGACATTAATAAGGGGGGGAAACGGCATTCAAGATGTCAGTCAGTGGTGCCGAGTCAAAATGGGGGGCAGGGCTCCTGTTTTCTGTCCAAAACGGACAAGCAGGTAAGTCATTCAGACAGAGACGAGCTGACACCTGGCAGCAAAGTGAGGAGGGTTATTAATGTAGCGTATCTACTGGGAACTGGGTTGTGTGTGTCCCCTGAACAAACCAACACACACACACACACACACACACACACACACACACACACACACACACACACACACACAGATAGAGCCCCTCCCAAAAGAGTAAAAGTCAACTTTCCATGAGAGCATTCATTTTCCTCATTGGGGCTCACTATTACAGACACATTCGTTTTCTTTTTCTCCCACAGGGTGAAGAGATTAGTTACAAAAGAGGATGTGTTTCTGAAAGGCAATCACAGTCAGCTTGGGAGTCAAGGTGCAGTGAAGAAGAAACATGGTTGAGTTGTCATGACAACCACCCTGCTTTCACTGCAGATGATGGTTTAGTGAAAATCTCCTGTGTAGTTCTGTTTAAGTCCAAGGCTGGGTTTGAGCTGTAATGATTATTAATCACTTTTTACTTTGAAAGTGAACCCAAGGTCAAATGTGAGTAGCAAATGATGATTTATCAATGAGATTTAATGGTGTGTTATTTTTACTAATTGAGGAGATATCTATAAATAAAGTATGTGACTCTGTCTTAAACCACTAAAAGACAGTAAAGTTTCTTATATGATGATAAATGATAAATGATAAATGACCCGCACTTGTATAGCGCCTCTCAGAGTAAGGACTCCAAAGCGCTTTACACTACAGTGTATCATTCATCCATTCACACACTCAATCACACGCTGATGGTGATGAGCTACAATGTAGCCACAGCTGCCCTGGGGCACACTGACGGAGGCGAGGCTGCCGAGCACAGGCGCCACCGGACCCTCCGACCACCACCAGCAGGCAACTATGCCCAAGAACACAACAGCAGAATTCTCTGTCCGGAGCCGGGATCGAACCTGCAACCTTCCGATTACTGGACAACCAGCTCAACCTATTGAGCTACTGCTTCCCCCAGACACATGTTTCCTAAATAGGGCTCTCCCTGGAATCACATGCAGGGGGGTTGTAAATATATTGGCCATGTGATGCAATCAGCTGTGAGACCTCAGCATCCGTACTCTTCTATTAATGCTGCACAGTACGATGTTTTAGCCAGACAGCAGTAGCAGTTTTAGGGTATGACATATAACTATTAAGTTTTGTGTGTTACTCAGTGTTGAACCAGGTGGTTATAGTCTAAAGACGCCTTGTTCCGTGTAGAAATTAAGTTTAAATAAGCTGCAGGAGTGTGGTACCTTTAAAACAGTTTTCTTAATGACTGACAGGCAGAGACATCGGGCTGTCAAGCAACATTATAAAAATGCTAATTATGGTTTTCAGTTGTTTTGATTTTTGTAACTTGTAAGGTCTTAATCTGTGCTGTCTGCTCAGGGCATTCTTGAAAAAGAGACTTAATTTCAAATCTGATTTTCTAGTTAAAGTGTGCTTCTTGGCAATGCACTGATGCAAGAAACTGTATATTTACTCAAAAGTAAACAATTGCCGTTACAATAAAACACAGCAACACAGACACAAGTCTACTACTTCACTCAATAGTACATGCATCATGGATTAAAAGCTGGATAGACTTAAGTGGTTAGAATGACGGATTTGTGTTCGATTTAAATGCATCATTAAGACAGAATCATAACTTTAACTGTTCATCAACTTTGCATGAATGCTATTTGATTTTTATCACTTTAATAAAGTTGCTTTCCCCTCCTGCAAACCAAATAAAAATAATTCTGTTTTTAAAGAAAATGGCACATTTTTATAACTTTGTTATTCCTCATGATTGTTTCTGTTGTTTTCAACATGTAAACTTTTTGTATTAAGTCAAATATAAATAATTGGAAACATACTATTTGATTTAGGGAATCTACTGACTGCATTATGACATGTTAACATAGTTGTTTAGTATCCAAATAAAGCTAAAATTAGTAATCTAATTAAGTGGTTACCATCCAGTTATTTTTATTTATTTGTTTGTTTATCTATTTGTTTTTTGTTTATGCTTTTTATGCAAAGCTACTTTGACGAACTAGAGCAATTAAAAAAACAGTACTTTTTTTTAGTAAACACAAATGTACATTTATTAACATTTCCACCAAGTCGTCAGCCTTTAAGAGCTAACACTTCAGTTCTGGTGAATAAAGGAGAAAGGTCATGGTTTACTAACCTTACAAATGGCTGAGCAGGCATTTCAGATTCCCTCCAATGATATGTAAATTATTATAATGTAGTTTTAATAAGAAAGCATGAAGGCATTTTGATGAAAAACATATCGCTTAAGCAATCCTTTTTAGTAGGAGCACAACACAAATATCTTTAAAAAGAAAGATGTTTTTGTGTTGTACAACACATAACAGATATTTGAAGATGTCAGCTTGAATACTGCACACAAAAGGTTTGACATTATTTGTTTTGTGTTATTTAACTAACTATTTTGATAAACGCAGAAGTTGTGACATGAGATATTCTCAAACCACACACACACACACACACACACACACACACACACTCACACATTTCTCCCTGTCTTTTTTAAACGTTTGCAGTACAAAACAAAGAAAACGTGATGTAGGTGTTAACTTAAGTGTTTAAGTTGCGGTGCTAAAATCAGAAGGAAAAGCTTTGACGTTCCGTGCTGCTTTGTTTTTGTGCTGTGTTGTTGTTAGCTATGATGCTAGCCTGTCTAGCTGCATTAGCGTCGGTCGCCATGGTGACTAGGGCAGTGCTGTGTCAGCAGGAGCTGGATGCTGCTTTGAAAAGTCTCGCAACAGACAAAAACACAGTTTGCCGACAAATGTGACGCTAGAATAGCTGTGCTGTTCTCTAATAGCGCGTAACAACAAGTGGTCGTTTTGCTGCTACGCTCTCACCTTCCCACACGCTCCGTCTCCAACCACGACAATTTTGAGCTGCTTGTCCTGACTGTCCTCCTCCGAGTCCGACATCTTGCTAGCTATCCTCTAAACGTTTGACAGAGAAACGCTGGTAACCAGTTACAGGCTGCTGAGTCCAGCTATCAGAGCGATCACTGACGGATTACAACAGACGCCATTTTAACTTCCAGCTAGAGGCTGCAGCTGCGAAGTTTGCATCACGCACGCGCTGCTGCCTCAACGTTTTTATTTTTTATTTTTTGGAGGGTTCGTTTTATTTTTAAACTAGGATAACGACCACCACAAAGACTGTATTGTAACCGTAGCATTGTAATTCAGTCTGTATTTTTTTTTGTTTTGTAGCATCTCAACAGGAAACGATTACAACCGGAAGTTGGATCGCATGTGAGTCCTGTGAGTAACGCTCTACTGTTGCTATGGTAACGGCAAATGTCGATAGAAGAAAAGATTTTCCCTCTAACTTGTAATTATAATTTAATTTTCATTTATTTTAATATTCCACATTTAAATTTCTTGCTGATTTATTTTTTGTATACATTTTTTATGGAATAAAATATTTGAAGAGACAATCTCGTCATATTGGGTATCGGGCATTATTATTGTTATGCATCCGTTTAGAAACACACTTAACAAACTTGTAATTATCGATAATTGCTCTATTTAATTTTTGTCAAACGCTTCCAGCGATGTTTAGGCATGTAGAATCTTTGTGAAGCAAATCTTGAATATTATAAGGAATTTGCAAGAAGTTGACGTTATAATCCTGCTGCTAAGGATTATGTAACTAGTTGAATCTCAGTTATATATTTCACAAGCGATCATTTTGTTCAAATACGCGGAACAAAATATTTTCAGCGTTTTCCTGTTGCAATAGGTTGAAGTTAATTTTTGCGTGATTCAAAATTCGATTATAAAGCCATGAAAATGAGCAAATGAATAAAAATTACACACTTTCAGGCATTTACTATGGTATTTTTGTCCATATGTTCTAGAAAACATTGATATTTCTCACTTCTTTTTTTGTTTGTTTGTTTGTTTTTTTTTTTTTTTTTGTTTTGTTTTGTTTTGGAAAATCAATTTAGAATCCGTGAAATAAATTTGGAGATAAGAAAATAAATGTGGCCTGCTTCTGGAAGAGAATAAGACACGGGACATCTCACTTCAGAAATATTTCCCTTCACTTTTCTTTTCTGCAGAATGACGTTTATTCACAAATCCAAGCGTGTGAAATGATAAAGTGAGAGAGTTTAGAAAACATCTTTTCCTGGTGTTTGGGATTAGATTTGCTGTTGAATGTCGCTCCTCGTCTTCCCAGATATCGCTGAGCGGAAAGAAACCTGAACCTGAGCCACTTTGAGACAGGTGGCAGCTTCTCTCTGTCATGAGATGCTCTCATGTCTGCTGACAGTTTTGCTAAAAGAAGAAAGGAGAGAAAACTTTGGGAGGCACTTTTTAAAAGAAGGAAAATAGGTCAAAAGAGAGGATGCGTTTAAAAATAAGAGACTTACATGCTTCGTGCTTTAATTTAAAATATTCTGCAGCGGGTTTAATGTGCATGGATGAATTATAAGTAAACAATGTATATTTTTTATTAAACACTTGATCACATAGAACTTTCATTACTGAATACAAAAACAAATAGTGTTAAAAGTCTCGGGTTTTTTTTTTTTTTACATGTGAGGGACAACCATTATTTCTCTGTCTGAGGTGGGTTCATGTTTTAGTTCAAATAAAAGTTACTTTGTGCAAATATCTAGAAAATTCAGGAGCGCTTCGACCTAAAGGATGCATGCAAACAAAATCCAACGAGCTGAGCTCATTTTGACATGACGAATCAGAAATCACATTTGGTTAAAATTAATCTCTGAGAATAGATGTCTGATAAAAATGCGACATTCAAAACATAAATGAACATGGTTGTTTTAGTTATAGCTACGTTAAGACCCATCTAATGATTTCTGCGTGAATAAACAATAATGCGTTTGACTGATGTTCTCATCGGTGAATCTGCTGCGGTGTCCCATCACAATTATGTTTTATCTTACTAAAATGAAAATTTAAAATAACAAAGCGATTAAAATTGTATTTCAAATATAAAAAATCGAAATAAGCTGTTCAGCTCCAGGTTTATGGACCATAACGCCGTAGTTGTTAACAACAAGCGTTCAAATTGGGATAAATCCCATTGGAAACCAAATAAGTCACAATAAAAACTAAAATTATCACATGAACGTTGCTTTAAAAAAATCTTTTATTTACTATTTTTACAGGAGTTGAAAAGTCCAATAAAGATTTATTTATCTAAACAAAAGGTGAATTTAAAATATATAGTGTGAAATCAGCGTAATTATATTAAAATATTATTTAAAAAACTAACAATGGCTTGAGAGGGAAACTGGGGACAGAAAATTAGGTCACCTATTCTAAGACAGACGCGGAGCCTTCAGTGCGCCATGAAGAAGCAGCGCACTGTGGCCTGTGATGGCACGCAAACCTGCGTCAGACTGATTCGATTTAGAACAAATCGGCACCTTAAAGAGAGAATAGTCCCTATATGGCAAAGACGAGAGTACTCTGATTAACCAAAACATGCACTGATGAGTAATAAAGGTAGTTCCGCCAGATGTCACACACTTCTGAAATTGGATCATTTAAATGTCAGCTGATTGCTGCTGGGAATGAAGGGTGCTTTCAGAGCCGCGAGTTGGCTTTTTATTTTGGGTTTATTTTGATATGAGATCAAATCCCGAAGACTCCAGGTCTTCTTTACGCGCTGATCTACAGTCAGACTCCTTGCGTCTGTAAGGAAATAAAAAGTCAGTGAAAAGCGACGCAGCAACTCCTGACCTGTATTACCTCCTAGACGTTAAGAGTCACAAATGAGGCGACTCATGCAATATTTCACTCCAATAAAAGACAAATAGTTTTCAGATGCCTTCTGCTAAAAGTGAAAAACCTGCTTATACGTCTAGGTGCGCCGAGCTCCTTAACACCAGAATACTCCTCTGGTTGTGATGACATGGTCCTGTCAGTCTTTCCTGTTCGGGGATCATTTTAACACTAGGAGGAATCCTGGTCCAGGAAAAACAACAATCCAGTTTCTGTTCCAAACTCCAGAAAAATGGGCAGAAAGAAGAAAAATACATTTTGTCCAGACGACTCCGGAAATTTTAATTTGCAATGGCAAAAATATTAATATTAATGAATACATCACTAATCACGTGTAATAAAATGCATTACTTTTAAAAATCATGGCGCTTAGATAAAACAGTCAGACGTATGTAATTCTAATGTGTTTCCTCTCACTCGTGTCCCAAAACCCCACAAAAAGAAGCATCATGAATGAAATGTCTGATATGTTTTAATTCAATCTAATCAGCCATTTGACACAAATCAAACATTTCAACTGGGAGTGGGTTTGTTTCAGCCTGCCTCCTCCTGCTCTCAGGCCAACAAACGCTGCATGCATTTACACGGAAATAATGTAACAGATATGCTGAAAAGTGCTTAAATATCTTACCTTAACAAACACAGCAAGACACGCATGCACACACGCATGCACACACGCATGCACACACGCGCACGCGCACGCACACACACACACTGTAACAGAGACAGTTATTTTGAAAGTCAATGGAACGTGTCTATTTCGCAGAGGTAGGAAGGCGCATGTAAAGTCAAAACCAACAGAAGGTGTTATTTTAGGTCTGGCTGAGCCTCCGGGTCCCACAGTAGGGTCCAGGGGCCCTCGGAGATCCGGGAGGGGGTCCCAGCCAGCACACAGAGAAACAGGCCTAAGCTGCTTCTATTTTTGTTATGTCAGTCCACACAGAGGTTTTATAAGCAGGTCCTGTCTGTCCGCCCGACTGCAGCTCAGACATTTACCGTCTTTGAACCTAAATTTTACTGGGGTCCTTCGAAAGAGACTCTTATTTTAAATTAAAAAAAAAGTATAATTCGATCTTTTAAATTGTGAAAAGGTATTTTCAGAGTGTGGAGAGCAAACGGAAGAGTTTGTGACCCCCCTGGTGTTGCTGTGACGACACAATGAGGCTGTTCAGAGGCGCAGAACTGATTAACAGCTCCCTCGGGTCTCCTCTTCTTGTCAGAAAAACATAAAGTTAGTTTGGTTCCCGGGAACAGGAATAATAAAAAGAATAAATACAGTCTGACTTTTCACTGATTCCCCGCGCACGCAGACAGTGTCCATGCGGGGAGGCAGTAGGCATAGGGGTAATAGTAGGACGGCTGCAGGGAGAGCAGCGGGGGCCGCATGATCTCCCCCGGCCCATACTGTCTCTGGTCGTCCCGCACCAGAACCTTCACCGCCACTTTCTTGGCTGCCGGTGTGGACGCCATCAGATCGGCGGCCATCTGCCGGCGTTTGGTCTTGTACCGACGGTTCTGGAACCAGATCTTGACCTGAGTCTCTGTTAGCTTCAGGGAGGCCGCCAGGTCCGCCCGCTCCGGCCCAGAGAGGTACCGCTGGTGGTTGAAGCGGCGTTCCAGCTCGAATACCTGCGCGTGAGAGAAAGCGGCTCTGGAGCGCTTTTTGCGCTGTTTGGGCTGATCCGGGTTCTTCTCGTCCAGGATGCTGGAGTCTGAAAGTAGGAGACACACACACAGGAGCATTTTAGATCTCTGACTGCGTCTCTTATGACGCAGGGTTGCTCTGGGTTCTGCGTTATCGGGACAAGAAATAACATGATCCACACCTAAGAAAAAAACATTCTTGTTGAGTTTTTCTTTAATTAAATAACTTTAAATGATGTACGCTCGTTGTCATTTTTGGAGTGAAAGCGTTAGAAACGAATAAGTTACGCAGGAGTTTTATTTTGGGAAATTAAGCAATCAGATTCGGGAAGAGTTAAATGATTTAAAATAACTGTTTAAAGTGCAGCATTTATACTCATACTGCAAGACCATAGTTTCTCCTTTTGTTTTGTTTTGTTTCAACTTGTTTACAATCACGCGTACAATCAACAAGCCGTGCGTAAAAGTTAGGAGAGGTTCTTTAGAAAATAGGCCTACCGACTGCAGTGCCCCGAAGGAAACGCACATTATCATTATGCACAGCGTTACCGGCCATAATAAACATCATATTTAACCGCTACTGTCTGGTTTAGATCGAGAACATTCGTCATAGATCCACTAAATCACGGAGCCACACTTTACGCACGCACCCCTCAGGCCCACTTACCCGTGGTGTTATTTGGCTCAGTGTCGCTCTTTGTGTTTTCTGTAGCTGCAGACTCGTGGTCCGTCTCTTCTTGCAGGCTCTCCTCCGGCGCGTCTGACGCTGCGTCCCCGTCCTTCTCCGGCTTACGCCCGCCCGGAGTCTTCCTATCGGTGTCGTCGCTAAGCCCAGAGTCCGAGTCGTAGCCTTTCTGCTCAGTCTGCTCACACGGCTCCCCGTCGCTCCTCCCCGAGCCTACGTTCATCTCACCGAATATTTTCCAGCACGCCGTCTTGGACAGACACATGTCCAAATCTGGCAAGTGTCGGCTGTCGTCCTTTTTGTTCAGGATCGCCTGGATGGAGAACGGCATCAGCGAGTTGCCACGAACGGCCATTTTCAAAGCAGCGGCGTTCAGTCACTTTTTAACTTGAGTAATTAGATCGGATCGTTCAGTAAATGTCAGTTCATCCACATTGCGTAACTTTTGTCTCCCCCAGCGGCGATTTCTGGTTGCATCCCCGCGGGAGAAGCGGTGGAAGGTTCCTGCTACATCCGCAGAGGCGATGCTGCTCCGCTGCACAGCTCCACCATCAGCTCAGGCTCGCTCCTCTCTCCGGCCCTTTTCACCCAGTTTTTTTTAACCGTACAAGCTTCACCTGTGACTGACGGACACTCCTTATCTCCTCCTATTGGTCTAGAGAGGAGGAAAGCCTTTATTCGGATTGGTCACTGTAAACTACGTCATGCTGCTTTCAATTGAGTGGGAAAAAGTTAAGAACGATTTTAGAGGAGGTTTTATTTTTAGATCGAATCGGCATGCTGGCTACAGCTGAAACGTTACCAATCTTTCGTACAAATCAGTATAGATCATGTTTGAAAGTTTGGGAAAGCGAACGTGAATAACTGGATTGTTTTCTCAACTCCTAAAAAGAGTTTAAGATAAATGAAAGAAAATACAGTGCGAAAAATCGGAGAGAGAGGCTCCAACATCATAAAAGCGTTTCAAACGCAACCCTTCATCAATCGGACAAACATTAGGTGCTTAACGAACGGGTCTGGCCGCACTCGGACAGGTCTGGTTCATTTTCAGGTCATTAGGGTTTATTTTAGCTGCTTTTATCTCCTCGACTGCATGATGATTGTAGTTTTCTGCCATTTTTACATAATAATTCCACTTTTCAATTTAACATGCAAATCGTCGTGCACAAGCTGAACGTTTGAACAAATGCACAACGATGATTAAATGATCTAATTATTATTTAAAACAAAATATTTCAACCGATCCTCTACGTTGTTGATGTTTAATTTAATCTGACATGAGAATGTTGCTGCTCAGCTTGCTGACGACCTGTCGCAGTTGACATCAGCGCTTAATCTTTTCTATCTGATAAACATCAGCCTGTGCAGGACAAATCAGTTTAATGCTCTCATTTGTTTCATTTAGTCTATTATTGGTTATCCAATGAGACAGACATGCACATTAGTAGTGCTATTCTTGTTTTCTGAGTTTTGTACTTCTATCATTTGTCACGAAAAATCACGAAGAAAACCAAAACGTTCAAGTTGTGTCTGTTTCGTTCATTTCTAATGTTCGGGGACTCGAAAACAATGTTGAACACAGGCTATTCGTTCTTTTTGATTTTTGTACAAGAAACCCAAAAATATGAAATCTTTTGGAAATCACAACGAGGAGATGTAATAGTGGTACGGAGCGTATACTCGGCAGGTGTAATGAGACTAAACAGATTTAAGGACGCACATGATCCTGAAGGGCATTGGTTATTAATGGTTGTAAAATACATTCATGTGTTTATTTGATGTAACAAGGCGGTGAATAAGAGCTTTATTAGCAAGAAACGAAAGAACTGGAAATTGAGACATCAGATAGATTAAATAAAATAGGAGATTTTAAAAATTCCCCGAATTGTTACAATAATCATTATTATTATTATTATTAACTTACAGCACGTTTTTCTCCAGATCAAAAAGTACAAAAGTGGATATTTATCATTGCTTGATGACAAGCTTAAAATGTCAGTTCACAGGTGTGTCATATGAACGGACCAATCCAGACATCATGTTATTATATATAAATATATGTGTATATAGGATTTTTTTCCAAATAGCCCACCCTTAATCCAGCATGTCCAAAATAAGCCTAAAATCATAACGTCTTTTAAAGGAGCAATATGTAAGAATTCTACAGTGAAATAATCACAGAACATTCTAATCAAGTGGGAAAGAAGGTTATATTGAAACAGATTTTCTTCTCATTCAGCTGTGTGTGTGTGTGTGTGTGATCCTTTCAATAAAACTAAATAGACCAAGTGAAGAAATAAGAGTTTATCAACTGTAAGAATAAACTTTCTGTATTTTTAGAGAGGACACGTTCAGTTTAAAATGAAAGCCAAAACTACTAGCATAGTTTCAAGGCTGCCTGTGAAGAACACTGGACCCACAGTGAAAGAGAGGAAGAGGAACAGAGATAGAGACGTAATTTTCAGTTTTTTTTTTTTTTTTTGGGGTCATTCAGAAGATCACCTTGGTACTGTGCTTTGGATCATTGTCCTGCTGCATAACCAAAGTGTGAGTGTCCTTAAGGTCCTGTATGGATGGCTGGACATTCTCATGCAGGATTTTCTGTCAGAGAGCAAAATGTCTGATCTAATAAATTAAGGGAAGTTGTTCACATCTTAAGGAGGCAAAGTACTCCAACCCATCCTCTGCCCTCAACCAGTAGAATTTCTATGGCATCCCTTGGCCAACATAGAAATATAATGCCTCCAACATGTCTTGGTCGATCCAGAGGCCTCCTGTCAACAGAACATGCCCACAACATCTCCCTGGGAGGTGATCAGTAGACATTCTAATCAAAAGCCCAAAACACATTTGGCTCCTCTCAGTAAATCGCTGTGAATCATTACTCTGGAAAAAAAAATTTACTAATCATTATCTGTTTTATTGTTGTGATTTTTGAGATTATATTATGAAATATTTATATTTATTCCATCACACCAACATCACCCATTTACCTCAGCATCACACCAATAGCACCAACAGACACATTTACCAAAAATTACTTTAAAATTCATGACTAAGTCACAAACGTCTGTTAGACTTTGTGTCCAGCAAATTTAGGTTTGATGAGCAGAACTTCTGACAAATTTATATCCATTAGGTTAATGCAGGTTCTTCTGACAGAGATGCACATCTATAAGCACTGATGTAGATAAAGAAAAAATGTTTTACTTTCTGAATTTTTTTTAACCAAATTATTCCCAATAGTATAAGCAGGAATTTCCAATTATGTGTTTTTTCAGACATTTTAAGATCCAAGATTACAGCCAATTTTCTTCTAATCATACGTTACATAAAGTAAACAGAAGTAGATTAATACCTAATGAGATTTTCCACGCTCCCTTAAAAGTTGGTAGTAGTAATAACAGTAATATGAATAGTAGTAGTTTGTGCAAAAATAATTTAAGCCCTCTCTATTAAAGTGGGTAGGTAATGAGGGGCAGGAGAGTCAATTTAGCACTTCAAAAAGGGAAACAAGAAACAAGACAGCAGGGGCAAAAAGAGCAGATCCAGACAGTGCCCCCTCCTTAAGGGTGGCTCCCAACACTCAGAACAGAAATGCAAAAATAAAAAAGGTGCGGGGGCAGGAACTCAGACTGCTGGACTTCCTCTGAGAGAGGCAGGGGGTGTTTCTCAATGCCAAGGAACCTTGTCTTGATGTCTTGGTCCTGCCCCGGTTACCTAGGATATATGTCATCAGGAACCACCAAGGCGTGTTCCAATGTTAATGTTCTACCGAGGCGTGTGTTCTCCGCTCATTAGCCGTTTAGCTAGCTGAGCATGGATACACGGGAGGTGTCTTGTAGCCCAGCCTTGGTCAAAAATTTCTCAGAATATGCCGCAGTATCTTCAAAAGGATGGCGGATTAGGAGCTGACAGCTACTTCAGGGGAAAATTTCAAGTTTAAATGCAAGTAAACTAATTGTAGCTATCGGGCTGATATCTAAAATGTTGTTTTAGATCCAAAGCAGTTAGCTATGGTTGGTTAGTTGCTTAGTCATTGCAGCTTTGGTGGCTAGGAGGGAGTAACTCACTAACATATTTAATTTAACAAATATAAACACAATTTAAATAGTAAAAGGCTCGGTATATATTTATATTGAAACTTATACAGATAAATTATAATGTTATCTCCCGTGTCACCTGCCATTACGTGACTGCCGCGGTCACATGATGCTAATCTGCTCCACGTTTTCTTTGATCAAGGAAGGACAGTGTCCTCATAAGCATGACGCAAGCAAGACATCGCCTTGCGAGGCCAGAGACACCTTGACATTGAGAAACACCCCCAATCTCTTCACGTGGTACAGCTGGGGTCTCAGGACCGGGCAGCATGGCTGGGGCCTCTGAAGATGACTGAGGCTTTTTACAATGGCTGGATTTTGGCGTGGATCTCCAGGTGCATCGGCATTTGCCCAGTGTGACCTGCAGGTGCTTGGTATTGATCTCTGGGGGGAGCGACAGGTGCTCGGCAGGAACCCTTCAGTCGGCACAGCTGGAGCCTCAGGACAGGAAGACACGGCTAGGGCTTTTGAAGATAGCTGGAGCTCAGTGTGGAGCTCAGGACGTGGTGGCAGCAGGTGCTCAGCATGGACCTCTGGGTGCAGCTGAAGGTGCTCGGCATGGACCTCTAGGTGCAGCTGCAGGTGATCGGCATGGACCTCTAGGTGCAGCTGCAGGTGCTCAGCGTGGATCTCTGGGTGCAGCGGCAGGTGCACGGACTTTGTGAGCAGCAGATATGCTGAGAGGCATGCTGACTATCCAGGAATACATAGGATACGTTAGAATGTGCTGTCTCGTTTATTTGTCAATGCTTATCAGAAAAACTAAAACATACACCAACCTGCTCACCTCTGGATGCTTTGTGGTCAGATCCTTCTGTCAAGAAAAAATGTTGTTTGATTTGGACCCACATGCAGGGGACCAGGCACAGGAAGCAGTCTGGCAGGTAAAAAGAATTGTTTATTAGAATAATGGCAGGTAGGCTGACACGTCGGGAAGCCAGGACGAGGATCTGGCACAGACAAGCACAAACAGAGGCTTTAAATGCACAGGGGCAATCAGGGAAACAAGGGACAGGTGAGTAGAATGAACACTTAAAAAGGTGAGACGAGACACAAGACAGCAGGGCCATGAGAACAATATGTACCATACTGAAAGATGGTAAATTGCTGACATTCCCAGAGCTGGGAGAATAGTTCCAGTTGGAAAATATACATATCTTTCCATATTTGCAGATTAGGGATTATTTTACAAGAGAAATACAAGCCCCCAAATTTCAAGGAGTCTTCTTGGTATGGTTATAAAAACATACAAGGGAACACAATTCAAAGAAATTTCAACATTTTATAAGACTATAAGAGAAGCTATACTGATATCAAGCATGTATTTCAAAAATAAATGTGAAAAAGAAATCAAAACTGATTTATCACTTGAAGAATAGCAAGATATAAAGATAAACAGGGTATAGCGGTGGGTTCTTAAAGTAATAAAAAAGCATCAAATTCAGTAGAGCCAAATACAAGGCCTTGAAAATATAAGAAAAGGGCATTAAATTATCAAAAAAATAAAGATACAAATTTTGATTATTTTGATGGTTTTAAGAATTCTGGCCAAGCAACTTACCCCGTTGGAAGATTTTTTTTACTCAAAACAAGAAGCTTTTGATAAGATTTAAAGTGACATGTGTATTTTTCCTGGAGATTAGGGCAGTACATACCTAAATCAATGCAAGAAAGAAGTATTTTTGGGTTTGGGTGAAACCTTATCAACGAATGTCCATTAGGATCAAAAATCCCTGCAAGTGTCGTAGCACACATGCTTTGCCCATTTGGAGGATAATTTAGTGACACAGATGGATCATTCTTGCTGTGTGGTTGATTGTTTGGACTGTGCGATATTTATTTTGAAGTTTTATTGGGATTTCCTCCTTTAAGGACCGCAAAATATGTTAAATAAAGAGATGCCTGGATTCCTGCAGAGCCAGACAGTTTGTGAGGCTAATTTTGATCATGGTAAAACCTTGTGACTAAGTATTTGTTAATTAGAGAAGATGTTTTTAAAAACACGGTCGCTTTACACTCAGCTGAGAATCAGCTCCTTTAAATCCGAGACCATGGTCTTGAACCAGAAAAGGGTAGAATGCCTTCTCTGGGTCAGGGACGAGGTCCTGCGTCAAGTGGGGGGGTAGTTTGAGTATCTCTGGGTCTTGTTCAAGTGTAAGGGAAAGATGGAGCGTGAGATCAATAGGCGGATTGGTGCTGCATCTGCAATGATGCGGGTGTTATACCGATCTGTTGTGATGAAGAGAGAGCTGAGCTGGAAGGCAAAGCTCTTGATTTACAGGTAGATTTACATTTCAACCCTCAACTTGGTCACAAGCTTTGAGCAGTGACCGAAAGAACTAGATCACGGATACAAGCGACCAAAATGAGTTATAAGCTAGTCCTGCCTTAAGCTCAGTCTGGAGAGTATGTTTTCGGGTAGATGGGTCATGTTATTGAGTCAGTGTGTGGGTTCACTAGTCTTGGATTGTGTTCATTTTTCTTAAAAAATGGTAAATTATTGTGTAGAGGAGGTACAAACTTCAGCAGGTACGGACACAGAGTCCACGGGTTTTCAAATAAGAGAATGAAAGGCACAATCTTCCGTTCCTGGCGTTTTGGGCAAACTGAAAACACGATTGTTTCTGCTCCGCACTTCAGACCAGAGGATCACAATCCCAGTGATGTGATGGGAGTTCAAAATGTCTCCTATCCTCCAGAGCACCGTGGTGGAGTTTAGAAAAATACTTGCCAACTCATTGAGCCCAAATCAAGTCAAGGAGGTCCGCGCTGATCTCCAGAAGCAGATGGGGAGCTTTTAAAAATTCCTAGCGAGCTGGGGATGTTGGTTTCTGGGTCGGAACCAGCTCAGAACTGGCACCCCCGACCTCCAAAAGAGGATGCAGAACTTTTAAAAATGGCTAGCGTGCCAGGGAAGCTGGTTTCTGGGTCGGAACCAGGTCAGAACCAGCTCGGAACTGGCACCCCTGACCTCCAGAAGAGGATGCAAAGCTTTTTGAAATTCCTAGTGAGCCAGAGAATCTGGTTCCTGGGTCTGAACCGGCTCAGAACTGCCAGTCTTGACATCCAAAAAAGGATGTGGAGCTTTAAAAACCCTGGTTTCTGGTTTGGAACCGGGTCAGAACCGACTCAGAACTGGCGCCCCCAACCTCCAAAGAGGATGCAGAGCTTTTAAAAATGGCTAGCATGCCAGGGAAGCTGGTTTCTGAGTCGGAACCGGGTCAGAACCAGCTCAGAACTGGCGCCCCTTACCTCCAGAAGAGAATTCAAAGCTTTTAAAAATTCCTAGTGAGCTAGGGTATCTGATTCCTGGGTCTGAACTGGCTCAAAACCGGTGCCTCCGACATCCAGAAGAGGATGCAGAGCATTTTTAAAAATGGCAAGTGGGCCAGGGAAAGTTTCTGTGCCATGAGCAGGCGTCTCTCCCTCTCTCTAAAGCGCTAACCCAGATAGCAGACGACTCCGCGCTGGATCCGGTTTCAGGCCGGCAGATCCGTAACAGTCACATCCATTTTGCCTCTGGCCCCCGAACCAGAGGACGGGACTAACACTCGGCTCATCTACGGTCTTGGCTCTGGGAAATGGAAGCGCCTTTTTCCCCTCCTTTCCCTTTTTTTCTCCCAGGAGGAGAAAAGAAGGAGCAGACTGCAGATATTGCATTTAGCATTGTCTTTGTTTGAAATGAACTGATTTTCAAAGTAAAACTTCATCAAGGTAAGGCAAACTTGGTCAAAACTTGTCAGAAAAATATTTACTTTAGCTTTGTTAATTACTTTAAGGACCTAATACTGGCAGTTAGTGTTAAAGACTTGAGCTAAGAAAGCTTTATAAGTGTGTTCATAGAAAAACTGTTGATTTTATGTTTGTGGTATGGTTAAAAAAAGAAAAACATACAAGTTGTAATAATTAGTTAAAGCCCTAAAATTATTAAATGAACAAATGTGCCACTTAAATGCTGCTTAGCATTATTTGGGTTTTAGCTTTGTTAGCTTACAGCCTCCTTATTAATCTGTCTGTATTATAGACAGTGTTAAAACCAATTAGCTCAATAATTTTACAACTCTATCAAAATACAGGTTTTTGTCAAAATTAGTATAGGTTTAGATGTCTAATAATTTATGTGTATCTAATAGATTAGTCTAATTCTAATCTATCTGGTTTGTTAAACATGTAAACTGAGACACGTGTTGTGAAAGAAAAACATGTAATAATAATAAGCACGATCACAGAGCAAAGTAATGTGTAAGCTGGTGGAGACTCTTGTGTGACTCTGTCAAGCACACCATAAAGGGAGATGGTGTGTTTATTTCTACCAGATCTCTACCAATAAATGTGTGTTGGGGTACAAGCCAGGCTTGATTTTCGGTACGAGAGTGACGGCGTGAGTAATCCCAACCATTACACAGTTTAGTACTCTAGTTTTATATGGTGTTGGCTAAAAAGTATTTGGGTTTAAAAATATACAAATAAAATGTGAGCAAATCTGGCTTGTGATCATTCCATTTAATAGTAGGCTACAGGTTATAAACCTTAATAAATGAAGACAGACCACTTTCATGTTTTTTACAGCTGCATTGTCTGGATGGATACAGTTTAGAAACTAAATCTCTTACCTGCAACTAATGTCATGTCAATGAATATGGTTTTATAAATTTCCACAGGTGACTGTCTAAGGTCCAGGGAGAAACTGGAGGCTTCACTGACCTGCCATACTTCTGAGTTACACACGAAAGATGAGGAAGAAATTAAACCAAGGTATGGAACTCTGAGACATGATGCATTTACATTAGAGAATAACAGCAAAATCATTTTTAAAAGCTATCGTATTTATTATGAAGCTATAAATAAATGAATAAATATGAATGGGTGTTATTTGTTTTTTAGGGTATTTGCATCTGTACTTTGGACCATCCTTCTGGACATTAGGAAAGGGAACGATGTGCACATGTGCAGCACGATCACGTTACACCGACTAACCAAGAAACAGGGATCAAACTGTCACACGATGACTGTGAGACACATATATAACTTTCTTGTTATTTTCCTCTTTATTTTGATCTTGCAAATGTTTGCTCTCCATATCTGTCTTAATCATGATTATCATCTTTGCTGTAATGGAGCAGACCTACTACCCCCATGCTACTTTTGTCAGTGACTTAAAACAAGTCTAGTTGGTTTCAGACAAACTTCAGACATTTTTTGATTTAAGGGTACAAGAGTGAATGCTTTCACATAGCTGCCTATCTCCACCTCCTGCATCATAACTAATGTTTTTGCTGTATTTCTTTCCCCAGGCTGCATCATCTGTCTCTATTCCTGTGTACGACATGCCTTCCAGTCCTCTTCTCCATGTCAGGAAGGTGCCCGATCTGAGAAGCTCTCACTGTGTTCAAGGTACCTTTCTTCATCAAAGTTTTCACCTATGAAAACAGTTCCAGAGATCTCCATTTTCTCCCCATTCTACCACTTGGCTTTGAGCTCCCTGCATCTCCTCTGAACATCAAGGCGGTGTGTTTAGCTCTAGATGCAGACTGGGCCAGATGGGTGCTGGACCAGTTCCTCGCTCAGGTAAAACATTTGTGTTTTAAGCTATGAAGATGATATTTAAAGCCTCAATGTGTCAGATTTACTTCCACCAATGGTATACCACAATACATGTTCTAGTGTTTCTCCTGCTCCTCTCACAGAATACAGAACTCTTAAGTTTTATTGTGGAGCAAACTAATCATGAAAGATGGCATATCTGTGGATGATAAACCTGAGTTTATTAATAGACAACATGAAATGTTACACACAGGGGCTTTAATTCACAACACTTGGTTGATCTGTTTAGCTTCTGTAGGTGTTAATGCACAATGCTTTTAATAAAATGTTAATTTTTCAGCTGCACATACTGGCGTTACTGGAAGAGACGAGGGAGCAACAGATGCTGCTGCTGTCACTAACCTAGCCCCACAGATTGTTGTCTGATGCTCCTGTGGCTGAAATGCTGCACACCATCAACACCCCACTGATGACCATGTCTGACGGTGAGGAACTGGAGGAGTGGCTTAAAGATCCCAGGTATTCATGTGAAATTGTGTCATGCTGGATATAAAAATGTGTTTGTCTTAATGGCAACAGGATCTTGGTGTGTATTTGTGTTTTCATACATTTCAGCACTGGTGTTGGAGGGCAGATCGACTGGAAGGATGTGAATGGGAAGAAGAGTTCCAAGGATTTGCAGAGCATCTGTTTGTTGATCAGTAAGTGCAATATAATACAGATAATTGGAGTATTTCCAACAGGACGTATGAAATATCTTTGTGCCACCTCCAAGTATATATCCAGATTTTTGTGTGTACTTCCTGCATCTGTGGGTCACAGCTGAAATGGCTTACAACTCCCTGGATACTGGTATGTGCAAATGTATTAAAAATGAATGATGACAACTCAAAAGTTTTTATTTTCACTGGTCAACCAAATCTTTTGCTCTCCTCAGTCTCTTCCACTACATTTTTACTCCAACGATGTATGCAACACTATCATGGACTTTTTTTAATCAGAAAAACGAGAAAATTCACCACCTTTCTACAGTTTCTACTGTCCATCCTCCCCCTGATGTGTTTAGTTATTCCTCACCTCTGTCCAGTTTATCTATTCCAGACGCCTCCACTATTTCATCACTCATCCAAAAATCTAAACCTTCAACCTGTCTTCTAGATCCTCTTCCAACCGCCTTAGTTAAAGCCTGTCTCCCATCCCTTTTACCCCTCATCATCAACATTATAAAGTCATCTCTTACCACTGGTTCTTTCCCCGCTCTGTTTAAGATGTCTGCTGTCACTCCCATCTTAAAAAAGCAAGGTGCTGATCCAAACGACTACAATGTCCTCCGTCCAATCTCTAACCTTACATTTCTATCCAAAATTCTTGAAAAAGTGGTCGTTGTTCAACTACACTCTCACTGCACCAATCCAGCAACTGCTGCATTTTAATAACTAGTATTAAAGGTGAATACACCAATATTTGCACAACAAAAAAATTTGTTTTAAACTCTCAGTGACACACTTTGCGGGGGTGGGGGGTGGCATTAAATACTTCTTGGCATCTGGAAAAACATCTCCTTCTGCCCCCCTTTATTTGACTTTCTCCAAGATCATTACTGGGCTGGCCCTATTAAACACGTTCTACACCCCTGCTTAGTAGACTTAATGAAGTATTTTTAAGCCAGTATAAAAATGACTGAAACACAAATTTACATATTTGGCATTATTGACCAATATCTTTGATTTAATTTATTTGTTAAGAACATCAAGATGCATTACGGTGAACATTATAATAAAGTACATTTTCTAGTGCAGAGAGGAGACAACCCATAAAAGCACTGATTTGATCTCATTTCAGAGAAAAATAGAACAGGTCAGATGCACCTAATAAATAAAATTACTAACAAACTCAGGAATCTGTTTCTTTGCTTCATTGTTCTGGTGCTGAAAATATCACTAATGCGGATCAAAGGAGACACACAGATGAATGCACCTCTTATTTATTATTTGGAAATCAGTGGGTGTGGTTTACATCAATACATTATTTTAAATCTGAAATTGATATGGATTGATCAGAAGTTGCTATGTGTATTGTTTATTTCAATTCAATTCAATTTTATTTATATAGCGCCAAATCATGACAAGAGTCATCTTGCAAGCAAGCATATAGCAACAGTGGAGAGGAAAACTCCCTTTTAACAGGAAGAAACCTCCAGAGGATCCTGGCTCAGTATAATCAGCCATCCACCACGACTCACTGGGGATCGAGAAGACACAGCACACACACACACACACACACACACACACACACACACACACACACACACACACCAAGCAATGTGTCTATGGTTACGCTGTGATTGCTTAGTAAATATTCTATTTGGCGAGAGATGAACTTTATTGTATTTATCCTAGTGAATCTATAATTAAACGGGTAAACTAGTAGTAGCACATCCAACGTCAAGGAAAGCAAAAATTTATTATTAGGAGAAGGAGAATATTTAAGTGGTTAGCAGCAGTGTGCTAGACGATGGCCCCCTCCATGAGGCCACCACAGCTCAGCAGAACATCGTTGTAGCTTCTTCTGGGGAGAAAAACACTTAGAGAAAAAATAAAGTTAACAGCTGCAATAGCAGGAAATACTACAGTTAAAGAGCAGATTGTAGAAGAAAGTGTGAAATGTGGTCAGTGTATCCTCCAGCAGTCTAAGCCTATAGCAGCATAACTACAGAGATAACTGGATAACCTAGCCCTTTTAGATGGAGGCATGTTGGAGGCAAGGCAAGGGAGAGCCATCTTTACAGACTACACTCCACCTCCCTCTACACCCCACTTGTCCAGATCTAGGCTGATATCAGATTTTAACCACAGGCCCTATCAAATAAAAATGTTTTAAGCCTTGTCTTAAAAGTAGACAAAGTGTCTGCCTCACGGACTAAAGCTGGGAGCTGGTTCCACAGGAGAGAAGCCTGATAACTAAAAGATCTGCCTCCAATCCTAATTTTAGATATTCTGGGAACCACCAGTAAACTCTCAGTCTGAGAGCGAAGTGCTCGCTTAGGAACGTATGGAACAGTCACTGATGTATGATGGACCTTGATTATTAAGAGCTTTGTATGTGAGAAGGAGGATCTTAAAATCTATTCTGAATTTAACAGGTAGCCAATGTAGGGAAGCTGACAGGAGAGATATGATCTCTCGTTTTAAATCTCATCAGAACTCTAGCTGCAGCATTTTGGACAAGCTGAAGACTTTAAACTACATTCTGTGGACTTCCTGAAAACTATTTACAGAGCAGCCTCAGAATTGAGATTAAATATTTTTGATCACAATAGTAAAGGAACTATTACAGAACAAGTTTTTCAGTAAAATCAGAACATTAATATTTAAGTGCATGAATTAATACATCTGAACTCATGCAGTAGGAACTAGGAAATATGAAATATTAGAACCATTTTATTTTAATTTGATTAAACTGATTTTTCCTAATGTTGTTGGCATTTTTCCCACACACAGTTAAACAAAACAATGTTGATTGAGGTGTGTGTGTGCAAGAGAGAGCGGGAGGGAGAGAGAGTTAAAATTAAAAAAAATTAAAAATAAAAACAACCGGAGCGGAGGCAGTGACCGACTCATGCACGAGCCGTTTTCAGCTCTGTCTTGTCAAATGCACCACGGACGGACTGAGCTCCCGGCTGCAGTTTTGTGTGTAGGGAGGGGCGGGTGCTCTATGTGACTGGCCAATCACAGAGCGTGAAGACAGTCAGTTACCCAATGAGGATTTTCCTTCAGCATGATTACAGATATTTACGAGTTTTACTCGTTTCATGCTCGTATTCGTCAAAAATGCTTTATCCGTACCGGATACTAGTCTGAAATGAGTATCCGGCTCATCCCTAGCTTTAACCACCCTGCCCTGCCTCCTCCTCCTTGCTGCCTGCCGGCTATGATCACAAGCAACAACAGAGTAGTCCCTGCTGCTTCTTCGGGAAATGGTGCAAAAAAAACAAAAAAAATTAATAAAACTTGGGATCTTGCAGGCATGACGCTTGGATTTCAGCCATGGCAGGCCGCCACGGCTACAGCTATGTAAGGGAAATGTTTGTCAATTTTTATCTGCACAGTGTCCTTGAAAGTCCTGAAAGGCGCTTCAAATTAAATGCATTATTATTATTATTATAAACTGAGAAATCACCAGCCTTGGATGTGTTCAGATTCTTAAAGTATAGGCTTGTTTCCTTTAAACAGCAGCAGTCTGGAACAACCATGCAGCTGATTCCTGTGCTGGTTCGGTCTTGCTTCTGACCGTGGAGGTGGCTGGAAAGAGAGCAGCCAGAGAGGCCATTTCTGAGGTAAGTTTTACAGCATCTACAAATAAAATGTGTTGCACTCATTTTGCACAGCGTTTGATAACTTGTCTTACTTATTCAATATGAATGTCTATAAATGCAAATCTGTATAGTTGGGCTGCTCGATTAATTTAATTTAAATAAAAATGAAGATCCTGGTTTTGAACAAACCCATCCATCGATTTTCCTCCGCTTATCTGGAGCCGGATTTCAGGGGTGTGTGTTTCTTTTTCTCTGATTGTGCTTTGGTGCAATTTTATGGTCAAATAAATAAATGAAATAGAAGTTAATTTAAAATAGTCTCCTAAAAACAGATATCACAATTTCAGTGAAGATAAGTGTGATCATCATTTTTGGCGTAATCGAGCAGCCTTACTGTATATCATTTAGGAGTTCTTTCACCAAACCAACAATAATGAAAACATAGTTTACTTACTTGGCTCAAAGCTGGACTTTATTTTTACCAGTTTAACTTTACTTAACATAATACTATGAAAATGGTAAATAGCTTGTATTTGTATAGTGCCTTGCCTTCTAGGGTTCTACAGGGCCCTTCACAACATACCTGTCATTCACCCATTCACACACACTTTCACACTCTGGTGGTGATGAGCTACATTGTGACCACCGCTGTTCTGGGTCGCACTGACAGAAGCAAGTGCTACCAGTCCCTCCAACCACCACCAGCAGTCAAGAGAAGTTAATGCCTTGATCAAGGACACAATGACTGACAGACTGAGCAGGACTCAATCCCACAAACTTCCAATTACAAGATCATCACTTAACCTTGCGTAACAGTTCACACTTTATCCTTATCTAACAAAACACCAATCCTAAACCTAAGCTCATAGAATAAAGTGTAATAGCAAACTAATGTAAAATACACATAAAAACTTAGAAAAAGATTTGTTTTTTTTTTTTGTTTTTGGCAGGTGCCTCCTCACTGAAGACTCCTGTTGAAACAACCAGAATGTTTTCTTTTTTCGGCTTTTTTCAGTTTTTTTGGACTATTTGTGTGTGTTTAGAAAAATAAACATGTTAAATCAAATGTTGCATTTGTCCTTTAAATTTGAATTTTATTGGTGAATTCTGTTGCTTAAATATTTCAATTCATTATTCTGATTTAAATTACCATGGTCAGATCATATCTGGATCTGCAACGGAGCTGGGCCAGACTCAGGCCAGATGTGGTGCAGATTTGTCTTGGAACTTGACCAGAGTAGGACTGGATGACAATTTAAGAATCCACATTCGGCCCGGTGCCGGTCCAGTTTTGGCCCTGATTTGGAAAAATGGATCCGCACCGGTATTGGCCCGGTGTGCTAAAGGACACAGGCCCGGGTCCATTTTGCGGATCCGGGCCAGATTTTACGAAGGCTCAGAGGCCAGATCTGGGCCAAATGATTTTTGCTATCTGGGAAGCTACGTTACGTGAACAGATATTAACGAGTATGAAACAGATGACAAATGCTCATTATATAGTTTGTTATTGTCAAGAATCAATATTATATTAAATGACCAATAATATTTTAAATGTCTGGTCTGGTGCATGACAGTAATCTGTTAAACATTGGGATGTTAGCACACGTGTTTAAGCTAGCTAGCTAGCTAGCATTGTTCACTCAGCGAGACACCTGCTCTCTCCACAGAACCTCCTGGCACCACAGCTAAATCTTTCTCTCTAAATTGCTCTCAGGGGCGTGCAGCAGGCTGATAACTGGACAGTTGTGGTCCACCATAGGTGTATTAATAAACATTTAAAGTTTCCTCTGTGTCAGAGTCTGCATTAAAATCCATATTTTTCTCTGGGTCAAGCCAACAGGACTCCCACTGCCTCCCCCTGTCTGGTTTTGCAGAAAAAAATGTTTTTCTCATAAAAACGACTCAGTGCCTAACTAATTTATTTATGTGTACATTTTTATTTAGAACGAGTTCCTATTTGTTCACAGGAGGCTCTAACCTGCAATATGCTCTTAAAGAATATTTGCCTTATTTTAAAGAGCAAGTCACCCCTTACAAGAAGCGTACCTCACTCCCACTTCATGTTTCAAAAATGCAACAAATGCTGTTGCCTAGCAGACCGAGAGGGTGGAGCCACTAACAAATACACACACTCATGACATTGTGACATCATAATGTACCAGTTTACATCATAGTATACCTCTTAGCCAATAGCGGTGGCAGATTTAAATTCAAATGCAGTGAAGAGTTTTTACCTGACAATGGCACAGCACTGACAGTTTCAGGCAGAAAATTTAAATTTTAACTAAAATGCACTAAAGTGCAAAACTATTGACTACACGTGTCTGCAGCACGATTAGACACGCATTTATATAGTTTATCTAAAAAAATAGTTGGTTTGGGGGTGACTTGCTCTTTAAATAATAGAATATTTTTTCTGTTTAGACTAAAAATATATGAAAATGTCTAAAAATTAGGCTTTTTTAAAACTTTCTTAGAAATCAGTTTTTGCAATGTATCCATTTATTACAGCGCATAGGAAAAAGGGCATCTAAGACAAAGGAGGCAGGTGCTAAAGCACTCAGTTTTTTTTTTAAATATGTCCTTATGCAAATATCTGTCCAGAGACTGCAGGTGGCTTATAACAATGCATTAAGACTTCTGGTTAAAAAAAAAAAAAAAAAAAAAAAAAATCCCAGATGTGAACTGTTTGTTTCTGCCGGGGTCAGCACATTGAAAGCTGTTTTAAGAAATTTTATGTATAAATTTATATGCCATCTTAATATGTCCAAGAACAGTGTCATCCTAACTCTGACTAATACCAGTTATAGTGCTGCATGCTACACCTCTAAGCTATGGAAGCACTGGTATGATTGTCTCTTGTAGGATACTGTTCTTCTTTGTTGTTTTCTTTTTAATGTCACCTTTGTATATTTTTCTATGTATGTTTTGGACCGTGAGTCTGCAATAAAGGCTACTACTACTACTACTACTACTACTACTACTACTACTACTGCTGCTGCTACTACAACTACTTATGCAAATGTCTGTTTCACATCCATATCTGTTTTGTCATGCATTAAATATTTTCTGTAAACAATAAGGGTGATTACTGCATCAAGAAAAATCATCTCATCAGGCTCATCAGTTTTTGGAAACTGATGAAAACTTTTATCAATTTTTTATATTTGTAACAATTTTCAGATGAAAAGGGGCTGTCTTAACATGTTTGGTGCTGAAAACACCATTGTCCTATTTATAAAAAATGTTTTTCAATTTGAATTGATGTATTTATGCAGTTAACGATCAGCGTGCTACATGACTGGATTTTTTTCATTCTAAGTGTAAAAAAGTGAATACGAACAAGAACGATAATTGTAGATCATGAGGTTTGTGATTAGTTCTTTATGTGTGTTCTCACGCCCTCTGTTGGTGGGAACAAAAACCTGCACCCATAAAAAAGGTCAAGTGGGAAGATGAGATATTCATCTTATAATAGCAACATCAGGGGGAAAATATGTATTTTATTTATTTTATAAATTCACATTGACACAAGTCTTTGACCGTAAAACTTGAGGTAAAATCTACAGCCCATTTCCAGTAAAGAACTCAAATTTAATGGCTTATTAAAGTCCATTAGAGACCGCTACATCCGCCTTCATCCTACTGACTCCAGTTATTATGCCACTTTTATCTGAGGTTTGAACTAAAATTTTGTCTGATGTAGTAAAAGCCCGTTACTGTGGCAACATCATTATTTCTCCCTTTCTTTTTCTTTCTTTTTTGCAGGGTGTGTTTATGAAACGTCTTGATTTTTGTGTTTTAGTACGGAGAAGCAGGCACACACCACATCACTGCTGCCAAATTGTGTTCAGATGTAGCAGCACAGCAGAGGGCACTGCCAAGAGTCATTTGCTGTAAATGCTCCCAAATGCCCTCTAGATTTCTCATCAAACATCAGATCCACCATGATCGCACCCATAATCAGCATCAGCGCTAGAAAGTGGAAGGCAAGAAAGGGGACGGGGAAGGAGGTTGCTGCCAGCTTTAAGTATGCTTTTAGTGAACCGAACCCCTTTTTCCCAAAGAAAATTTTTATTTGCATGCAACTGAGCTTTAAATGAGACAAAGCACTTAGTGCAGCAGATGGAAAAGGGACACAAGTGCAGACGTTCCCCTGCCTTTCTGCAAGCTTTTCAAAACATCTCAGCTGCATACACAAGAGCAGGACTGCTGCTACAGTCCAATTAATGTGTGTAGATGGCACAGACATGATTTATAGTTTTATTTTCAGCTCTGCCTTGCTGACATTCGAGCTTCCATCAGCCTCTGGCATGCAACAGATAATGCATGCAGCTCAGGCACACAGACTTCTGAGGTCTGAAGGACCTTTCGTTGCCTACTCAGGGCTTCTTTCTCTTCCGCTCATGCCTAAATAAAGACGTCCCTCAAAGCTTTTCTTTGATTTTGGGCAAAACCATCACATCTGAGTAGACGAGTGGACACAGATATGAATACTTCAAGGATCATCTAGAAATTCTTCTTTTCTTTTCAGACGGTGAAGTGGGCGTCAGAGGCTGCAGCTGTGCTATATCATGGATGGAAGGAAGACATTTATCTCTCTTAGAAATGTTCCGAGCACCAAGGCCTCCGCTAATGCACTGATTGTGTGTTGATTGATTAATCACCTTTTCTGAGACTTGCAAAGAAAAACGTTCACGTGTAAAACTGGCAAAGGAGTCAAGTAACCAGATACAATACTTACTATACTTAAGTACATTTTTGAGTATATATCACTGAAGTAATTACTCGACTTTTACTACTACTTTAATTTTCACACAATTATTTGTACATTTTACTCCTTACATTTTAAAAACAGCTTCATTCCTTGTCGGCTACTTGTCATTGCTGTCTATTATTATTAAACAAAATGCAAACCCAGGTTAATTGCACCATCCAGATGGAGTGAATTTGTTCCATTTGAATGATAAATCTACCATTCTCCCAACCTACTGGTTTGTACCATTCCCATAGGATTCTTTGATTTAAATGGTAAATGGCCTGTATTTGATATAGCGCCTTCTAGAGTTCTTGAAACCCCTCAAGGCGCTTTACAACACAATCAGTCATTCACCCATTCACACACACACATTCACACACTGGTGAGGATGAGCTACAATGTAGCCACAGTTGCCCTGGGGCGCACTGACAGAGGCGAGGCTGCCGAGCACTGGCGCCACCGGTCCCTCCGACCACCACCAGCAGGCAACGTGGGTTGAGTGTCTTGCCCAAGGACTCAACAACAGCGACAGACTGAGCGGGGCTCGAACCTGCAACCTTCCGATTACAGGGCGAGCGCTTAACTCCTGTGCCATTGTCTCCCCCAAATTTGCACTGTACTAAAATGCATTAATTTGTGATGGGTGCACATGTGACTAACAGGTAGCATAAGAAAATACTGATACTGAAATATCACAATATTGTGTGTTATGAAACTAAACCAATATTTAAAGTAACACCAAAGAGGTTTCAACAAATTATTCCTTTTAAAGTGATTTTCAGTGATTCTTGAGGTAGAAACTTTACCAACTTTACTCTGCAGCCCTCTGCTGACCACTGCACTTATTTACCATTCTTACCAGGGACAAGTAGGTTCACTAGGTGGAGCTCTCTAGCTGCTTTACAACTGTTAGCTATTTACTCTGCTGATAGCTAATATAAAGGCCAGCAGTTAGCTTTATAGTTCACCGACCATCGGAAATAGCACAAGGAAAAGGTTGAATTTTCGAATTTTCAGTCTCACCAAACTGTCGTCGTCATGAGTTTAGCGGGCTTCAAATCCTTCTTTCAGGTAAAAGAAGGAACAATAAATGTGGAGAAAATCACTTTAAATCTGGCCATGTGGTAAGCAGCAGATACGCTGAGGGAGAAGAGATTCTATTGTACTATGACATCAAATGCAACTTCTGATCTGTAGTCTGTTCAATTGCAAATTTTAAAGTATGTGACAGATATAGATGAAAGACACAATTACTTTTCATTTAAACTGAAGAACAACGTATGTGTGGTTCAGGGCATAAGGCAGAGTTATTCAGGGCCTGGAGGGCCACTATCCAGCACATTTTAGTGGTTCCTCTGCTCCAACACACTTGATTCAGTGGTTGAATCACCTGTGTAGCAGCTCCTCAGGTTCTGCAGAAGCCTGTTAATCACCTGCTGATTGAAACAGAGTTAAGACTAAAACCCACTGGCCCTCCAGGCCCAGAATTGATTAACCCTGGCATAAGGCAAAGCAGAGTAGAAAATAGAGTTTGTAGCATCATTCACTTTCATTCATTTTCTCTGTATTCTGGGGACCCATGAGCCGACCGGTGGGGGAGGACACTCAGGCTTCCTATACTGGATGTGTCTTTAAAGTGTCCTGATTTTTCCAAGTGACAAATATCAACTGGCTTATATATATATATATATATATATATATATATATATATATATATATACACACACACACACACACAGTTTATCCAACTATAAATAGTGTAATGTCGATTCAACCTGGGTCATTTTTAGGGCTCCCTCTTGGTGTGTCAGATGAGGGCTTTCGGAAGAACCCGTCACCCTTTAAGGCAGGGGTGGGGAACCCTGGTCCTGGAGGGCTGCATGTTTCAGTTGTTTCTCTGTTTCAGCACTCCTGACTCGGTGGTTGAATCACCTGTTCAGCAGCTCATCAAGAGGCCTGTTAATCACTTGCTGATTAAAACCAGGTGAGCTGAAGCACCAGATTCTTGCCTAGTGTATCAGAAATTTATAAGTTTTATTTAACTGAGTCTTTATGGCCTTTTAAAAATGATTTTGGTAAGCTGCGGCTACAGCTTTTGTCTTTAATGGCATTAATTTTTGTTACATTACATTTTCTTTAAGTAGACTTTTTTTTTTACTTTTACTCAAGTAAAAAAGTTTGAATTGATACTCCCTACAGAATTTTTTTTACCACATTGCAAAGAATGTGAATACTTTTGACAATGGTTAGAGGTCTAGTTTTGTAAAGTTAACCATAAATAAACTAATTTGAAAACTACTTTGTGTGTAAAGCTCATCACCCTCAACATACAGACTGATGAAAATGAGCTTTTATGCTTTAAATCCGCATATTATGAGCTAAAAATGTATTATTTCTAATGAGATTGGTGTTTTTATTGGATTTATTGCTGTCAGAATTAGTGAACAGTTCAGAGAAATAAAGACAGGTAACAGGTAATAGAAAAAACAGGACAAGAACATTAACCTCTGAAGATCAGGTGTCTCTGTTTAGGTTTCTAGTTTCATTGGTTGAGTTTGGCTTCACCTGTCCTAATGAAAACAGTTTCCTCCTGAACGTGTGTGTCCATCCTCAGATTACAAGGATGGCTGATCTAATCCTTGAGAGCATAAAACCATGTGCATCACGTGTCTGTTGATCCTCTGTGAATGTACTTTGCATTGCTCAATAAAAACAGAAAAGTCCAGATTAAAAGCATAAACATGTGTTTTCATGACTTCATACGGAGCTGACATTCTGCAAACAATCCATCTGCCTCCATGTGGGAAAGTAAACATTTTTGCTGCACATTTGTTGCAGCTTCTGATGCCAAAAGTCAATCTCAAATCTCCACTCAGCCGCAGAAATATCAAAATAACCACAGAAGAGTGAAAAAAAAGAAACTACAAGACTCAATGCCACCACTCCTCCTGCGGCCTGTCGCTGGCTATTTCTCAGACTCTTGTGTGAAACATTTTTGACATTAAACACCTGTTAACTTTTATGTCTTGTGAGAAGAGTGGCTGAAAGGCAGAGCATTATGTTCAGTGCCAACCAGCCGGGTCCAATCCCCAGTAGAGGAAAGACCACTCCCAGAGTAGAGGCACAGCAGCAGGAGCGAGCCCCATTTCCCCCCGCAGCAGCATTTCAAGGATCCCCTACACTCAGAACCAAAAGTTAGATCTATTCCAGTTGACAGCTGTGTAAAACCGCCATCTTTCCACAGCTCTGCTGCACAAACGGCACGACTACCACCTGCAGACCTGCTGGAGAGCTAGAGGAGGGATACGTGAGGTAATTTATGTTGAAGCTGTCCTCCCTCAGCTCTCTCTTTTCTGCACTTTCAGGTTTGGATAACAGGTCTGGGTGTGACGAGCTAGAGTGCAGAAAACCAGCAGCCCTCATGTTAAAGTACATAAAAAAACAAGCTGCACAGCCTTTTTCCAGCTCGCTGCAGGTGACTCAGCCAGCATTTTGACTTTCTTCAGTGTGACTGAAGTTCTTATGCTTTTTCTTTACGCCATCAGAAGTGGAAGTGACGACCTTTCATGGTGTCTCTTCTAGAGGTGGATCGATATATCAGTAGGCCGATATATCGGGCCAATATTTACCATAAAATATATACATATATATATGTATATATATATATGTATATATATATATATATATATATATATATATATATATATATATATATATATATATATATATACACATATCAGCATCGACTGAAATACATTGGCTTGTGAAGACATTTAACATTTTAAATGTATATTAAAGTTCCTGAATAACAGCTGCACAATAAACACAAACATTTCGTTTTGTATTTAAAAACTTGGTCAGTTAATTGATTTTCTTCATCAACTTTAACTAGATGGGGTTATTAGTGACATTTTATCATGCAGATAGAAAACATCTAGATACCAACCATGAAAACTGACCCATCGGCTGACCGTGACCTCTGCATCTCGACGTTTTTAGAAAAGCCCATCAGTCAACCTCTGGTCTCTTCTTCACCACCTGGACTCAAACATGTTTTTATTTATTTGTTTTGGCAGATCTGCACAACCATTAAGCGCTCATTGCAACGCTTGATTGGTATTGTAACGGAAACAAAGTGATGTAACTATCTAAAGTTGTATTTTAATACACTGTTAGTAGTTCACTTTTATAAACAGAAGAATAGGCTGTTTTTATCATCAGGGAGTTTAATTAAACACTCTGTATTGACTTTGAGACAAGAAAAGAGAGAGAGATGGGATCGTTTGAGAATCTTTAATTTCTGAATTATAAATTCTAAACAATCTACCAGGACTACTCTGTGATGGATGAGAATGGATTCGGATGTTGTGTTGGTGCGTGTGTGTGTGTGTGTGTGTGTGTGTGTGTGTGTGTGTGTGTGTGTGTGTGTGTGTGTGTGGTTCAGATTCTCTAGGATGACGTAATCGAATCTGGTCGTCTTTGTTATGACTAGATATCACGAGGCTTATAAAGTGATGACATGAGCCGCTATTTTGCCGTGTAGTACCCAGTGGGGGTCTCCCAGGTAGATCAGGAAGTGCCAGGTCTGGAGACCTCGGATGTACGATGGAGCTGTCGGTGCAGCGATCACAACGTTTCAAAGCCCGTCTGGAGGGTCGACCCCGGTACCGTTCAGAGGCGTCAGCAGGTGCTCTTATTTTGAAAGGACGTCGTTTGGTTGTTAAACGACGAAAATCTCCCGCTTCACAGTTCTTAGTTTAAAGAAGAAAACACATGTGGCCAGGCTGCGCTTTTCTTTAGGATGACGGTGAATAGAACTGAAGTCAAAATGGAACTGACTTAAAATGGCGTTGCCTTGTTTTATATCTCTGAATTGTTGATAAGTTGGAGTAAAGTGGATTGGACACTTGAAGTCAACACCAGATTCTCCTGCGGCAGCCGAAAGCTCTGATTGGTTGGAACAATGTGTCATGCGTTTCTATGGAGATGAGGATCAGTATGTCTGTGCCGTAGTCCTGTTTTCATTAAACATAATTCATGACATAATATTTCACAGATCATTCACTTGATTATTGTTGATCAACATCTGTTTTGCTTAATAATTTTAATCACAAATAAAGTACTTTGATTAAGTAAAGCTTCTTCTTCTCCTTCGGACTCTTCTCCTGGAATGTAAACAGTCTGAGGAACACCCGACCTTGGTTTTTCTACACGGTGTTATTGTGCCCAGGGGCCAGCTGTATGTAGCTGAAAACAATGAACTTCATTACCTTACAGTGTGCAGATCTTTGTTTTTGAACAAATACCCACTCCTACTGTATTTTGAATACCTTATTTAATGATTTCACTCAAATGCAAACCTAAAATTAAATGTTTCCTTCCCTGAATAAAAATTTGAACTATAATGTAAAACTCACATTTCTATGTATTTCTCTTGTTTTACTTATTTTCTTCTGTTGACCTAAAGGCATCCTCCTTCAGTTAAGATAAGGCTGGCAAAAAAATAAAGTGTAATCTTAAAATCACCCTGATGACTTTACACTAACTGCATTCCATTTTTAAATCAATTTGAAATCACTATTAGTCAAACTTCAGAATTCTGATCTGTAAAAATTCAAATCTCTCAAAGTTCCTGTCACCAAACGAGTTCATTTTAAGTGTTTCATGTTTTTCTCACCTATATTACCATTTAACTCCAACATTTTCCTTTTAAATGATAAAAATGTCAAAGTTGGTAAAAACACGTTTTATCGATAATTTGCTCAATGCTCCCAAAAATATTTTGATTACATCAAACGTCTCCAAATCTGTCTAATTAACTGGGAAACTAATTATTTTTGCATTAAATCGTTGTTTTAAATCTTTTTCTTTTCTGCTGCTGTTTTCTTTTTATTATGTATTTTTATTTTCTGTAAGAAAACATAAGTGTGTGATTAGCAGCACATCTGGCACCAGAGGCAGCAACAAAAGTGATGTTTGGACATAGCACATATGATTTAAAAGGTTAGTGATTGCTTTTATTTTAGCGTTTCTGGTAATTATTTTAAATTTTAGCCTCAATTTGAGCTCCTTGAAAAATCCTCTTTAAATCCGCCTGAGTCTGCAATTTTCAGACCTGCAAAAGCTGCTTATCAATTGAAAAATCATCGCGGATCACAAAGTAAACCTGTTGTTCTGATGGTAAGAGTGAAAGGTGCACTGTTAGTGAGCCAGGCCTGGGGGCTGCATGAAAACTGATCCAAAACCCTTTCAATAAGACTTGTTGAGCTAATATTTTATGGCTTGGATTGCAGAATCAGGAAATACCCGAGAGGTACACCTTTAAGGAATAAAAAAACTTGGCAACCCGCGGGAATGGTTGGAAAACTTCAGGCAGAGAGCTTTCTGCATCCTCCCTCCCGAAAGCTCACACACAGCGATTAAAGCCGGCTAACGCGTTAATGGTAACAGGGACAGCAGTAGCTCAACAGGTTGAGCGGGTTGTCCAGTATTTGGAAGGTTGCAGGTTCGATCCCGGCTCCGTACAGAGAATTCTGCTGTTGTGTCCTTGGGCAAGACACTTAACCCACCTTGCCTGCTGGTGGTGGTCAGAGGGACCGGTGGTGCCTGTGCTCGGCAGCCTCGTCTCTGTCAGTGCGCCCCAGGGCAGCTGTGGCTACATCGTAGCTCATTACCATCAGTGTATGAATGTGTGTGTGAATGGATGAATGATACACTGTAGTGTAAAGTGCTTTGGAGTCCTTACTCTGAGAGGCGCTATACAAGTGCAGGTCATTTATCATTCATTTAATGACGGGGGATATTTCCCTTGGAGTTTGTCAGTTTTACCCCCCATTACCAGGCAGGAATGTTCTCTCCTCTCCTCCCACTCGCAGGTGACTGGTTTGAGCTTGTGTACACATCACACACAGAACATCCATTTAGGAAACACTTGAGATAAGGTTCAAGACATAATACGGGTAAATGAACACAAACACACGATCTGCTCTCAGATCAGCAAAGACAAGGGGTTCTGTTGTCCCAGAGGAGCTTATTAGATAGTAAAGAATTACCTGAGCGAGGGAATGAAAATGAAACCAGACATTTAAGTGGAATTTTAAGGTTTATTATTAAAAACAATTAAAATAACATGTTTACATAAATGACTTAAAGACTAAAATAACCTAAAGAGATACTTTGGTCAGTCTTGGTTATTAATAAAACTAATGTTTGTATACTGACAGCTGGTAAAAATAATTCAACATCTATGTAATCAGTAGGAAACAGCGCTGAGCCCGCAGGAGTGAAAGAGTGACACTCAGACATTTCTAATACTTATTAAACAAACTAGACTCTCTTTTATGTAAATATTTAGACTGAATAAATTCATGGTAGAAAAATGTTTCCTTTCATTCACAGAATGAATACCAAGAAATGAAACTGACAACAACCGTCGGACGAGAACAGGTATGAGAGACGTGAGCCGTCTGAAACGCGACGCGGCCTCTGCCGAGTGGCAGCTAGCGTTCTTTATCTTGAAGCAAAAGCTCGGAGCCACATGAGGCCTCCGATTGGCCCGAAGCACTCTGGATCGGACTTCAGCGCTTTGTGGTTTCTTTAGTAATGCCCACAGTAAACCAAACCATATGGGCAGACGGGATTGTGGGGGATTCTAACAGATTCTCTGATTTACACTCCGTCATCGGAGGAGAGTGTGAAATACTCTCCAGAGCTTTTTGGCATCGACGGTCACCGAGGCACAAACATCTTTACACGCTAACTGACAGCAGAGGTCTCTGAATGTGAAGTGTAAAAACAACACAGCGGGGGCCCACGGCTGCGCCGCTCTAAGAGGTCTCAGCGCTTGGCTCTCTTGGAAGGGGGCTCCTCTGATTTCTGTCCTCCCCGCGTTCTCACAGCAGGAGGGCTGGCCTCCCGCTTACGGGCCCCCTTGGCTGCAGCCTGGGCCCTCGTCCCGCTGCAGGAGGGAAATAACGAGCAAGTGTCAGATCATTTGTCCAATCTAAGGTTTTTTGTGAAAAGCCCTGCAACAGCTCCGACATGCACACAGACCAGAGCTTGTCCACTTTACAAAGAAAAGAAACCGCATGAGAAAGAATTTAAAAACACCATTCTCAGGTTTCAGGACGTCTGTAACTTTCCTGGAATTAAGAAAAACACAAAAGAAACATTTTGGATGACAATCCGGTTTAAAACAGGAGCGAGGAGGAACAAAACCAGGAAAACTGTACTAAAACAAACCTTCAAATGTGGTCATATTAAACATGGAAGTGCATTCTATCACTTCAGAGACCTAAAAATCGTTTAAAAATGTGAAAGTTCATTATTCCACGTTGAACTTCTAAATCGAGGATGCATCTTCTTAAACTTTAATTTTTTAACTTGATATTGAAATTGACACAAAAGTATGTTTTCCATGGATTTGTTAAAAACAAAAAACAAAGCTAAGGAACGTTTGGCTGTAGCGTTACAATTAGATAAATTTCTGAGATGAAGTCATTTATCAAATAAAGAATAACTTATTCATCCTTTTTTTCTTTAGCAAAATAAAGAGAACTTGAGGGGTTGTCTCAAAATCCTGTCAATAACTGACCTTTAATTTAAAATAACCATAAAAGAACAAACAACTTTTATGAAAATAGTCTCAAAAATGCAATAAACAATCACCGTTTATTACCTCCTTCATAAAAACAGTTAAAAAGATTTATTCATTCATTTATTTCTGGGCGCTAATGAGATTCCAGGAAAAGGTTGAATAAAAAGTTCTCTTTGACAGAGCAGCAGCGGTTTGGTGCTGAAGCTCAAAGAGACGGACTCACCGTGTGCCAGCTGTGGTCTCCTCTTTTACGTTTTGTCGACTAGCCCGCGTCGACGGTTTGCTCGGCTTATTTCTGGGAAGCAATAAAAGAAAATGACAACTTTAGCACCAGATTTTCCTTCTCTGCATTAAAGGTTATGAAATAGATTTTTTTTTTCCAGCTGAATATTTGTGTGAGAGGAGTGCTGACTCAGCACTGATAGGTTATTTTATAGGGTAACTAAATATTATCAGCATGTTTTCACTCTCTAGTGACTAAACTTAAGTTACCTCTCAGCCTCCAGACGAGACGCCAAGCGAGTCGTAGCTCTGGTTTTCATTTCCTTTCCCTCCTCTCCTTTCTCACCATCATCGTCCTCTTCGTCGTTCTCCTCCCCGTCTTGCTCGTCTGCTTTGTTGTCCTTTTTGTCTGAGGGAGACATGAGTGGGAGGCTTTGTGAATTTCAGCTGTGGAAAGTCTGTCCTGCCATTAATCTAAATAGGCTCAACTGGACCCACAGGGCTACATATTGTGGACAAAATTGTTGGTACCCTTTAGTCAATGAAAGAAAAACCCACAATGGCCACAGGAATAACTTGAATTTGACAAAAGTAGTAATAAATAAAAATGATATAAAATTTCACCAATGAAAGACACACATTGTTTTTCAACCATGCTTCAATGGAAATATTTAAAAAATAAACTCATGGAACAGGCCTGGACAACAATAATGTGACCAAAGGGACGTCTTAATTCAAGGTGTCCACTAATTAGCATCTCAGGTGTCTACAATCTTGTAATCAGTCAGTGGGCCTATATATAACGCTCCGGATAGTCACTGTGCTTGGTGACATGGTGTGTACCACACTCAACGTGGACCAGAGGATTGTTAAAGGTAAAGGCTATAGGACCATCTCCAAGCAGCTAGATGTTCCTGGGACTACAGTTGTACATATTATTCAATCCATGGGACTCTAGCCAACCTCCCTTGGTGTGGCTGCTCAGAGAAAATTGATGACAAATCAAAGAGACAGATAACCCAAATGGTAAGGAAAGAGCCCAGAAAAACTTCTAAAGAGAAGGTGAACATCAGTGTCAAATTGCACCATCCGTCGTCGTTTGAGCCAAATGGGAGACGACGAAGGAGGACACCATTGTTAAAGACAAATCATGAAAAAGCCAGACTGAAATATGCCAAACTGCATGTTGACAAGCCCCAAAACATCTGGGAGAATGTCGTATGAACAGACGAGACAAAAATGGAACTTTTTGCCAAAGCACATCAGCTTAATGTTCAGACAGAAAAATGAAGCTCATCAAGAAAAGAACACTGTCCCTGCTGTGAAACATGGAGGAGGCTCTGTTATGTTCTAGGGCTGCCTTGCTGCATCTGGCACAGGGTGTCTTGAATCTGTGCAGGGTGCAATAAAATCTCAAGACAGTCAAGGGATTCTAGAGAGAAATGTGCTGGCCAGTGTCAGAAAGTTTGGTCTCAGTCACAGGTCATGGGTCTTGCAACAGGACAAAGACCCAAAACACACAGCTAAACACACCCAAGAATGGCTTAGAGGAAAACAATGGACTATTCTAAAGTGTAAAACATGCCGTCTGAAAAAGGCGCCCTTCAAACCTGAGACAACTGGAGCAGTTTGCTCCTGAGGAGTGGGCTAAAATACCTGCTTGAGGTGCAGAAGCCTCATTAAGAGTTACAGGAATCATTTGATCACAGTGATTGTCTCAAAAGGTTGTGCAACAAAATAATAAGTTAGGGTACCATAATTTGTGTCCAAGCCTGTTCCATGAGTTTATTTTTTTAAATGTTTCCATTAAAGCATGGTTAAAAAGCAATGTCTGACTGTCAGTGGTTAAATTTCATAGAATTTTTATTTATTACTTTTGTCAGATTTCTGTGACCATTGTGGGTATTTCTTTCATTGACTGAAGGGTACCAACATTTTGTCCACGTCTGTATACCCTTGGTTGTTTTTGCTTTTTTTTTGGTCACATTCATGTTTCCCATTAGCAAAAAAACAAACAAACCCAGATTTAACACAAAATGTAGATTTCAAATGATCTCATTCATTTGTGGTAGAAGTCTTTCTGAACCAATATGGACTCCACAGTTCAGCTGCCCGCAGAATTAAATCGCTTCAATAGAAGCCGTCTGAGACCATGAAGGAGGCCAAACGAGCTAAAGCAGAAACATAACGTCCCAAGTTATAAAGAAATTCAGGAACAAAAGAACACAAACATCATCTAAAGCTCTGAATGTCTGACGTAGCTCTGGTTAAGGTCAAAGGTTATAAATCAACAAAAAGAAGTTGTTTACATTACATTGTTTGCATGTTTGCCATGCTTGTTTATACTGTGAGTGCTCTTGAGAGCTTCCTTGAGAGTTTTACAAACTTGGCAAAATGATCAAATTCTGAAGAAAATGGGTGGAAAATGGCCTCCCAGGGATGATTCCACATCCAAAACCTCTACTGACCAAAAAAGAACACAAAGGCTCATCTCATACTTGATGATCTCAGTGATCCCCAGAGCCAGGACTTAGGGAAAATTCGCCTGTGGACTAACAAGACTAAAAAGTGGAAGAGCATCCTGTTCCATGCATCTCCCAGCTGTCCATTGAGGACATCGAAGACGTGTGGATATTTGGCCTGATGATCGCTGGACTTCTCCTGATTGGAGTGGGAGGATGTCTGGTTTTCTGGAAATTTGGGAAGACTGGAGCGATTGGAGGGCAACCCGCACCCGTGGAAAGCACCGTCCGTGTGGAGACTTCTCAGACTGGGACGTTACTCGAGGTGAATCGTAAGCTGGACAATGTTCTAGCTGCGATACCGGTATTAGTGCGCACAATGGATGTCATCCGGAGAGAGTCACCGGACGGTATGGACAGGTTTAAAACCCAAAATTGGCTTCACTGAAGGACTGGAATGATCAGTTTAAAGACTGAAGGCAGAGAGGAAAATTATCTCAGCCTGACCCAAACAAATTTTTGTTATCCGAATCTGACGCCCTGGTAGCCTTGAGCGGCGAGCACATAAAACCCCCACGAAGAAATGCAGACAGATGTTGGGAAAACCCGACCTACCTAGTTTTGTGGGTTAGGGGTCACTTACTACATAAATAAAATTTACTTACTTACATTTTTCATATCAGCGTGGTTTTGTTCCCTAATTCGTTAAACATTATTTGAACCACATATTGCATTCCCTCAGGTTTGTCTTTGTCTGAAACTGGAATGTGTTTGCTAATCTGGATTATTCAAGTGTGACAGATAATTAACCTGAGTCTTCTGCTGCGGCAGCCTTTGGTGGACGTCCTCTCCGTTTCTTTGGAGTCGGCTCCAGGTCCTCCTGTTGCTCCTCCTCCTCAGTCTAGACAGAACAAACACTTCCAGATTTAACGGACAGGGAAAACACAGAAAAACATTCCAATACAGACAGAAAAAAAAATATGTGCAGACCGTAGATAACATGTTTACAAATATTAAAAGGTGTGGATCACTTGTTTAATCAATAAATATTTATTTAATAACAATTTTTTTAATTTTCTAATTTTTATGATTTTTTAAAATCTTTTTGAAGCGCCTCGTGATTTTTCTCTTGAGAGGCGCTATATAAAAGATTACATTTGCAGTGGTCTCTAGTGGGATTGAATGCCTTTTAAGTCGTACTCTGGGGTAAAAAAAAAAAGCCCCAGTGCACCTGTTTCAGGAACTAGCAGAACGCCAAATCAGAGGAGAGCTTCAGACGACAGGATCTGGAGTCTCATTTCCTGATATTTGAACATCTTCCCTGATTGGCTAGCGTGACTCCACCACTGACTCAGTTTGTTCGGCAACTATCTCTACGATTAACGTACACCTGGAGCTCTGCCATGTTGGGGAGTTGCTAATGCTAACAGTTAACTTCTACTAGCCAAGGTGTTCTCTGCTGTTTCCTGGACTCTAAACCAACAACAAGATGGGTGAGTCCATGAATGTTAAGCGACAGTGTGACGTAGATATGTCAGGCTTTTCTAATCCTAGAGTTTCATCATCTATTTTCTATCAGAAGCTAATGCAGGAGATAGGTGTAGGAGACTATTTTCATGTTCAGCCTGCATAAAAAATTCAGTGACCAATTATAATAAGAAATAATTATTTAAAAAATGGTTTCACAGTACCACACCTTTAAAAGGAGCACACATGTAAGAGTTATTTTAATTGAACTGATCTCTGAACTGCTTTTCACAGAGACACACAAAGACAAACACCCAGTCACACACTCAATTTAGAGTCTCCAGTTAACCAAGCATACATGTTTCTGGTCTGATTAATTTCAGTCTTACATCGTCATGTTTCTGCTCACTGCAGCTGTCCACGTTTACATCCTCTGATTGTTCCACAGATGGAGAACCTGCAAAAAATATTATATGCATCAAAGATATAAAATGAAATGTTCACTTACGATTTTATGATCTATTTTGCACTTTCAAGGTTTTTATATGTTTTTGCTGTTTTTAAACTTGGTTTCTTTATTGCTCATTTTATTGCTGTAAAATGTTTCTTGAAAAGCACTTAAAAATAAAATGCATTATTATTATTGTTGTTGTTGTTATTATTATTATATAAAACTTCAGAAAGCATCAAGCCATTTTCTGGCAAAATTAAAGAGGCCAGGATGAAATAATCTAACCTAAATATGTGGGGCTTATAAAAGATCTGAGTGTTCTTGTGTCCTCGCCACCGTCTCCGTCAGGTCTTGCTTCAGGTTCTCTTTGTTCACTCTCATCCATCACCTCCTGCTGAGCCTGGGACTCCTGTAGGATTGGAAAACAGTCATGGCTGCAGTTAAAGCACTACACAGAGAAAAACAACAGTTAAATAACATTTTGGGTAAACAAACATCCTCTGACCTCTCCAGAGTCCTCTGCTTCCTCAGATGGTTGTCTTGTGATGGCTGGTTCCTCTAGTACAACAAACATGACTGATCCCATCAACTGTATCATTTCCACAGACAAATTTAAATTGCACAATACAATTTTTAAATGTATAGTTGTTAACAGTGAATGTAAGAAAGAACACACATTTCCATTGCTGATTCTGAGTGTATTTATGTGTGAGGGTGGGTGATATGTTTCCTGCCTGCAGGTGGCGCCACTGTATTCTTAAAGGACTGTTGTGCTGCAGGGGTCACAGACTGGACTTTAACACACACTCACGCGTGTCCGCAGACTCCTCAGAGTCCAGGTGTTCAGCATCTTCACCGTCTTCTGGAGCAGCAGAGGGAAGACAGGCTTCTTTTCTGGTTTGGTCACTGATCTGCTCTTCACTCTCAGCTTCAGATTTCTAAAAGAGAAAGAAAAATGTTTGAAGAATGAAATAAAAACAAAAATAAATGGTAATCCTCTGAATTATTCTTATGCCACAGATCTAGAACGTTTGACGTTTGTGAGCAGTAGCTCAGGAGGTAGAGCGGGTTGTCCAGTAATTGGAAAGTTGCAGGTTCAATCCCAGCACTGACCAGAGAATGCCGTTGTTGTGTCCTTGGGCAAGACACTTGACCCAACTTGCCTGCTGGTGGTGGTCAGAGGGACCAGTGGCGCCTGTAGCTACACTGTAGCTCATCACCACCAGGGTGTGAATGGGTGAATGACTGTGTTGTGAAGCACCTCGGGGGATTGTACAAGTGCAGGCCATTTGTAAAGTTTTTTGCTTGAAATAAAATGAGGAAAAAACAAGTAAAGAAACATGCTGTTCAGGAAGTACTCTGATAAACGCGTTAATGTTACTATTACATTTAAAAGTAGCTTCTTCACTCATACTTCAAGTGGTTTTGTGTGGCTGTTTGGAGCAATGCACATTCTTTTTGAACAGCTTTGAACAGATTAGTTGCAAAAATTGAGACGAAGCCATCCTAAATCCTAGGTGTTTTTGACTGAAATCACTTTTGATTTAAGTAAATAAAACCGCCAAATGACACAACTTCAAAAACCATTTTGAGTTATTTACAACCTATAAATGCTTTGAAACTGTTGTGTGCAATCAGTTGGAACGTTGCATTTGAAATTTTATGTTTGTTCAATACCATTCAGATTATAATCTGACAATTACAATAATTATTATGAAAAACCCGAGAAATATAATGTGTATTATACTTTGGAAAACACTGTTTAAGCATATAGAGGTTATGATTTTAGCACAATTCTACAAAATCAGACTGAACTGTGTGTGCTGATGTCTTCTAAATGAGTACACAGTTGATCTTATGTGGAAGTAAGTAAGTAAAGTTTATTTATATAGCGCCTTTCACAGATATAAATCACAAAGCACTGTACAACATGATCATGGATCATGTGATCAGGGCAAATAGCATGAGGCATGTGGAAGCATGAGCTAATCCCGAGTCTGTGACAACACAAAAACTTACGTGTTGGAAGTTATAATCTGACACTCTGATTTCTCCCAAATGGCTATTTGATCCGTCTCTCCTCTGTCTTAAAGACGTGTTGTTCTCATCTACTTTAAGCCTGTTTTAGTTTCTTCCTTTAGTTACCTTGTCTGTCTGTGTTCCTAACCTTTCAGCAGACGCTGCACCAAACGCTTTAGTGGCAGGAGCTGAAGAGAACATGAGAGAGAAAGTACCCAAAGCCGAAAGAAAAACCCTGAAACAATCTTTGGAACAGCTGCAGAACTCTTGATGAATAAAAGACGACAAGAAGGTCTGACTCCTCAGGAGGAACAGAGAGAAACTAGAGGAGGTGTTTATGTCTGCACAGCAGCGTTCATTTGGACTCATTTTTATTTAGTCCAAGTCTTCTGACTAAAATTATTTTTAGTCGTCCAATTTGTTTCAACTGTAGTCGACTTAAAATGTACTTCATTTCTTCTGATGCAATAATTTTAACTCCTGTAAAGGAAGTCTGAAGTACACCTACTTGAATGTGTGAAGAAACATGAAAATTTTACACTTTTGATCAATAAAACTTTTAAAATATATATTTATAATATAAATAAATATTTATAAATGTTTATTAACAATGAAAAATACCTCAATGGATTTTTGTTAATTTTCTGTGTCTTATTTGTCTGTGAACATGTCGATCTACATTTGTCATAATTTAGTCTTTACTGGCATGTCTTTTTTAGTTTTTGTTTAGTTTTAGTCCACAAAACGAAATTTGTCATGAAATAAACAAAACAATATTTTGTCAATAAAATGGACACTAGTAGGAACGTAAACACGATAAGAAAGCCACATGATCAGTGAAAATGTGAGTGCTGTCACATAATCATTAACTTCTTGATGACGTTAACACACCCGTAGCTCCTCCGTAGGTTCTGGTGTTGGTACTTCACCAGGGCCGTCCTCGCTGCTTTCATCTGAGGAGGAAAAATAAAACAACAACATCAGAAAAACTCACAGCAGGGCGCCGTGTGTAAACCTGATCAGTGTATTCAGGATAATAATACCAGCTGTTGCAGCTTCTGAACATCTTTCCCTGCAGCTCTGCATCTCCTCTGCTCCTTTCTCCTGGTCCACTCCCACCTCCTCCTGCTCCTGCTCCTCCCTAAGTGGTGTTTTTACCTCCACCACCTCTTGCTCAGTTTCCTGCAAATAAAACACAGGTTAAACTGTAGATAAACACTTTTACTCAGCCCTTCTCTCATGTGCATGGACACCAGCAGGTAGAGGTGGTGTTTACCTGGGCAGACAGCTGGTCCTCACTTTCTAGTTCATCCCTGGTGTCACCTGAGGAGTTAACCAGCAGCACACCTTCAGTTTTAATCATTCTGGTGTCAATCCAGATATATGAACATCAGACTTTATTTACTACAAAGGCAGTGTGAAGTCTTTTGTGTTGATCCTGAATGTTGGTGGGATATATAATTGTTACCAGACTCTTCCTCTGGTGCCGTTTTCTGACTGGACAGCTTTCGTTTACGTCTTCCTCCGCCATCCCCTTTCTCTTCCTAAGAAACAACATGATTAAAACAGAAACCTGCCTCCATTTACTTTTATTCTAATATTTCTCATTTTAGTTGGAAAAAGGTTACCTTTTCTGAAAGGTCTGAGCCATCTGTGCTGGAGACATCACCTGAAACGACAGAGGTTAGAAGAAAAGGATTAATGTCTGTAAAGGTGGATTGGGGGCATTTAATCGTGTCAAATCCATATTTAGTCTTAAGCTTAAAGTACAGTTAATTTTCTTTTTCTATCCAAAAGCAAAAAAAACAAATAAAATGTATGAATTTGGGCAAAACATCAGTCAAAAGGCGACTCACTGATTTGTGTGACTACTCTGGACTCTGGTTTAGTTTCCTCTGAAGCATCAGGAGGGGTTGTTTCCATCTGAATGAAATTAAAAACAGTTATGCAAATAAATAAAAATCAACATGTTGATTAAAACCTGGTAAAAAGATCATATTGAGTGGAAAACTTACCTCCAGGTTAACAACCTGGTCCTCCGCTGTTTTACTCTCAGTCTCATCGACTTGTAAAGCAATAATAATTACCTTTAATTAACTTTATATATTCATCATAATGGATTTAAACCAACAGGTTGTCTCATACCAGCATCAGTTTCTGTCTGGTTTTCTTCCCTTTCCTCCTCTTCAACCTGTTGTTCAAAATCAGATCATTTCCGTGTTTCTGTGCCTAGAAATCACATAACATCAACATGAATACTCACCTTGAAGCTCGTCTCTGTAACCACATCCTGTGTCTGGGCAGGCCCTTAGGTACCAAGCACAAGATTAAAAGTCAGTTAAAGAAAACTACTGAAATAACAACTTTTTCCCCATCGACACTCACCTGATGGACTGTTGGGAGTTTCTGGAGTTTGTTCAGGCGTGTCAGAAACAGCAGCTGCTGCCGTTGCTTCTATGTCTGTAGTGATGTCCTCTGATTCAGTCAGAACCTCCATCACTGGTAATGAAAACAAACCATAAAATATAGCTGTGAGGTTGGTGCAAGAGCAGCACGTCACCATCAGAGGAGGAGGAACAGAGATGTGAGAAGAACCAAAACCAGAAGAAGCAGATGAACAAGCTGCAAACGCAGAAGAAGGAATAAGAGAACAAGAGTTGGAAATCAGCCGCACCTTCGCCGTCTGCTGTTTCTGTTATTTTGTCATCTGATGATGTCTCGGGAGAAACTTCGGCACTTTCTTCTCCTCCTGACTGAGTCCGACACGAATCTGAGGGAGCGTCATCCTGCTGCATGGAGACAAAATTGTCCTTTTTACCAGAAAAGCTAAAAAAAAATAAATTCTCCAAAACAAATCATTTCCTTCCTCTGTGGCATGTTAGACTGCATGCCCTTACTCATGGAGTGGACAGGCAGGGAGAAAAGAGACATACAACACAAACGGAAAGACAAGGAGGGACAACAGCACACAACAATTACACAACAGACAACACACACACAGGCAGGACAAAACAGTGATCATCATAGTTTTAAAAACATGAATACAATCTACAGGAACAAATGGAATAGGTACTGTTGAATGGTATTGTCTATATTTGTGGTATATTTCTGTGTGTGTGTGTGTGTGTGTGTGTGTGTGTGTGTGTGTGTGTGTGTGTGTGTGTGTGTGTGTGTGTGTGTGTGTGTGTGTGTGTGTGTGTGTGAGTGTGAGTGTGAGTGTGAGTGTGTGTGTGTGTGTGTGTGTGTGTGTGTGGGTGTGGGTGGGTGTGGGTGTGGGTGTGGGTGTGTGTGTGTGGGTGTGTAAGTGGATTTGTCACCATGAGTGTTGTTTATTTTTATTTTTTCATGTGATGAGGGAGGGACTGCCCGCAGCAGCCCAGCACCCACTAACGCTGGTGTCCGGGGCCACACATGCTCCAGCAGCCAATGGCCACCAGCAGACGGGCACCAATAGGCCAGCCTAGAGGGCAGACCCCAGCCCAGGGAGGAAAAGGGGCCAGCAGGAGGACAACAGGTCACCAGCCCCCAGCCAAAAGTAACCCATTAGGGGCCGCCGAGCCCGGAGCCCCCAGTCCAACACACCAACACCACCACCACCACCAACACAGACCAGCCCAAATCGAGACAGCCCCAAGGGCCCACCCCAGCACCCCACGGTAGAATTCTTACATGTTGCTTCTCCAAACAGAATCTCATTTTACAAACCTCACGTGTGTTTTACCTGCGAAGGAACCATCTCTGATAGTTCAGCCTCAGTCATGTCCATCTTTGTCTCTGCGTTTAGTGACTCATCTGTAAACAGAGCCAGCTTTAGCCAACGTTGGCTCTGAATCGCTCAAGTATCCAATTACATATGTTGCCATTTTTCACATACCTCCAACGTCTGATGCTTCATCAGTGAGCTCAGATGAGGGAGGCATCTCCACAGGAGCTGGCTGATCTCCAGCGGCAGCAGTTTGTTGGGGTTCTGGTTGCATCTCCACAGAAGACAACTGCTGCTCTTCTTCTGCAGTTTCTTGAGGTGCAGCCGGTGAGATTTCAGAGACACGGAGCTCAGATTCAGACGCTGGTTCCTTCTCCTCGGAAGGCAGAAGCTCTTCACCTTCAACAGATTGTTGAGGTGCTGTTTGCATCTCTGCAGGAGAGGGCAACTCTTTTTCTCCATCAGCAGTTTGTTGGGATGCAGCTGGTGAAGCTTCAGATGCTGGCTGCATCTCCTCGGGAGAACACTGCTGCTCCTCTTCAGCTGTACTGGTTTCTATTGGTTCCGGACTGGTCGGATTTAACAGAGATTCCTCCTCTGTGCTTTGGACCCTTAAGCTGGAGGACACCGTGCTATCAGGATCCATGGAGAGAAGCGTCAGGGCGGCCTCTTTCATCTTCATGTCAGCATCCTGAATTTCCATCTCAGATGACGCTTGCAGCTGGAGGTTCCTAGCGGGAAGTCTCGCCTCTGCTGAGGCACAAACATCCATGAGCGTCAGCAGCGCCGAGGCTTCAGCGGGTACAGCTGGAACCTCATCAGGATGGGACGCCGCATCACCCTCGGCTGGTTCTGGGGTGATGTCACTTAGAGCGTCACAGGTGTCCTCTGAGAAGGAAGCTGTACCGGCGGCGGTGACGGGATCAGAGTCTGGGCTCACATCTTGGACAAGTGGTGGTTTCTCTGGTGGCTCTTCACTCTCAGGATTCACAGACAAACCCGAGGACTTTGAGGATTTATCAGACTTGTCCAATTTGTCCTCTCTCTGTGATGTCCTCTCCTGCTGACCGTCCCTTTTCTTTTCAGGAACTTTGTCCTTCTTCTCTACTTTTTTCTTTGCACATTTAAGGTCTGGTTTCTCATGCAAAGCTTCCTCAGAGACTCTCTTCACGTCTTTGTTTCCCTCTTTTTTCTTTCCCTTTGTCGTCTCAGCTTTAGACGACTCTTTCCCTCCAACACTTTTCACATCAGGACTCTGAGCTTTCTTATCTGCCTTTAATAAAAGCAGAGCTTTTGCCTCCTCTTTGGACTTTTTAAACTTTTCTGCCACTCTCTTTTCCGTTGGTTTAACACTTTTGGGATCTTTGTCCGTGTCGGAGCTCGACTTGTGTAACTTCGGTCCATCCCGGTCAGACTTACTCTTTTCTTTCTCACCATCTGTTTTGGATCTGGGTTTGTCTCCAGGTTTGTCCTTCGTGTGGCTCTTCAATCGTTTCAACCCTTCTTTGGAGTGTTTATCCCTCTTTTTGGCGACGTCCGAGCCAGGTTCCTTGTCAGAGCGATCCTCAGAGGAGCACGTGGGATCTGGGCGAAGGAGCTGCTTCAGATCACCTTTAGCTGAACTTTTCTCCCCCTTGGCTTTTTCCTTTTCTTTGATCTTATCCTTTTCTCTTAGCTTGTCCTTCTCCACTTTAACACCCTCCACAGATCCGCCTTTTGCCTTCTTGACATCTTTAGAGCCTCCCTCCTCAGAACCAACTTCAGTCACTTTTCCTTCTTTTGTACTTCCAGCAGCTTTCTTCTCACTTCTGATTTTGGACTTCTTCTCTTTCTCTTCAGAAGACACCCTAACAGCAGAGCCTTCCTTCTGCAGCTGTTCTTCTACTGGATGCTCACATTTCTTCTCCTGCTTCTGTTTGGGCTTGGCGCGTTCGTCGGACAGGCTGCGTTCCTTCTCTTTGCGCTCCTTCAAATGAAGCTCTTTGCGAGGCGGGCGGTCAAATTTGCCAAAAGAACGCTGTTTGAGAGCCTCTTGGGAGCCTTGTTCCAGATCTAGGATGAAGGAGTGGGTCCGGTTTTTGTCCAGCAGCTTCTTTGCATCACAGGAATCCTCGGAGATGCTGCCGCTCATCCGCCTGTGCCCGTCATCAGAAGACGCAAATTCTGTCTGAATCCTTGTTATTTTTGCTTGCGGTGTCTTGGAGGATGAAGATTTTCCTTCCTATTTGAAAACAAAACCCAAAGTGTCTGGTAAAAGGAACAAGGCCTATGAATCTGGTTCATCTACGGTGGCTTCAACATACTGCTTTCTTTAATGCGTCTGCTGCATCTCCTTTCTTCTTGCTCGACACGTCTGCCTCCTTCCTAAAAGGTTACATTCATATTTACGAGCAACAGAAAGATGGGTTTTAGAAGAGTTTGGGTTTTCTGACGGCTCACCTGGAGTCTAGTTTCCTCTTCCTGCTGAGAGCCATTTTTTTCTCTAGAACTTTCTTTTCTTTGCGAGCTTCCTTTGCTTTTGGGCCCTCCAGCGCAGCCGACTCTGTGCTCTTCTGCTTTTTATCATCTGCTTAAGGTATGAAGCAGATATTTGACAAGTTTAATGTGATGTGTTCCAACCAGTTTTTGTGAAAACATCAGATCACATTTGAAAAGTCTACAAGCAGATGAGATGAGATTAAAATAACAAACAGAAAGACCTTGTTCATCAGACTGAGAGGCTTTCTGTTTCCGCTTCTCTTCCATTCGCTCTCTGTTCTGCTGCCTCTTCAGGAGCCTTTCCTCTTTATCCTTCGCCTGTGAAGACACGCTCTCTTACATGGCTGCATTGGATTTATTCATTCTGCCAAACGTTTCCACTGTTGGTGCACACAAATGTGAACTTACGGCAGATCTGCGACGTTCCTCCACTGTGATTTCGTCATCCGAGTCGCTATAGTAACGGGAGTAAAGGAAGGGTTTGTGAACGTAGGCTTTGCGGCGAGGTTTGCTCTCTTTGTCTTCATCTCCTGTGTCCCCACTGGTGTGCTTCTTTCCTGGTTTTTCCTCTTGATCTGGGGACAAAATCCACACGCAAAAAAGAAAAATAATAATAACCCACCAACATCCAGCCACCATTCTCAACAGCTCAGACTAATTCTGGTACAATAAATATGTCCGGACCATCTGGTGGAAGCTCTCCTTCTTCTGATGAATCAGACGGCTGCTCCTCTTCCTCGCTCTCCTCCTCAAACGATGACAGGTCACTGGTGTGGACGGAGCTCACTGTGATGTCGCTCAGCCCTTCTAAGTCGGAGTCCTCCAAAGAATATTCTGCAATCAGGAGCACAAATGTTTTTAACTGATTAAAGCTTAATTATTTAAAATAAGAACCGCAGGACTCACCCTCCTTTATCCTCTGCTTGGCATTCTGTTTAGCCAGACTTGAAGAGTTTAACGTCTCATCATCCATCTTTTCTTCTGAGACTTTGACACCGACTTTGCTCACGTGTTTGTCTTTTTTCTCCTCAGTCTGCTCCGGGGATCCCGACTCCTCTTCCACTTTAACCTCCTGTATTAGCTGCTCCTTTTCCACCTCCATCATCTCCTGCACGTCCTCCGTTTTCACTTCTGATGCTTGGACATCTGTGGCCATTTTCCCCTCCTCCATCTGCTTTTCATCTGGGTTACTGTCCCCTTCCTCTACAACATCCATGTCCTGCTCGTTCTCCTCGGTCAGTGGCCCAGAATCATCCGGAGTCTGACTTTTATCGCCCTTTTCAGTTTCTGAACCGGACCAGACGCTAGCCTCCTGGTTGAGAGACGTAATGGTGTCCAAGATGGACATGGCATCGCTGGCAGTGGACGGGGCTGGAGTTGATGATGAAGCTGTGAACACATCAGATTAAGAGCAAACTTTTTCACTATATACATTTACTTAAAAACACAAACTGCTGTGTACCCTGCTCAGGAACGCTGCTCTCTGCTTTGACTTCTGCTGGAGTCAAAAGGACTGGGGGCTCTTGGGAGCAGCTCCCCGGTGACAAAAACTCCTGAACCACCTGCTCCACCTGTGGCCTGAAAATATGGTTGACTTTGGGATCCACCACCTGGGCTACAATCCTGTCCACTCCCTGCTCCAGCATTCCAGATCTAGGAGACACAATGGACTGTGATGTAGAAACGTAATGAATGAAAGACAACTGAAGAGCAGGACACAGGTCCTCGCTTACTGCAGGACGAGGTGTCTGATGTTGTTTCTCAGCTGGTTTTTGTTCAGATGAGGGCTCCATGTGTGGTTAGACAGGTGATTAGAGACAAAGTTATCCACTCTTTGTTTCAGGTTCAGGTAAGCTGGCTGTAGGAGAAGAAAATGATGACAAACATTCAGGATCAGTTTCCACATCAGCATTGAAAGCTACATTTTAAACTAGCTTAAAAACAACACATTACGAAGCCTCAAACCAAATGCACCAACTATAAAAACAACTCTACCAGACACTCATACAGACAAATATCACGTTGAATTGCCTTGGTGTCGACGTCTGCGAGGCAGTCCCTCCTGAACTGGTCGAAGAGACCTTGTGTTTTTAAATGACTGACGATCATGGAGACCAGCTGCGGATCTCCCGGTGGAAGACCGGCCATGTTCCGGTGCTGCTGGATGACACTTCAGTCTTTTCAAATAGAACAAAGGAGCAAACCATCAGGTTAAACACAGCAGCTTTCTGTTGTGGGTCCGGACGTTAGAAGGTCTATCAAAGAGAGCGCTTCAAGTGAACCGGAAGCATTCCGATGGAACGTTTCCTCTACCAAAATAAGAGTTTTAAATTAGACGTAAAAAAAACACCCAAAAACCAATAATACGGTTCAATGTTATTTACCGTACGCAGAAAAAAATAAAGAAATTTCTTCTAAGATGGTTAGAAAATTTACTTCTTTTGTAAAGGCGTCGATTTTCATTAAACCTGTACGTCTCGCAGGGACATTAGCCACTGAAGCATAATAAAATACTTGTTTTAATTACCGTAAACCTATTTAAACTACCTATACTAAACTAAAATCTGCCTTGCTCGATTGAATAGACGCAAAAGTTTTTGGCAGCGGTGGGATTCGAACCCACGCCCCCGAAGAGACTGGAGCCTTAATCCAGCGCCTTAGACCGCTCGGCCACGCTACCGTGTTGCTTTTCGGCAGATGTTTTTAAAACAATTTTCGATTTCAGCGACTTCAGATGGTATATTTAAAAGTATGAATGTTTTTGTTAGAGCCCTTTCTTTTTCCACCTCCCTTTTAAAGTCAGAGCATGTAAAGTGAGAGCTGGTCTTTTCCCAAACTGAAAACGCCTTTTTATTACAAAAGCAACAAGAACAAAATAATGCTTACACAGTCTCAATGTGATGAAAACAAATATTTATTAGAAGTCTGCAAAATACCTTAGGCCAATGGAAACAATCTTGGCAACTCAAGCCAGTCACATCTTTACCAAGGAGGGTAACAGACTTGACTCTGAGAAAGGCTAACAGTACTTTGGTGATCACAATGTAGCAAAACATTGAGAACAAGGATAAGTCTTACACTGTCGCATTAATCAGAATATATAGCTTAAAGAACACTAGAAAATAAGAAACCAGGAAAATATTCTACATATAAAAACATCACAATGCAAATATTAAAAAAAAATCAGAGCTGGTGCATTAAAAAAACAGACCCATAATGTGGTACACTCTAAATACTCTAAAATACTTGCTGCGTATTATTCCTACTATATATAATCAACTACAACCATCAAACCAACAAATTTGCCAGAATACTAGCAGTTTAAAGCCAATGGCAGTGATACAGTCTCATGCTGGCCTACAGTTTCTTGTGGAGGACAGAAGACACCCAAATGTTTACAAAGCAGGCAGGAGCGCTCAGGAATTTTCAGTGGGACATGTTGGAGGAAGGAGCCTACGAGAGTTGGCCCGCACCCATGGGTGGTCCATAACCTCCTTAAGAGGGAGGCGATCTTTAGGGTTGTGGCGAAGAAGCTTAGAGATTAAGTCCTTTGCACCATCAGACACAACATTCGGGAAGATCAGATCCACCTGAGAGGAGCGATATGAAGTTTGGTTATCAGCACAGCTTACGACAGTGACCACTGACAAAAATCTAAAATTCTGCTTATTAAAATGTGATACTAGTCATAATCATGTCCAGGATTAACTCAGAAATACCAGACGTTGACGCTTTCCCCCCAGCATCTATGAACAAATGGCTTCTGATCTTGTAAACAGCTTGTCAAGACATAAATTTAGTTACCCCAAAACCTTTAACCAGCTGGACCACAAAGTCTGTGTAGCAGATTTCATGGCATTGACTTATCTGCATGCTACCCCAGTAACCACAATGTTGGCAAATACGACATAGTAAGGCTTCAAATTAAAAGATTCTTTTAGTTCACTGCATTATTTTGATTAGCATTTTGCAACACTCACAATCAATTCCTTCATTAACTATAAATAAAAAACTGCAGACACTTCATTCCTCAAGAATAAAGTTTGATACCCAAACCGTTCCTTTCACACCAAAAGCAAATTGTGTTAATGGTTTCCAGATCCTTGTAAAGCTATTGCACTTAATTGCCTGAACAAACCTTTGTAATCCTTTTGTATGTTTCTGAATGACTGGCAGTCTCAAAAGGTGGGTGGCCAACTAAACATTCAAAGCAGAGAACCCCGATGCACCACAGGTCCACCTTCTCACTGTGGATGCGCCCCTCAACCATTTCTGGAGGAAGGTAGTCCAGTGTCCCACACATAGTGCGACGTCTGGAGGAGATCAATATAAGGTGACAAGAAAAACACACGGTAGCTTTAAGTGGAAGCATAAAGTAAAATAAAATGAGAAGAAGAGATGCTTTACTACACTGGCTTCTCACCTTAGAGAGGGCGCATGAACGGACCAACCAAAATCTGCTATTTTCAGCTCTCCACGAAATCCGAGAAGTAGATTCTCTGGCTTGATGTCCCGGTGAATCACTTTCCTCTCGTGGCAATACTGCAGAGCATCAGCTATCTCCTCCATGTACTAAAGATGTAAAAACCAGCAAAAATTTGAAGCACTAATGACATTTTAAAAAATTTAAACCCATAAACATTTTGACACTGCCCAGAACACAATGACCAACTCAGTCATGGAATACATTTGATTCAGCTCCTACCGTTGCCGTTCGCTGATCATCAAACCGTCCGTATTTCTGTAGCTCCTTGTACATCTCTCCACGTGGGGCATACTCCAACACTAGGAAAACTCTCTTGCGATCATGGAAATAGTTGTAGAAGCGCAGGATGTTAGGGTGCCTGAAGGTAGACAAAGTACATTCTGAGAAAACCCGTGTCCAACCCGTGTCTAAAAGTCAAATAAGATCTTTGCATTCAAAGCAAAATGAGACAATTTTAACAGACGAGTTTGAATTTTGTTTCACCCACTTAATTTATGGTGATATGACATAATGTATGGTGATGGAGTGCATCATTGAAATAAGCTAGTGTGCAGTAGGGTTAGGCATTGTTTGATTTTGAACGATTCCGATTCTGATTCCAATTCCTTGTTATGATTCCGGTTCCTATCGATTCCCGATTCTTTGAAGACATTACATGAGCTAGCTAACCACAGGTCCTACAAGATGAAATCTTAACTTCAACATGAATTTTAATTCTATGAACAACAACATCTCCTTCATTTAAACAAAAACATGTTTTGGAGAAAAAAATAAAAAGACTTGCAGCACAACCAGTGTGTTTGTTTCTGACCACAACCAAAGTCTGGAAGCAGCCTCTGGGATGAGAGGCTAAATGTCTCCAACATATCCAGAAACGTCCAGCTGTTTTCAGCTAAAACTCTCAGGATGATCATGTCCAGGATGACTGAGAACTACACCTCCGTGCTGCAGCAGCATTGTCAGAACAGAAAGTGAAACTTAAATCTTGGGACGATGGTGGCACAGGAGTTAAGTGCCCGCCCCGTAATCGGAAGGTTGCAGGTTCGAGCCCTGCTCAGTTTGTTGCTGTCGTTGTGTCCTTGGGCAAGGCACTTAACCCACATTGCCTGCTGGTGGTGGTCGGAGGGATCGGTGGCGCCTGTGCTCGGCAGCCTCACCTCTGTCAGTGCGCCCCAGGGCAGCTGTGGCTACATCGTAGCTCATCCCCACCAGTGTGTGAATGTGTGTGCGCGAATGGGTGAATGACTGATTGTGTTGTAAAGCACCTTGGGGGGTTCCAGGACTCTAGAAGGCGCTATATCGAATAGAGGCCATTTACCATTTTAAATGTAGCTGCTGTCAGGAACAATCTGATTTTAAACATTAAAACTCTCAACAGAAATAGATCAAAAAGTAAATTTCACAACTTTGTGTGTGATTTATTATTATTATTTATTGTGGCAGAAGCTGGTGTGGTCCACCACAGAGAAGCTTCTCTAGCACGATGACTTTAATTTCTACAGGTTATTGTTCAGCCTTCTGACGCTCACACACACACACACACACACACACACACACACACACACACACACACACACACACACACACACACACACACACACACACACACACACACACACACACGAGTGTTGGTGAGCAGCTGCGTCTGACTGCTGACGCTCCGTGTGTGTTTTTATTTCTGCCGTGAGACAAACTCACCTCACACCGTCCAGAGTTTGTTCTTTAAAGCTCCTATTAAATTCACCGTGTTGACGTATTTTAACAAGTTTCCTCTAACGTTGCAGGAATTAAAGTTTACATTATGGAGTAAAAGTTCAGCAGACGTGTTTGTTTATATCTGGCCGCTGCGTGCCGGGTGGGGTGAGGGGGCTCTCGGTGCTGCACACAGACAGCTGCGTGATCAGCTCTGGAAAGCGTTGATCACAATTTGCAGATCACGATTATTTTTCCACTGAGATGGGCAGCGGATTCCTCTTCTAATCGGCATTCTAGGAATCAAAACTAGGAATCGAAATAAAAAACGCTGAGCGATTCCGAGAAAACCTAACAGTTGGTCCCGGTGTTGCACCAAATTCTGCGACCCATCACAATGTGTGACCCCAGGGGGCAGTGTTGCGTTTTGTTGCGTCTTTACATCCTGAATTGGAATAAAAGAAGATGATACTTTAAACCGTAAACTACGTAAGCTTTAAGGAAGTTGTGCGGCGCGGGACCATGGATATTAAAAAGAGCGTTTGTTAATGTTTATTGCAAACAAACGGGACAATAAATGCAGCGATAACCAGGGCTTTGACGAGAAATGTTTGCTAACGTTAAACATTGATTTTACAACATGTGAGGTCCGCAGGTAAAATGTTAAGAACTTCCATTTATTGAAATAAATTGTTGTGATCCACATCCTCAGTTTATTAGAAACCACTGCAGATTATCTGGTTGCTACGTTTTCTTTCCTGTCATTCCAGTGCCACTCATATGAACTGGTGGAGATAAAAGGGAAATAAGATGACACAAACATCACAAAACGCCTTTTGTTGTTATTATCTTTAGTGAAAATTGAAGACATCTGCATTATTACTGAGATGAAGATGGCCACATTCTGTGATAGCCACTTTCATATTGTGCGACCTTACTGTAACTTCAGTTATAATGACTTTTACATCACACAAACTGTTTCTGGTAACTTCTCTGATGATGTAGTTTATAAAAAAGTGCATTTGACCTCTGACATCTGCATTATTACTGAGATGCAGATGGTCACATTCTGTGATGGCCACTATCGTATTGTGTGACGATGGTCCGCGCCGCACAACTTCCTCAAAGCTTACGTAGTTTACGGTATTAACGTAGCATCTTCTTATTTATGCCAATTCAGGATGTACAGACGCAACAAAAAACAAAACCCAACACTGAGCCTAGGTCACAAATTGTGATGGGTCACAGAATTTGGTGTAAGACCGGTTCCAATCGATGCTCGATGCCCAACCCTAGTGTGCGGTAATAGCAAAGCCAGTATTACAGCACTGCACTAATGATACTAGGAAAAACAGGAACCTTAATTTTAAAAATACACTTATGGATCAAAAATTAATCAGACACACTTTTAAAGGTGAGCCACTAACCTGAGACGAGCTTGGATCTCAATCTCCCTCCTGAGTTGATGCTCCACACCTTCGGTCTCCATCTGAGACTTAAACAGAACCTTCAGCGCTACTATAGCTTCCACCTTCTTCACCCTTGCAAGGTAGACGTTGCCAAACTTGCCCTTTCCAAGAGGCCGACCGATGTCAAAGTCTTCAATGGAAATTTTCCTAATAAATAGATCAGAGGAAGATGCTATACGCAATAAAAGTAACAAATACAAATACTAATAATAAACGCAGTGTGGTTAACAGTCCACTTACTTGGGTGGTAAACTAGAAGATGTGCTTACACATTCTCTTCCAGGACCTAAAAAAAACCAATACCAATCTATTCACATGACTATTTTAGTTTTTAAAATCAGATCTATGTACAAAGGAGAAAGGACTTACCCGTGACAGTATTTTTCATAGTTTCTGCTCGTGGCTTTACTAGAACACGCTGAGGTCCTGTACTCATGCTCGGGGTCTGAAACTAGAGATTAGAAAGTACACAGTCAAACATGCCAATAGTGAATAAGTTAGACGGATCATTTGACTCCAAAATAAACCTTTGACAGTTTACTACTCACAGGCCTTTGAAGACCCCTGGGTTCATAATTTTCTTTATTCTGTAAATTAAACAAATTAATCAAACGAGTGAACAGTACAGATGTGATTATTAGTTTCTTATCCCCCGGATCTAGGAGTACAAATATTACAAACCTAGATCACGTTGGTTACAGAGCAGAGTCCATTCAAAAACTTAGGTTTTAAAACTTCCTAACCAAATTAATCATGAACGTGTGAATGCAGGCATCAGTGAGGTGTCACAATAAACGGGTGGACGTACAAAGGGTGAAATACTAACGTATTTTTAAAACAGGCAGACAGAGGCCTGAAGAAGCCGATCATAATGCCTCAGCCACAGTCAACTCTAATGTACAGCAGATGGCAAATAAAGCACCAGTTAGTTGGGGGAACTGGGTAGGCCTAGTTTAGTGTAACGAGTGATGTCTAATCACGATCCTCAAGGACCATCATACTGCATGTTTTAGTCGTTTCTTCGCTTCAAAACTCTTGATTCAATGATTGAATTGTCTGTTTAGCGTGTGGTAAAGCTCTGTAGAAATATCCAGGGACTAAAGAGAAACCTCTAAAACGTGCATGATCCAGAAAGACAGGCTTTAACATTACTATATATAAATGTGTGTGTGTGTGTGTGTGTGTGTGTGTGTGTGTGTGTGTGTGTGTGTGTGTGTGTGTGTGTGAAATGTAAAGACATAAGGAATTTGTGGATCTGACCTAGTTAAGATGGAAACAAGACAACTAGCGCAGCAAGGGTTTCTGGAAGCTTAGATGATAAATTGTTGCCACCTTATTCTTTTTACAGCAATGCACTTTACAAAAAGTAAAGTACATTACACAAAAGTACAAGACAAAAAGCAGGTAACCGTTTTGGACAGGTAGTGTTTTGTATACAGTTTCAGTGCAAAAGTTTAATGGTTTTGTTACACTTTAGTTGCTTACGTTATCACGAAGCATGTTGCAAATATAAAAGAAATGTGTCACGATATCTAGGTTTAGATGAATGCAAAATATTTAATGTTGTTTCGGTTATTTTCTGTAAAGTACATAACGTTTAAAATGAAAACGGAAGTATCCTTTGTGACAAAATAAGCTAAAAAAAAGAAAGAAAGAAAGCATACAAAGCTTTTGACTTGACTTCTGCTACTTTGAATGTCGCCTGTAACGGATGTGTGTAACACATGAACTTTGTCTCTTTACTTTACCATTACGTCTGAAACCGACGGAAGCTACACGCTAACATTAGCTCAAGTGTGCGTCAACCGTAAAACGACACATGCCGCACCATTAAACGTTTTTCACAGTTTTTATCAAGTTCACATTAATATCAAACAAGTAGAAACAATTACACTACCTGCATCTTCGTGGCAAAAGAAATGTTATAACGAGCGTAACGTGGAAAACTGGTGGAAATCTTCACAGGCCGCCTCAGGTTTTCAAAAGTCTGACTTCGCACGAACAGGATTGGCCAAAGTGCTACACAGAGAGCGCTCCCATTGGCTAAAATTACTGCAGAAGAACGTATGTGATTGGTTAACAGACCATTGACCTGCCCCTTTTCCGTTTTTCTTATCTTCTCTTCCGCCTCATTTTCAAACAGCTAATGAGACATGTTTGAAACATTTTTTTTAATTATTAAATTGTTCTGTGTAACTGACCTTCTGTAAAACCAACAGTATTATTCTCAAACATACTTTATTTACAGTGACATTAACAATAAAAAGCAGTAAGCATTCAAACAAAAATGGTGTAATTAACCTTCATAACATTTTATTCACAAGTCGCACTCTCCAGATAATAATAATAATCTATCGATACATTCATTATAATAAAAGTATTTTTGTCAGTTATTACAAATATCTGCACTTTCAAGATTTAAATTGTTAACAATAGTGTAGTTTACCTAAAAAAAAAACCATAGGACTACAAAATGTGGAAAAAAAAACCTAAAATACTGTGGAGATGCATGACTATGAATAATTATAAAATGACGAATGCTTTAAAACTGGAAAATTCAGCCTTGGGAAAACTTTAAACATCAATTCCAATTCAACTCATAAAAAATATTTTCTTAAAACATGACAGACAATATTATTCTTAATTTCTTGTTTTGTGGTTTCTAAAATTGATGACAGTAACACAAAAGTGAACCGGGGGGTGAGGGGGGGGGGGGGGGGGGTGAGAAAGACTTCAGTATGCTATGGTGTGCATTTGGTCATCACGTGTGATTTTGATTGTAAAAATAAACAGTTAAACAACAGGAAACAGGTGGAGTTTCTCACAGTTTGCTTCAGTTATCTGGCTCAAACACCTGCATACACGATTAAGTTTAAAAAATGCTTTTCTTGCCTTGTTCCCAAAGCACTTAACAAAATATCTTCTCTCACATTTAATCCTTTTTAATGCATTGACAAACTCACTCATATACTAATGGCTTACAGTCTAAATGATGAGCTCATCTTAACTGATGTTTTGGTTTATCTACTTGTCTAAGGTCACTTTAGTAAGTGGATTCTTAGAGCTAGATTTTAAGCCTGCCACCTAACAATCAGACATTTCTCCTTTTTGAGCTACAACTGTCCTGAGAAGGAAAGGTATTCTTAGCTACTTACACAGATTCAGTCTGAAATAATCTGAACAGAACAGTTGGTGAAAACCAGAGAGCAAGATGGCAGCAGGACAGCTAGTGAGCGCCGCAGACTTGGGAAAGGTTCATTCACATCTGGTGCCATATTGTCATCATTCATATTTGCATCTGCACCTTCCTCTTTGTCTGGTTGTTCATCATTACCTTCTTGTTCCTCTTCTACTTGAGGATTCTGAATGGGCTGAAAGATCACGTCCAAAAACTCCAGCCGACGCAATCCTCGAAGCATCCTGCAGCTCCGCACAATCTGCAACTCACTGAGCTTGCAGGCCCAAAGGCACAAATGCTTCAGGTCCTTCAGACGGCTGGCACAGAGCAAACCCGGCCCCACCTCCTTACCACCAAGACTCAGCTCCTCCAGTCCAATCCACCCTGCCCCTAGTCCAAGGGAGGCCATCTGTAACTGGTATCCTTGTCGTCCCGTAATTCCTATTTCAAGAAATTTCAGCCGTGAGAGCCCTTCTACCCCCGAGAGACCATCCTTGGCTGCACAATTTCGAAGCCCATTAGCTGTTATACGAAAAGTGTCACGCAACTCCAGTTGACTTAGCCTCTGCCACGATGTTAGACTCTGCAGATGCTGGTCTGTGAAAGAGGGCACATTGTTGAGGATTAACTTCTCAATACAAACTCCCAGAGGAGAGCCAAGCCCTGTTCCTTTCTGATCCCTTCCTTGATGAGGAGCACTAGAAGTGGCTTCTGCTTTGCCAGGGGGATGAGTGGCTGAATTAGAAGAGCTTTGGTTGAAAAAACCCCGAGGCAACTCACAACCACGCAGCTCCAGCACTCTCAAAGTTCGAGGGAAAACCAGGCAGTTAGGTAGACTTCTCAGGTCTGTATGCAGAAGGTAGAGCTTACTCAGACGGGGACATCTTGTGGACAAAGCTTTGAGCCAAGACTCAGAGAGAAAGGTGCCGCCTCGGGCTGACAGCAGCAAACCTCGCAAGCGAAGGCATCTTAGTCCACAACCAAGGTACTGACGCAGCAGGACCCAAAGGATGCGGGATGTCACCTGACACAGTGGATAGTGTGTGTGTGTGTGTGTGTGTGTGTGTGTGTGTGTGTGTGTGTGTGTGTGTGTGTGTGTGTGTGATGGGGAAAAGGAGAAAATAACTGTTAATAACTATGCAAACAAACACATTTTTCTTTAGGTTAAAATACACACGTATCACTGACTGGTTCATTATGGGTAAATAAGTTGATTTTATTCATGAGAAAGTTCCTCTTTTACTTTGGTGTTGCATCTAAAACCATCAAGTGACTTTACAAACGCAAAACTTTGTGTTTACCGTTTCTGTACATATTTATGAAAAAGCGTATAATTTAGTCATTCAGACAAAACATTAAAAATAACTTCCTTCTGACACAGGTGTTACTGGAACAGATATTTTATGTCTAAAACCTAATGCAACATTGTTTGTAACTCGCAGGTGTTACTTTATTGTGATTATTTTCATAAAGAATAAACATCAGATAAATAAAACGTTAAAGCCACACAGTGTGCTGACAATTCTTACCCCCTTCCATGAGGTCAAGTCGACAGTTTTCCACAGTCTTTGGTCTTTAACAAGGCGTTTCCATCTTTTGCACACCCTAAAAAAAAGAGGAAAACAATGGCAGCAACACAGAGCAAACTCACTTACACCACCGGATGAGTCATAACAAAGAAAAAGCCTGGCGCTGAGTTTTTGGCATACAAGCAAAATTTCAGCTGGAATACAGGTCTTACCTTCCAGCTCTGACAAGCTCTTTGACGCTCAGGTATGACAAAACATCTATCAAAATGTTCTCGGGAAAGTAGTCCAGATTACAGGCTTTAAATTCGTCCATTTCGTTAAAAAAAAAAAAAAAAAACTCGTAAAGCTTCCACACGGACTAATATCCTGACGCACACGGGTTGCGCCCAAATCAGTAATCCCCAGGAAACGGCTACTCGTTGACTGTATGATGCTGTATGACCTAGACGTTGGATTAAAGAACATACAATATTATAAATTCCTTCGGATAGTTGTGTCTCCGTCGATATTTTCTTTCTTTTGATAACACTTGACAAATTTCTGACAAAGGTCGAGCTCCACACCTTGTTTTGAAACAGCCTGAAATGCAGTTTGTTGCCACCTAACGTTCGTTAGCTGAACAGCCCTCCTGCGCCTGCGCGTTGAATAGATGTTGCACCGAATTGTGTGACCATGGTATATTGTGACTCCAGGAGGCGCTGTTGCCTCACACACCGGACAAGATGGCGACCAGCGATGGTGGAGGAATGGAAGTGGATGGGGCAGGCGAGTATTTATTTCTTATTTCACCATTTAAGTCTGACATCAGCATAGATGGATGTACGATTCCCTTACATGCTGTACAGTTTGGGTGTGAATGACCCCAAGTTAAGACTTAGTGTCATTAAAGGCTGCTGCTGACATAAGTGGGTTAACGTGCACTGCTCAGTCTGTAGTCATGACTCTGGATGTTACCGTCGCTCCTTTTCTGTTCTTTGACTGGAGTCTGGATGACTTGTGTGAATATAAATTTATATACACTAATTGTTTTTTGAAAATACTATTTTATGTATTCTGTTCAAATTACAGCACAGCATATTAGAGGAGCACACGAGGGACGTTGTGTACACCTGATTTCCATTGCTCTGTCACGTCATTTTGGCAAAAACAAACTACAGTTCAGTTGCTTCCCTTATTTTCGCCCACCTATGGCTTCACTACTAAGTTTATTTCAATTCGGCTTTGTTATTTCTGTGTGATGATGCAAACCTAACTCTAACCAGTTATATTTATCCTGGCTGCTGCCTAGCTTGGCCAGGTCTCCCTTGAAAAAGAGGTTGTTAATCTCAGTGGGATCTTCTTGGTTCAATAAATACATCAAACATTGGCCATATAAACAAAAACATCTGCTTGTTTATTGTTGTTTGTCTGGGTTGGTATCTGGGTATGATATTGCTGTGGTTAATGTGATTGACACTTTCTCAGCATCTAAAAAAAACTGATTCACCCATAGTGCTGCAGCAGTTAGCGCCATACCACAGAGACAACTCTTTAAAAGGAGAATTGAGAGCATTACATTTAATTAGTCCAATTTCTGATTTAGTGGAGACATCCTTCAGCTGATTATCTGATAAATGAGACATACGAGGGATTCTTTGGGATCTGCCTTATTGGAGTTAAAATATTATTTTTATACATAATAAAACTTCAAATATTTGCTGTTTGTTAAAATGCAACCTCCTTTTTCCCAAAACCAGTCATTTGTTTTACAGTTTTTGTTTGTTTTCGAGTAAAGAGCTTTATGTTACATGTTGCTGGTGTCCAGTTAAAGCTTATTTTACATCTGTGTCCACGTGTCTGTAGTGGGCCCTAGTGTCATGGCCTCGGGAGTCACCGGGAGCGTTTCTGTGGCCTTGCACCCTCTGGTCATCCTCAACATATCAGACCACTGGATACGCATCCGCTCCCAGGAAGGGCGACCGATGCAGGGTATGTGTCTCTTTCTCACCTGTTTGTTCTTAAAGAAAAAAAAACTGCTTCCAGGGAGAAACAAACCCTGCAGTTATCAAAGCTTTGACTTAGATTCTCTGTAATTAAAATGCAGTAACGTTTAATGCCATAATAATAAGTGTTGTTCATCATGTGTTCTCCTTTCAGTGATCGGGGCTCTGATCGGAAAACAGGAGGGTAGAAACATCGAGGTGATGAACTCCTTTGAACTTATGTCTCACACCATAGATGACAAAGTGCACATTGACAAGGAGTACTACTACACCAAGGAGGAACAGTGTAAGCATGTTTAAACATAACACGTTTGACAGGTGTAAAGTGTTCTTATGGGGTGATTTTAATAAGACAATAATGAAATGTGTTCAGTTTTAAACTTTGTAAATCAAGTTCCTCTTCTTTTTTTTTTTTTCAAAATGATTGTTAACTTTCATTTTGTCTTTCAGTTAAACAGGTCTTCAAAGAAATGGAGTTTTTGGGCTGGTACACCACAGGTGGCCCCCCCGACCAGTCAGACATCCACATTCACAAACAGGTAGAAACACTCTGACGTCCGTGTGATCTTAGCTGGAAGGAGATAAAAGACAAAGTTAAAAAATGACCATAAAAGCAAACATGACCTCGTTCAGCAGTGTGAAACTTTATTTTTTCCAAAAATTGTCTTAAAATCCTTCAAATTGTGGCTTGAGTTATGTTCAGTTCTATTCAGTTTATCTATATAGCAAAAAATCATGACATGAGTTGTCTCTCAAGCCCACACTGTAAACATTTCAATAATAATAATAATACATTTTATTTCAAGCGCCTTTCAAAGCTCTCAAGGTCACTGTACAAGACAAAATATAACAAGCAAGCAATACAAACAACAAGAAATAAATGCTAAGAGTAATTCCCAAGGGTAGAGTCGGAGCAGTGCAATGGATAATAGACTAAAAAGAGTAGATGGAAGGAGGACAGTTACAGTGAGTAAGCCAGGCAGAACATGTGAGTTTTGAGTTGAGACTTGAAGGATGAGAAGGAGTTTGTATTGCTGAGGTCAGGCGGTAGAGTGTTCCAGAGTTGTGGAGCTGAGTGGCTGAAAGCTCTGGCTCCCATAGTACTGAGACGAGTGCGAGGAACAGACAGGTACGGTGTAGATGATGATCGGAGAGAGCGAGTGGGAGTGACAATGTGGAGGAGATTAGAAAGATATGGGGGAGCAGAGATTATGGATGGCTTTAAAGGCATGAAGAAGGCATGAAGTCAATTCTGTACTTGACAGGGAGCCAGTGAAGGGGTAATGTGATCAAAAGTGGAGGTCTTGGTGATTATCCGGGCAGCTGAATTTTGGACTAACTGTAACTTGTTGAGTGATTTTAGAATACAGGTCAGTTCATTAAGCCAATCAGTAAAATGTTTCCTGTATAAGGAACCTAGCAGATTGCATCAAGTCACTGACTAGTGTCAGTGACTTTACAGCAATCCTTATACTAAGCAAGCATAAAGCGACAGTGGAGAGGAAAACTCCCTTTTAACAGGAAGAAACCTCCAGAGAATCCTGGCTCAGTATAAGCAGCCATCCTCCACGACTCACTGGGGATCGAGAAGACAGAGCAGGCACACACACACACACTCATGAGTTTTGTTATTAATAAGTGTTTATAATACTTTTGTTGTATACGTGTGTGTTTGCTGCCAGGTGTGTGAGATCATTGAGAGTCCACTCTTCCTGAAGCTCAACCCAATGACCAAACACACTGACGTAAGTTTATCCTCGGTGCATCGGTGAAGCAGCAGCAATCAGACGGGTTTTAAAAAGTGTTTCCTTTCTCCTTCAGCTTCCTGTTAGTGTTTATGAATCTGTGATTGACATCATCAGTGGCGAGGTACGTCCTGCTCAGTTGAAAAACTTCTTTTCACAATAATTTTGTTCTCTACTAACATTTCTGTGTGTGGTTTTCTTTTGTTGCCACCCAGGCTACCATGTTGTTTGCTGAGCTGACTTACACTTTAGCCACAGAGGAGGCAGAGAGAATCGGTGTTGATCATGTAGCTCGAATGACAGCCACCGGCACCGGAGAAAACTCCACAGGTGAGGAGAACAAGCCAGGCCAAACAGGGATCTAATTCAGTATTTATTTATTTTGTTTGATTTGTTAGTCTGTGTTTATGACTCTGTTACTTACACCAAGTTTAGCTCAATATCTGTAAACTTCACTAAGTTACATCCATCTTCGTGTTTGCTAACGTTGATTAGCTGTGACGGCCATCTTTAATGGACTCTAAAGCTAATTTAATTGTAAATACACATCAGAGTTTCGATAAAACCCACCATGTGGGTCATGAGATGCTTTGAGAGACGAATACACACCAGCAGCTGGTTCAGAGTCAAGGCGAGTGAGGAAGAGGCAGGTTGTTAGTCACCACTCTGATGTGTCTGATGTCAAAGTCCCATTAGTTGTCACACACACAGGTGTGTGTGCGACATTTGTTCTCCGCATTTGACCCATCCCCTGGGGGGAGCGGTGAGCAGTAGACACAGCCGCGCTCGGGAACTATTTGGTGGTTTAACCCCCCAATCCAACCCCTTAATGCTGAGTCTCAAGCAGGGAGGCATTGGGTCCCATTTTTTCAAAGTCTTTGGTATGACCCGACCGGGAATCGAACCCTGATCTCCCAGTCTCAGGGCGGACACTCTACCACTCGGCCACTGAGAAAGGTTATTCTAACTGACTGTGTTTGTTTTTAATGTGTTTATTGTTCTCTTTCCTCTGTCAGTGGCTGAACACCTTATAGCTCAGCACAGCGCAATAAAGATGCTCCACAGCCGAGTGAAGATAATTCTAGAATACGTCAAAGCCGTCGAGGCAGGTGAGAGACACGTTTATGAGGCTCCGAGGGGAAAAATGTCTCAATACATCAGTTAAGCAGCTGTTCTCACTAGGTTCTTCCCCTCTTGTCTTCACACACACACACACACACACACACACACACACACACACACACACACACACACACACACACACACACACACACACACACACACACACACACACACACACACACACACACACACGTACAAGCCCTTTTGTAAATAAACATGATCCCAACACATTATTATATGCTTTTTAAGTTATTTTTCCTGTGTGTGCATGCATGTGTGTGTGTGCATGTGATGCGTGTGTGTTTGTGTGTGTAACAGGAGAGGTGCCGTTTAACCACGAGATCCTTCGTGAAGCTAACGCCCTCTGCCACAGACTGCCGGTCCTCAGCACCATAAAGTTCAAAACGGATTTCTATGACGTGAGTAAACTTGGTTGTAATTCAGAAATATTCATGTTTCATGACTAGATTTTTAGGTTTTTTAGAAAAAGCGCAAAGATTTAGTTAATGAACACCTATTTATGAGTTTTAAAATGAACACTGAGCTAAATGTTGATGTAGAAAGAGTACAGGAGAGCACGGAAATTATTAGAAGCTATTTATTCCTATAATAGAGAAAAATGAGCCTAAACCTGGGTAAAGCTCAAAGCAGCAGGGCAAACATGGGGCTGTCGTTGTGTTTATTTAATGTGAGTAAGAAAAAGAGATTTTCAGGTTTGTTTTCTACCATCTAAACATGACGCTGGCTGTTTGTGAGCAAAATATCAACATTTATGTAAGCAAAAGTCCAGATTTGATATGTTCCTATTTCCCCTTGATCCTGCAGCAATGTAATGACGTGGGCCTCATGGCCTACTTAGGCACCATCACCAAGACTTGCAACAGTATGAACCAGTTCATCAACAAGTTCAACGTCCTGTACGACCGGCAGGGCATCGGCCGAAGGATGAGAGGACTTTTCTTTTGAGCTGAGAGACAAAAACGCACCAACTCCTCCACCTTCTTCTTTGTTTTTTTGTTTGGTTGTATTTTGATGAGCTAAAAGAAACTCTTACGCAGCTTTCCCCCACAAAGTTCAACAGCGAGTGTATCTCAGAGCACACGATTCAATAGTCAATCCATACAAACTCTTTTAACTCTCTGGGTCACTGTACATGGACTTGATCTAATTTTACTCCGTTTGTTTTACTGTTTCTGTAATAAATGATCTTGTTTTTTTTTTTTCATGGAACCTCGTGTCTGTTGTTTGAATGCATTAATAAGAAAACACACATGGTGGTAATAACACAGCTGCAGGTTTAAAGGAGCTCATGAAAGCTTCGCTACGTGGAGCTGCAGCTCTAGCAGCTTTAGTGTTTGTTGCTAACTCATCGTTTTGTTGTGTTTTTGAACTCGTCCTCCTGCTGCGTGATTTTTGCCCGTGGAGGTTTTGAGACAGACATGCATGTGTGGCAGGAAAAATGAGGTTCAGAGCTTCCAACGGAGTCAGCAATTACTGGAGTGTTTAATGCAAAGCAGCAGCGGATGTAATGACCTGTGAGTTGGAACTTTACGAGTCCCAACTTAAACCCGAGAGGATCCAACCCTTTGGGTCTCCTCTTGCATTTTTCATTAAGTCAAAAACTCCACTGATTTCACTCATCTTTTTTTTTTATTGGCTCACAACTTAAACATAATTTGCACATCAGTGAATCAGGTGATGATAAATACAGTCAGGTGTGTTTTTATTCACAACTCATCAAAGCTGCTTCCTTTACAGAGACACTGAACCCCTGGACGGGTGTTTTGAGTCAGTTCGTTTCATCTAAAGAGACGTTCACTTGCCCCCCTCTGCAGGCCCCTCGGGGGCGTCGGCCGGTTGTGGGTACTGGAAGCGGGCCGGGTCGTACAGATCATCTCTGGGGTCGTAGGGGTGAGCATAATAGTAAGGGTGAGGGAAAAAGGTTAGTTTTTTCTCCATGGGGGCAGGAGGTGCAGGTGGTTCCTCCACAGGTTCCTCCTCTTCCTCCTCTTCAGGAGGGGGTGGTGGCGGTGGGGGGACCAGGATCTTCCCCTTGACAGGCCTGGGTGGGTGGTCGATCAGGCAGTCGGGGTCCCAGTACGGGTCGCAGTCATACTCCATGCCCTTGAAGGTGCGGATGGAGGCCGGGGGAGTCTTCTTGACCAGGACCGGAGGAGGCGGGGAGAATTTTTTCATAGGAGGAAGAGGAGCAGACTTAAATACTTCTACAGGGGGAGGCGGAGCCTTCTGGGGAGTGCAGTGGGGGTGGTAGCGAGGGTCACACAGCACGGGCACAGCGCCGGTGGGCATGTAGACGATGTGGGGCTTACAGAGGGGGTCCTTGTTGTTGCACAGGAAGAGTACATCTGCCTGGGAGATTGCTGGAGCAGGAGGAAGAGGAGGAGGTGTGGCAGGAGGATCTGTGGCCTTCGGAACACCTTTCATTGCAGGAGGAGGAGCTTCTTTGCACCTCTTATCTGTAACTGGGTCACACATGATCATCGGCACGCCCAGTTTGCTCTGGAAATAGGAGGCGTTTGGGCCATAGGCGTGTTCAAGGTACCGCATCTGCTGGTAGAGCATCCTCAGCTTGTCGATCTCATAGAGCTGAGAGGTGGAGAAGAACAGCAGACAGGTGACATCACAGCTTCTAGAGGAACTTCATAAAGTCATGAATGATTTTACTGATGAGTTTCTCATTAAACATCAGCTAGAATCAGAACACACTTGGGTTTCTGCAGCAGTTTTGATCTAAAACTTGATACTTTCAAAGAAGTTTTAGCTTCACGTGACAGACTGTATGACCAGAAACCCGTCTCACCCCCTCGGTGTGTCCGATGCTGCTGTAGTATCTGTAGTAGGACTGAAAGTCCGGGTTTCCTCTGTACCACCTGGCGTCCACGTTCCTCTTGGGTCTAGAGTGGGTGAGGAAGCCGTTTGCTCGTTCTGAGGTGATGCTGACATCACCCACGGGAACCATCTCTGTCAGACAGAAACAGCAAGGTTGATCCTTATAGAGGAGCTCAGAGAGCAGAGCGGCTGGTGGGAACTTACCTTCCTGCTTGATGGCCTTCAGCAAAGATTTGGCATCCAGGAGGCCTTCAAGAGAGGGTTTAAAGGACTTTATGGAGTTACCTTCTGAGTAATTTGTCACGTTTGTTCAAGTTAAAGAAATCAGAACTGACCTGGGAGAAGCAAAAAACAAACGGGCCCCAGCAAGCATAACGACGAAACCATCTTCAACCTGGAACCCAGAAAAAGGATTTTTATTAAAACAGATCATCTGAGTGAAGCGTTAATGAATCCGTTTTACTCTCCCAACATCCTTTCTGGAGTTTATAATAAATGTTTCACGTACCAGCTCAGGCTGTCTTCTCTGGGCCAACAAGGGTCCAGTGAGTTAAATACAAGCCCCCCCTCAGCCAGTCTCCCTTCAGCAGCATCTCTTGTCCAATAAGAGCTCACCAAAAACCTCGTCTCCACCTCCCTTTCAATATTTGCCTTCAGCACCAATTAGGAATAAAAAGCCCCTGGACCAGAGCCATAAAGAGAAGACTTCAAATGGAACACGACCCCCCCCCCCCCCCCCACCACCACCACCATTAGGACTGGGAGGAAACCATCACCTGCTGGGACGACTACAAACCAGCAATGCTGTCTTGACTATATCTCAGCAAAAAACAAAAAGGAAAAAAAAAAAAAACAGCCGACGACTGATCGAGGTTCAAACTAACATTTAGAGACATTTTCTAGATGTTTGAAGAAGCCTGATCCGAACGGTGGAACAGCTGCTTTCTGACAGATCTGTGGCTGAGGAGGGATGTGAAATAGCATCCTTTGTCTCAGCATGTTGACTTTTAAACCTGATGTGCTTATGCTGCATACCTGTAGGAGGCTGCTGTACATGCAAGTCAGTTCACAACTCAACAAGGCTCCGGAGTCCATCATTAAATGTAAGATCTCATCCGAGTACAGAAACAGCTTTTTGCACCGGTGAGTTTGAGCTTGAATCTCATTAAACCAGAAAGCACCCAACAGTCCCCCCAACGCCTAGAAACCGATGCTGTAATTAACTGATAGAAACTTTATTAGGGTTTTCAGGTTGAAGCTTTCAGAAGTTGAGACGTTGAAGGAGAATTCGACTTAAAGGCGAGATGGAGGATAATTACAGGTTAGCTTTGTGGGCAGGCACCGAGCTGCAGCACCACCAAACCAGATGTTCAGACACTTCTGTCCTAAAATAAAATGTTTTATTTTATTTTAATTACCTTAAAAGACTCAAAGTCTCTTTTTACACTTTATATTTATTTAATCAGGATCGTTGTCAAGTCGACGCCAGAAACAATGAAACACAACTTGAATATCAGATGAACAACAAGGCTTTATTTAACCGGCATTCATACAAGTTATCAATCATGAACGAAACATTTCTCTTACCGTTGCTTATGGGTGGAGAGCTGAACACCCCAGTTAGAAAACGTAATCCATGATAGGTGAAGAACTGAACACATGTAATCCATGAACCTCGTCAGGTAGAATCCTTCAAGCAGCTCTAACCCCCTGAGCTCTGCTCTGCTCCTTATACATTCCCTGATGTGCGTGCAAAGCTGCACACCTCCACCATGATTACCCTTGATTACATCCTCATGATAAGTGTGATTGACAAACAGTAGTGATCAATAACTTATATAAAGCAATTATACAACAGATGACAAGTTCATTTTTATTACAACTTCTCATGACACCAGGAGCCAAACTGACAGTGATGTTTATTACTGAAGCATTTATTATAACTAATACAAGGTTCAACATCAACATCTCATTACAAACACAATGTACAAGAACTCTCACTGATAAACTGATGCTTTACCCCACTGAACTGCAGATTAACCTTCCCACTGTCCTAATGGGTGTGACCCCGCGAAGAAAGTTGACCATTAAGCAGGGTTGATGGTTTATCCCTTGGGTCCATGTGGCAGGGGTGAGGTGGTGCTCAGTCCTCACCCCTGCCACGTGGACCTCACACCCATTAGGACAGTGGGAGGGTTACACAATGATGTGCTCTGACAAATATTTACAAGAAATCCATTAATTAACAGGAAACCAGTCAGGAACAGGATTTTTCATCATGTCCAGGTATTGAGAGGAAGTCTGCGTTCTGCCCAACTTGGGTTACAAAAGACATGATGCAGAAATAAAGAGAGCTCTAGTCGATGGCTGGGGCGAAGCGTGTCCAGGTGTGTTCATACGAAGGTGATGCGGCTGCGGGCCTGGTTGATCTGCCACACATTTAACTCCTCATACTCCTCCAGAGCCTCCTGGAACTGAGCGGGCGTGAAGCCACGAGAGATGCAACGCTGCTCAGCTTCAGACATGCGAACCACACCGCCTGCCCCGCCACGGCCGATCGTGCCCTCAGTGGCGAGCTCCCGCACCAGAGAGAAGATGACATCAGCTGGACGCTGCGCCCTGCAAGGGAGGAGGTCAGAATCAGGACAAACCAATCAGACGCTGATTAGAGGCATTAGGAACCAAACTGCCAAGAAAAGTTTGTTTTCCAAATAAAAAAAAACAGAAGAGTTTTGTGCATGGAAGGCCTGCTGCTTGAAGCACCAACTAATGACCAAAGTGAACATGCTGCCGTGTGAACCAAGCTCTATAAAACACCAGTCATGTTTTACAGCTTCCTGCAGAGCAGCTACTGCATATTCAGCAAACACAAGAAACCCATAAAAGGGAATTCTGGGTTTAACATCCGGTTCCCTCGTGTTAGGCTCAGGGTGCCTAGATGACCCCCCCCCCACACACACACACACACACACACACACTAACCTGGTGGTGCTGGATTTGTCAGCCTGCAGCGAGTCCTTCGACATCTCCATCAGCCGCATAGCCTCGTTCACATCCTCCTTCTCCACAGTGTCCATCATGCGAAGCCGGGCCTGATGGCAGGCATGGACAAAGTGTGGTGATGATGGCAGTTGTACATAAACACACACAAATATCCGACTGGAGTCATGTAAGAAGGTAGGCTGCGATGTGCCGGCACTGTCAGACCGAGACAAGTGCAATGCCCTCTGGAATGGCCGGCAATTGCTCAAGTCTCCGCCTCTCAAAACCAGCTAGTCTCTCCACAGGTTAAAAACTAAACCACACGAGATGAATGAGTCTTTTCAATCTACTCTACATGTAGAAGCTTGTGTTGACAGTTCTCGTCATAGTCAGTTTTGCATGGGTTTGCACAGCTGGTCCTAATGCACACAGGCTGACTGCCCACCCTGCAAAGCTGACCAGGATTAGAAACAATCAATCCCACTTGTACATTTCTTTGTATCAAACAGAACATGAATACTAAACTGAAGAGCAGCTGTGATCGTGCGACATCCCTGCTGCTGAGAGTGCCCCCTTGTGGACGGTGGTGTGCAGCACATTGCCTGCTTGTTTACCTGAAGTGCTGGTTTTGCAGTAGGTGGATGACTGCTACCTGCACAAACAGCACTTTTGACAACCAGAGGCAGAGACACCCCCCCCCCCCCCCCCCCGTTAGGTTCAGTCAGCCTGAAGAGTCGGTTCAGCGTGGGAAGCAAGTGCTCACACTGCAGTAGACCAGGTTATCACTACCTGCACTGTAAGCACTTTATCACACACGGAGCTGTCCGTGAAAGTTTACTTTACCATTTCTAAACCCTCACAGTTCCTGTCACCATCTAAACTGATCACAGCTGGCAAAATGTGGAAAACTTTGATTTGAGGGTTGCACAGTAAGAGTTCTCACCAGGGCCGTGGACAGGCGGAGGATGGAGAGGAGGGTACGTGCTGAGGTGAAGGTGGTGTCTTTGCTGACTCGAGCTTCTTTCCTCATCTCTACGTAAGCAGCGGTGATGTAATCTGCCAGTGACTCCGGCACAACGGGCTGACGCTTCTTACACAGAGCTATGTAACGCCTGAAGGAAACAACACGTGTAGACGTTATCAGGAGGAAAACACCGTAAAAAGTCTCACCGTAATAGGTAAGCTACTTGAATTATGACAAACGTGTAGAAATACCTCATGAGTTTCATGTCGATGGGGGTGAAGTGAGTGGGCGGCTGGCGGGAGTGCTGGTGGACGTAGGTGATGTGCTGAGCCAGACGCAGGTCAGCATCAGCGTCGGGTTTGTCCTGGATGAGCCAGAGCAGATCAAACCGGGAGAGCAGAGCGGCCGGCAGCTGAATGTTCTGCTCGATGCTTTTACGAGGGTTGTAGCGACCGTATGCCGGGTTGGCTGCAGCCAGAATAGAACAACGTGCGTTGAGGGAGGTCATGATGCCGGCCTGCAGCGCAGAAACACCAGCAGCATTAGTCGGGATGTTAAAAGTGCGTAGACTGATCACTGCAGCAGGTCATACCTTAGCAATGGAGATGGTTTGCTGCTCCATCACCTCGTGGATGGCTGTTCGATCAGCATCTGCCATCTTATCAAACTCATCAATGCAGCAGACACCCTGGTCAGCTAGCACCAGGGCTCCACCCTCCAAAGTCATTTCACCGGTCAGAGGGTCACGCATCACCGCAGCGGTCAACCCGACTCCAGACGACCCCCGACCTGTCGTATACTGGCCTGAAAACCACAAAGGAAACAAGTTTTAAAGTCAGGTCAATAAAACAACAAGATCTAAACAAATAAAACCTAAAAACTTACTTCGAGGAGCCAGTCGGTCAATGTAGGACAGCAGCTGGGACTTGGCCACTCCAGGGTCTCCCATCAGACAGATGTTGATGTTGCCTTCAGAGATATTTCATGAAGAGGTGCAATTATTACGTTATTAAAAAGTAAAGCTTCAAATTAAACAGACTGAATAAATTACATTGAAACAGTGTTGGGAGATAAATCAAAAACGTATCATTATTGAACTTTCTGAGTAATCAATATCGTTTTTCCCATCTTGATAATAAAAGAAATGATAAGGTGTGTAGGTTGGCCACGTTCATGTCACTTTAGGGAGCTGTACCACCTCAAGTCACATGACAACGCGACTCACTGTAAGACACGTGACAGCCCCGTCTAGTGGACGACTAATGTTTCTGTGCATACATGTCGTTATCGTCCATTTGCCATCATCATGGAGAACTCAATATTCTGTAATACTGACTTCAGGCCGCTTCGCCCTACTTTGAGAAAATTGACATTTTACCAATTCCATTCAGACAAAAGCCAAAGTCGAGTGTTTGAGCTCACCTCTGATCTTCATGCCTTTGGGAGCCTGTTCCACGCCCCCCACCAGCAGCAGCAGCAGAGCTTTCTTAACATCCTCGTGCCCGTAGATCTCTGGTGCTATCGAGCCAGCCAGCTTCTCATAAAACCCTTCCTCTGAAACAGAAAGGCTTTCATTTAGTTGATCCGAAACCACAGCACATGCGTGCTAGTTGAACCGCACCAGAGTCCTAGACAGATTGAGACCTGTGATGCTGCGCAGCTCCATGTCGGTCAGCTCCTCGTTGCCGAGCTCGTCGTCCTCTGACTTGTTCATCAAAGTGATGCTGTGAGCCTCCAGGAAGGTTTCTGACAAAAGTCCCTGAAAACATCCAAATGAGAAGATATTTGAGTAGTTTTAATACTTAAGTCAGGCAGGTAACATACAGCTACCCGGGTAAGTGAAGGCAGCTGAAACACAAATTACCTGCACAGCCTGGCTGAAGCCGGTACGAAGCAAAGGGAGGAAGATTCCCACGATGGCTACGTGGTCTCCGGGCTGAGCCAGACGTGTGTTTTCACCACGAGCATACACAGTCATGCTCCTTGGAATATTACCAACAGGCACCTGGTCACTCTGCAGAAGATCAGAGAAAACAAATAAAGAAACGAGTACTCTACAACAAAGACAACACCAAAAGAAAGGTCCCTCACGTGCTCCTGAATCCGTAGCTCCTGGAACTTCACAAACTTGGACCCTCTGGTCTGCAGGTAGAGTCGTCCTCCAGATTTGTTGGTGACACACTCTTGACTGGGACACATGACCAGAGGCATAAAGGTGGGGGACTGGATCTGGTGGGTGCATGAGGAGGACATCATGAGGATAATAATCTTACATCAAAACTTGAGTGGTTTTACCAGATCTTACTGGTTGGTAGGTTTCAGCACCACACTGGTCACACGTGTACGTAGCTACAGCCATCATCGGTTTGACCTCGGTGGCGCGGGTCACGATGCCTCGGACTGTGACCAGATGGCCAATGCTGTCAGCCCGGATATCACGCACCACTTTGGGTTTTGAGGTGCTGGAAGACTTGAAGTAGAGCTCACTGCAGAAACAAGCCACTATAGTGAAAAAAGCCCCAACACACAAGGAAAATTACGAATCTGGTTCTACTCACAATCTCCTCATGAGCTCAGGTGGGTACTGGTTATGTGGATCTCTGGTGTCGGCCGGATCACGACCCCTTTGCTCCATCATCAGCCTGTGCTCAATGTACACGTCCAGGGAATCTTTGGCCACAATCTAAGCACAAAATGTATCTTTTTAGAATTCCTTCAGATAAAAAATCTGAAATGCACTGGAAGCGGATTTAAAAAATGTACTCAAAACTAAGATCTACATACATCTCTTTCCTTGTATTCTGGCAGCAGCTCGTGTATGGCGTCAGCAAACAGGTTTGTGTAGCGTTTTGCATTCTCACAGATACTCTCAACCAGATCTGGGTCTTCCTCAGCCACATCTTCCAGCTCAACAACCAGGGACACCTTCTCCCGGTGGGCCAGCTGCACCTGAACACACAAAACAAATAATTAGTCAAGCTTCAGAAAACAATTACACATGTGCTTTTGTGAGAAAAAAAAACAAAAAAACAACAACAAATGACTACGATATAGAACGACGAGACAAAAAAGAAACAACCTAGTTACAAAACACAAACTAGTTGTCAAAGCAGGAAGATAAACAGAATTACATCACAAAACCTCTTTCCGTAAAAAGCATTCACTATACTCACAAGTTGCACTCCATATTTGAACACCTTCTTCCCATCGTCATCCTCCGTGTAAAACTCCTGCAGAAACCTTTTGCACTTCTCTGAAAACAAAAACACAACAGCTCCACTTTACAAGACTAAATAAAAAGGCCACGTTCACATATGTCCCTTTCCTAAAATAGCAGTATTAAACCCAACAGCAGAGGGCCTGCACACTGGGAGCTAGTTTGTTGTCCTACGACGAGCCCCCCTTTGTTGAGTAACACGGCATCCTGTAATCTCGATGAGTCACTATTGCTACAGTTCAACATAAACTGTCACTGGGGCTCAACATGGAGCGAATGTCGCTCATGTGAGTCTCGTCTCCTAGTTTTAGAGTGAAATAACAAGTACTACGCAGCGTATGGCCCCGGGGTGGGAACGTAAACACAACAGGCGCGCTCAGTTCGGTCCTTTTTTCCCCTTCCTCTGGTAAATATCCCCCCTCACTTCTCGAAGGAGCCACAACTACCAACGATATTTAACTAGGCGCCACGGGCGACGGAACAAGCCTTCGAACTGAACTTAATATTCCACTTACTTTACCGCCGTAGAGGAAATTTGCTGCGTCGTGGGGTTATTTCCATGTTCGAGGATGTTATTGTAAACAAAGCAGCACATGGCTTTTGTGCCCAGTCACTGGAGATATCCCTCCGCGATTCCTCCGCTCCTAGAACCAGTCCCGGTTGTTGTTTTCAAACCGTGGCCAGCCATTTTTTAACATTAGCCCAGGTTAGCTTAGAGTTGTGAACGCAGCAGCTGCGCTGCCTTTTCTAATGTCCTGATGACAGAATCACTAAGCGGCGAGAGGAGGTTTGCTTAATGCTTACCACGAGACGTTTATGACGACTAAGAAATTGCTGCTGGTTAGTGCGTTCGCTGAATTAGACTCGGAACACGACTACGTTCAGGAACTACGCGTGTATACGATTCATTAATACACCACATATTGCTACAGAGCCCTTCCAAACCCATGTGAGTGATCAACATAAACCAAAGCTATAATCGTTTATGCTGAAAACGAATAAGCTGGAAGCAAATATCAGTATTAAAATTCATTTTAGCTAGTAACGAAAAAGCTAACAGCACTGTTCAACCCTGTAAAATCAAAATATAGCCCAGACGGTGCGTTAACGGACACTTGACAAAAAGTACAACATAGTTGGGTGAAGGATTTTCCTTTACTTCCCGACCACATAGATTACCCCTAAACTAAATCATTTTATTTTACACCGACACACGTCGACAGCATAGAGTATAACTTTGCAAAAGTAGTTTTTGAAAGGTCCGACTGTCTGCACTCGTTCCTTGACTACTTATGTACTCTACACGTCTTGATAGTGTGCGCGTTCCCGGATGTGCTTGCACAGTGGCGCCTGTTTCCTTTGTTTAAGGATCCATCCGGGTCACCGGGTAGTAAAGAGCAGACAACGCTAAACTGGTTACCGACGACCCAACGTTAACAAACTCACTGTGAAATACTTAACTAGTACTTCCATTACATCGCTGCTAAATGACGCATATTCGTACACATATTTAAAATGGTAATTTTCTATCTAACTCAAATGGCAATATTTAAAAACGCTAGTGACGTAAACTACTGAAACAGGACATGAACATGTAATTCAACTCTGAAAGACACATACTTCATATAGGTAACATTTATTAAGACTTTCAGTCCAACCTGTTGCTACCACCCATGCTGTTACTGACACACACAGACAACTATTTACCTTTCTCTGCCAGATAATCTTTACGAGCCATGGCAGCACACGTTGATGTTCAGGCGAATAACTTGAAAACGAGATCTTGAGGTGCCCACGTACCTAAACGAGGTTTTTACTTAAGAGTTTAGCAAATTTCTTGCACCGGAGACTTGAATTCATTCACATGCAGCCAGAACTTCTCCCGGTCTCAAGAGTAGAAACTGGCGCCACTCTCCTCGGCCAGCAGCAAATCACGTCGCATCTTTCACGAAGTATGGGCGGGACGTTTTGGTGGCGCGAAAATCGCAGGAAGCTGCGTGTCACATGGTTATGAAAACTTCCGCCGGGGTTTTCCACTAATGGCGCGAAATGTTCTAAAGACAACACAACTCATCACAATGGGTGTTATTTATTGTATGTTACACACAAACAACTCAACACGTTAACAGCAGAGTGCATGCAGACACAGGCTGCTTTGAAACACTCATCAAAAGTGTCTCAAAAACGGAGTAAAATGATGATCAATTTTGGAATGAATTGTCACCACTAACTCGCTTTTCCATTTTATTACAGACTTCGAACCGATAATACTTCACTTTTTATGAACAATTATATAAAAAACACATCAACAAAGCAAAAATGTGTTCAAAATAGGTAGCTTTAGCTTTCATTCGGATAACTGTACTAAACATTTTTAATATCAGTTTTTGCTTTTCATCAGAACATTAACAATTCAATCATTTAATGGCAAACTGCAGCAAGTCAGATAACATGAAGATAAAGATGTAGTCACAGGGATGAACAGGTGGCTGAGATTTCAATTCATGCAAATACTTCAAACACTGATAACATAAAAATGGCATCTGAAAATGGTGGAAGCGTTCCAGTACATCACTCAAAGAGCTCATCCAGGAAACTGGCAGAGGTGTGGCGTGTTGAGGGCTTTAGGGGGAAAATGGAGAGACTGACTGTTTAATCTTACCAGGAATACAATTATTTTATTCACATAGTTTTAAATCAAGTCTTCAGACTGTATTATAACTCCACAAATCCCAATTGAACTCAGATCTTCAAAGTTTTCCTTTATCCAAATCAATCCTAAATTACTAAAGCTAAGATCTATCAGTATTGCTGTTTTACCAGTGTGTATCCAGACTCCAGGTCACTTTCATAATCTTCAATCTCAGGCTCCTCTTCTTCTGAAATGTCATCCTCTATCAGAGAAAGCCTAAGTGGCAAACAGATTAATTAGCTTGTTTAAGAGTTAAAACGTTATTCACAAAAACCATCTTCCCTTTAGTTCTAGACCAGTCTTACATGGTGAGGTGGGAATTCAGATCCTCCTGCTCGTGAGGGGGTGCAGACTGGGAGGAAGAGGCTGTTCCTTGCTTGGTGGGCCTCACATTAGGCATCTGTGACCTAGTGAACATCACAAGGTAAATGGTCTGTATTTGATATAGCACCTTCTAGAGTCCCCCCCAAGGCACTTTACAACACAATCAGTCATTCACCCATTCACACGCTGCTGGTGTGAAGCCAAAGCTGCCCTGGGGCACAGACACAGGCGAGTGCCATACACAGGCACCACCGGTCCCTCCGACCACCACCAGCAGGCAAGGTGGGTTAAATGTCTTGCCCAAGGACACAGCGATGGACTAAGCAGGGCTCAAACCTGCAACCTTCCGATTACAGGGTGAGCACTTCTGTGCCACTGTCGCCCTGTGTGTGCCCCGTCTATACTTTGTTATTCCTGTAGACTAACTGACGATTTAATACTTATAAAAAAATCTGTAATGCTCAGTTATATCTCAACTGTTGTCAGCGACTTAACTAATTCAATGCTGACATTGATTTATTTTGTGGACAGACAAACATAATATTTGATTTAAAATGTTCATCAACTGTTTCCAAAACTCTGAAAGGCAGCAGATGCAGCAATGATAAAACCCAGCGGACCTGGAGAACTCTTCCTCTGAGTCCTGCTCAGTTACACCACTACCAGCATCAGACAGCGCAGCTCTGGGCCTGTTCAAACGTGGCGACTTGGCTGGCTGTTTCTGCGCGGTTGAGGTGAGGGCTGGATTGAGAAGCTGGCTATGGATGCTGCTGCTCTCCAACCAGGACCCTCTGGCTGTGCTGGATGATGAACCTAGAAGACACAGAAGTCACCACAACAAACTGACCGTATTTAAAGCACCTTGTTCAAGAAGCCCAGCTGTAAATCAGCAGACAACTTAACAAATTTTCACCTCGAGCAGTGGTCTTTTTGCCTGTGACTACAGGCGTATCGTGTGAGGAGACTCTGTGGCCTCCTCTCTCCCCTGGCTCTTTGGTCCTGGAGTGAGACTCCAAAGAACGCTGGTACAGTTTAACTGGTGGCCAGGAGAGGGCAGCACTCGGACACTCTGTTTTCACAAACTCAGCTCTGGGAGGGATGTAAGAGGCAGGAAAGGGACCAAGACCAAGGAAACCTTTGTTTACATTTTAAGTTCAGTTTTAATTAACTATAAAGGATAATAAAATCTGATTATTAAACATACAATGCAACAAAACAGAAGCAATATTCTTTAAAATCACTTAATCCAGTAACAGATACATCTAGTGATTATTTTTCAAAAGAGATTAACTGATTAATGTGTCTCAAACATCTATCTTAAAAACTGTTTTAGACTCGTTTCATCACAGACATTTGATTAGAGAAGGTACAGGTGTTTTAACAAGAGATGCATTCCATTTAGAAGCTCTATCAGAATTTCCACAGAACATCTACAGGAGTAGAATGCAGCCCCCATTAACACACCAACTCAAATCAAAACATCCACTGTGCAACAGGCCTCATGTGATGATGTGTGTGTCTGTTTCTCACAGCTGGGCGCGGTCTTGAAGAAGCAACTTGAAACTGAACTCGCTGAGGATTTCCAAAAAGGCCACATTTGGATGCTCCCCCTCTTCTCCTTGCATGCTCCGAAATGCAAACCGTATACCATCTCTGATAGTAAACGATAATAAAAGTAACTTGTTACAGCTTTCGTTACAATACTTGTGTAACAACTTTATAGATTTAAGACTAGACCATTTAGAAAACATTTACTTGAAAGTTTCGTTATAATAGTAATTAAAGCCAATTACAATGGTCACAGTGGGTTGGTGGGGTACAAGTAGATGAAATGTGTTACTAACGTGTGCAAGGCCACCAGCGGTTTGCGGACTCGACGAAGATCAATGCCAAAGCTCAGAGCGAGCTTCTTGGCCAGCTCTTTAATCTCAGCGATCTCCTGCTGGTTTTGGCACTCCGTAAGCATCTCTGAAAACAGCTGAACACACAAACACGACTTCTCATCAACACGTTACCTCATGAATGGAACCAGGAAGTGTTTTTGTGATATAACGTCAGGGGCTCTCAGGTTGATTCAATTCTAATATTTCTCGGAAAAAATGGACTTCATAGGAAAAAATTCAATTTCAGTTTATTTATATAGCGACAAGTCGTCTCAAGGCACTTCACAAAGTTAACATTCGAATAAGCCAATTAAGCCAATCAGTAAAGAGCTTCCTATATAAGGACCCAAGCAAATTGCATAGTCAACGACTACAGGTCCTTCTCAAAAAATTAGCATATTGTGATGAAGTTCATTATTTTCTGTAATGTACTGATAAACATTAGACTTTCATATATATTAGATTCATTACACACAACTGAAGTAGTTCAAGCCTTTTTTCAGATGAAAGCAAAATTTTCATGTCATTCAGAGTCTGGAGGAAGACTGGGCAGAGGGAAATGCCAAAATGCCTGAAGTCCAGTGTCAAGTACCCACAGTCAGTGATGGTCTGGGTGCACTGTCACCTGCTGGTGTTGACCCACTGTGTTTTATCAAGGGCAGGGTCAATGCAGCTAGCTATCAGGAGATTTTGGAGCACTTGATGCTTCCATCTGCTGAAAAGCTTTATGGAGATGAAGACTTCCTTTTTCAGCACGACCTGGCACCTGCTCACAGTGCCAAAACCACTGGTAAAGGGTTTACTGACCCTGGTATTACTGTGCTCAATTGGCCTGCCAACTCTCCTGACCTGAACCCCATAGAGAATCTGTGGGATATTGTGGAGAAAGTTCAGAGACGCAAGACCCAACACTCTGGATGAGCTTAAGGCTGCTATCAAAGCATCCTGGGCCTCCATAACACCTCAGCAGTGCCACAGGCTGATGGCCTCCATGCCACGCCACATTGAAGCAGTCGTTTCTGCAAAAGGATTCCCGACCAAGTATTGAGTGCATAACTGAACATAATTATTTGAAGGTTGACTTTTTTTGTATTAAAAACACTTTTCTTTTATTGGTCGGATGAAATATGCTAATTTTTTGAGACAGGAATTTTGGGTTTTCATGAGCTGTACGCCAAAATCATCAATATTATAAACAATAAAAGGCTTGAGCTACTTCAATTGTGTGTAATGAATCTTATATGAAAGTCTAATGTTTATCAGTACATTACAGAAAATAATGAACTTTATCACAATATGCTATTTTTTTGAGAAGTATACACTGTAGTGTCAGTGTCTTTACAGCAATAGGGAACCTAAGTCTCCTACCTTTCCGGTCAGCTCATGGGTCCCCGGAAGAACAAAAACATTAATGTAAGTCAATGGTGCTAAAAACACTATTTTCTAATCCGCTTTGCCTTACTCCCTGGATCACACATATGTTGTACTGCAATTTAAATGAAACCAATGATGGGTGTTTCGACCATGCCTGACACATACTTTGAGATTTTTCAGCTTGTAAAAGTTTGTAATTAGCATGACTACAAATCAGAAAATGGCACGTCGCTTATGTGACGTCACCACATAATCTCCTCTCCCCTAAAGTAGCTGCTACTTACCAAATGGCCAGATATATGGTGGTTTTTTTCCTCTCGTGGGAAGTTTGCTGAACTTACAGTCCTTTTCGCTCGGTTTTATCCGTGTCTAGTTCGATGACATCACTTTCGTGATGCGCATTTGTGCCCTGGACTTATTTTGACATAAAACCTAAAATAGCATTTACCTCGGTTCGAAAATAAGCGCGTTCTTGGTATCAAAATGCGTCTTTAAAATTCACGGACATCATATGTGAAATCCATGGCACAAAACAAGCGGATTAGAAAATAGCGTTTTTTAGCCCATTGACTTGCATTCATTTTTTCATTCTTTCATACTTATTTGTATTATGCAGTTACAAACATTATCGAAAAATGTTAAAACATTTCAGACTGTAGTTGTCAGCGCTATATTACAACAGCAACAGTAACAGGGGAACGGGCAGAACCAAGAAGGGTCTGGAAAGGTAAGATGTGCGTTCCCCTTGTTTTAAGAAAGGTGGCTGGTCCTTGCAGCCTGTGAAAGTGGAACCAACATATGGTAAATTATTTCCTATATGCATTTAGAAATATGTGTGGATGCATAATTTTACATGCATGTTCATCATATTTAAAGGACTACAATTACAGACTATGCCACAGCAATTAATAGCCGGCTCCAGGATGCCTCTGCCAACAACCCATTAAGACTAAGCAGTGCAAAATCTGGAATCAAATCAGCTGATCCTGGACTACTGACAGCCATTTGTTAGAGTGGACAAGAATGAAGCTATTGAACAGTACAGTATTTTCAGCACATGTACATTTATGTAGCTTTTATTTACACTGGACAAATATATCTGTAGTCAATTGTTTGTGTGTGTGTGTGTGTGTGTGTAATAATGTTAATAATCATTAAAAACCAAGCAACAAGTACTTTCATAATTTTAATATTTTTTATCCGTTCATGCAAACATTGACTTACATTTTTTTTACAGTTACTACACTAGTCCAGATCAGGGCAGTGGAAACCTCAGTGCTGGCCATCTTCATCTGGAAAGGCTGCTCTGATGGCGTTCACCACACATGATGGCAGAGGCTTGCAGATGTGTCACCCAATGATGCCATGTACTCATTGGATCATCTGCCTGTAGGCTACATAGCAATAGTGCCTGTAGTGTAATATAATGTAAACATTGTAAAAAAGATGATCTCCTCACCTAAGAAGCTTATTGCTTTTCAAAGTTATTTCTATTACTTTTAAATATTCTATTCTATATATATTTATACATACACTGTACTATATTATACTATGCCATTTATGTATACATTTCACTAATGTTGTTTCTCACCCCTACATTTGAGAACAAAAGTTTCAGAGATGTGCTTGAGCTTTACTAGTTTGGTTGATGTATCATTGTAGATAAGGTTTGTAAGAATGTATGATTGTGTTAATAAAGTATGTATGTAAAATGTCAAGATGTCAAAAGAAAAATGGAAGAATCAATAGTAAGGTAATATTGCTAGTTATCCTTGACACTAAATTTATTGTTTGAGACATTTAGGGTTGTCACGGTAACCGGTATAGCGGTAAACCCCGGTAAAAAGGTTGACAATAAAAATAACCGTCCAGTTTTTAAAAACCTAAATTATCTCGGTGGGTTTACCGTGGCCGCGGTTTAAGCGCGGTGACCCTTACCAGCCACCGTCGCTTCAGCTGAAGTTCCCGCGGCGCGCACACGCACTTTTTAGTTTGCAACGGCACCAAAACTTTGAAGCTGAAATAATGGCCGAAGGAGGAGACGGCAGCGCCCAGGACATCCATCAGCCCTCAAAGAAGACTAAATCGGAAGTATGGGCATATTTTGGATTTCTGAAAAATGCTGAGGGACAGTTAATAGAAGACGGCTATCCCGTTTGCAGAACGTGCAGGAAACAAGTGTCTGCAAAAGGCAGCAACACTTCAAATCTCATGGCACATCTGCGTGACCATCACCCACGTCTCTACAGCCAGTGCAAGGTAAGATAACATTAGCATTTTAGCTTAAATGCATGACGCGAGGACATCTGGTTGACGGAGAATGCAACGAGCCACCATATACTGCAGCCGCAGCGTCCTCTGCCAGCATTTAAACCGTGTCACGGACACCCTGTTGCTGGATGAAGCATCTTATTTGTTGATGATGAAGAGAAATATACAATTAGTTCCTTGTCATTGATTTGTTTACTTATTCAATGCCATTTATACTTGAACGTTTGGATTTGATTACATAGTGTAGTAGTTATTTTAGTAATTTGTTTAAAGTGGCTATTTATTTTAAATACATATTTTTTTAAGGTTGACTTGTACAGTGCTCAAGTCAAGTGTGGACTGGAGTTTTAGATTTTCATTTTGATAATGAAGAAAACAAGTATATGAGAAAACAAGTGGTGTTTCTTTGATTTGTTTACATATTGTTTATGTTTCGAATGTTTGGATTTGTATCATTTAAACCTGCACTGACTACTGGCACATGTTCCAGAAAAAGAAGCTATTTGTTCCTTTACTTGTGAAAAGTTGCACTTTTGCTAAGGCTTTGTGTTATTTTAGGTTTAATAAACACTGTTAAACCTTTTCAAAACTATTTCAGTTTGTGTAGAACAGGACTATCAATGCTTTCTGAACATATGCAACACCGTTTAAAAAATACCGCGATAATACCGAAAACCGTGATAATTTTGGTCACAATAACCGTGAGGTTAAATTTTCATACCGTGACAACCCTAGAGACATTACATTTGTTCTATGAAAACCAAAAATTTGTTGTTCAGTCTTTATACAAATTACAACACATTTCATTTTCATAAATAACATGTCCTTACTCATTTTACTGCAGATTTATGGGCCCATGTTGATTTTTAAATGTGTGGTATGCCAGCCTATAGCTGAATTAAAAGAACTACTTGGTAGTATGATCATTAAAATAGTAAGCACTCCAGCTGCTTAACTTCGTAAACTTCCCTGTCCCTATGTTTTATATAGCAGTGTTTATACACATTTAATGACATTAGGCAACTTCTTACTTGTAAATAAAACTGTGTTTTGAAAATTCACTTACCAGTTCACGTTGCCCAGTCCGTGTGCATTTTGACTTTCCCACGACTCAATATCTCGTCTAACACCATTTAAATAATCCCTCTCACGAATGCCAACATTAGGTGTCGCAGTTGGCTCAAAATTATATGGTTGTAGGCCTTCAGCACCAAAGTTGTGGGCAAATTCTTGCTCCAATTCTGGTGACATCTCTTGGTAAAGCTCCATGTAAACAGCCACTAATGAAGCAAATGACTTCTCCCTCCTACGCCAATTCAGTTTTTTTTTTACCAGTAGGCGTTGTTTTTCAAGCAGGTCACAAGAAACTCACTAGTAGGCAACAAAACATGTTTTTAGAATCAGAACTCGGTCATAATTTCATTCAAAGTACTTATATAGGTCAAGCTAT